TCCAACAATCCGGACCGTGGGCGTGCATTTTCGCGATCACGCGAAATACGGCGAAAAATTACTTAAAGTAAGTTTAACGATAAAGTTTGACGTAAACACACAAAACGCGATTTAAACTTCAAGAGAATATATTGATCGAGAGAGTGCGAGACACAATTCTGTGCGTGCCACATCTTTTCGCGCGTCAATTATTCATACCGATTCTCTTCGCGCTTCTCGACTTTCGACCTTTTGCTTGCAATTCACGAGCTGTTTATGCTCGCACGGATACATCTCGGCTAATTACGGAAGAGGGGAGAAACAATCCGTGCCAGAGCCGGAGTTGCCCGACCGATGTAGCCGCTGTGTCGAATCGATACTCGGAGCTTTAATTATTAGCCAAGTCGAACATTTCCGTGAAATCTTCTCTCTAGCGGAATAATCAAATAAAAACTGATTCGTCAATCTCGTTTGTTATGTTGCGTTAACAAGCGCAAGATTTTTAGCTTCAATTCTTCATTTGCTACGCTCGAACGGGAAAAGCCACGCTCGAAGTTGGCGAAAATAATTTCATTGTTCAGAAGCAAACGCAGTTTGCTGTTCTTCGAGTGCTCTTTCACTCCTTCGTGTCGCTTATTGCCCCCATCTCTTTGTCTTTCATTTACGACAATCTTATATCGCGGCAGTCGTTAAAGTCGTGGCGGCCTCATAGCGACATGCACTCCCGCTGCAGCGTCATAATATCTCACACTGTGAGAAAATGACTGTTATATTCATGCTCCAGTTATATCGTCAGTCAAATGTGTTCCTTAACTATCTAATTCACGTAGTTTACTTCTGCATGCGTTAAGTATATATTATATCGTATTTAATTCGCGCTTTAACGTTATAATTATCTTTCGAGCGCGCGATATATTGCGCGACGTTATAGTTGGCAAAACTCTCGACGTGTGCACACGCTCACGGTGTTCACATGTTTCTCTTACGTTACAAACCACCGTCTTTACGCAATACAAATAACGGCACAAGGGAAGCAAACAAACACACAGTTGCCACACATTTAACGTTAAATGCGCGGAAGACCAGATGTAAACCCGGGGATACGAATAGAATCTATTATAAGATGTTTGTCGTAAATACATAATCGTGTTTCCCGCACATGTTTCATTATTCTGGCGTGTACCGACTCATACCGCGATAGTATGCAGATAGGCTTTCGTTTTCCTCGGAAGCTTTTAAGCAAATATATTCAGAGGGTTCATGGAAACGTTGTGTACGCATTAACGGTGATTAGTGGCCAATATCCAGCGTGTCCTGAATTTCTCGAAGCTGCGGAAGGGAGAAGAGGCGCGCACCGTGTGTGTGCTGATATTCAATCCCGCGTGACCCCGGCTATTACAGTTCTCTTTTATGATGATGACGTTTCTCAAATCTCAACTTTGTTGAGTAGAAATTCAGTTTCTCCAAAATGATGCATTTCAATCTCAGAAAATGGCAACCGCGTGTGCAATTTCGTCGCTCGTGCAATGAATACGTAAAGGTGTATTTTCCATCTACGTTTAGAGTGTGTGTGTGTGTGTGTCTACATTTGTGAAGTATTTACTGGTAGAAGCTTATATAGTAAAAAATATGAAATTAGAGCCGTCCGAGCAAGTTAAGTCGGACGAAAATATAATATTGCACTTTTCAGCATCAGCGTTTTGCATTATGATGAAGTGCGTGAGTGATTTAATGTAACAAACTTTCCGGTGCCATTCTGCAAATGCGTTTTATCGAGTTGTGACAATTCAACCGAAGAAAATATAGAATAAAAGAATCAATCCATTCACATCGCATGAATAAAAATAAACGTTCAAGTGTAATCGCGAGAAATGTCATGGAGCTATGAAGAGTTTGGCGTGATTTTGTGAGTGCTTCTTTTATATTCCTCAGTTCCGGGCAATAAAATATAACGTAAAAAATTTAAATGAGATGTAAGTGCCTTGCATTCTGTCATTTTTTCGAGGCGATAATATACGCGCGAAAATTGAAAACACAGAATACTGTGTGCTTGTCGATTTTCACGACAATATCTAAATAACGGAGTTGCATGTAATTTAGATAAAATGCTGAAAAAACCAAGTATTTAGATTACAAAAACACAAATATCTATTTACAAATATAAATATCTAGATTACAAAAGTATTAAATTTAATAACGATGAAACAGAAAATGTTTTAAAATAAAGTTAAGATAACGTTATAAATATATTTACAAAAATATTATTTACTCATTTTGCGTTGTATGCCAAGCGACCGAGAAATTTTGTAAAATAATTTTATAGGTAAGTAAAATAAGCGATAATCTTGACACTGACAATTAACATTCAATAGAGAGATGAATTCGAATAGGGTAAGATAAACCGCTACGGGGCAAGAATTAATTTAGTTCTCCACATGGTGTATCTGTACTATGTGCAGAAAGTAGTTCTGCAATATATTGTGTTCCACAGTAGAATGATATATTTAGCTCTCACAACTAAAATATATAACAAATACATAACAAAGCTATTTGTTCTCCTTTATTTTGTTCATTTAGAATTATTCGAGTTTTACAAATTTTAGTTTGTCAAACGTTTTGTTCATGAAAAATTTATTATTGTAATATATTACATCTAACGCGCGCGCTGTCTTTTCTATAGGTAAACTTTTTTACGAAATTCAAAATTTAGGCCACACTTAGGCGTTTAGACGTACGATATAATTATATGTGTCTAGAAAAAATATTTAAAAAAAAGATTTATGTACGACGAGTGTATTATCTGTATCACGGCTCGCTGCTTGACAGAAAAGCGCATGCGAAATATATATACGATATTACAGGATGTGTGATACGCATCGCGTAGTGTGCGACACGCTGTGTGTATAAGTTAGTTGTTGTTACATGTGTATGGAAGATAAGACTTACGCTGAACCGCTGAGCTTATCTATAAATTTTTTTTTTTCCACAAACAAGTTACTCCGTATTTTGTATTGCACTGTTATCGCTTGAATTTACGAGGTTTCGGTTTCCTACTAATTAGACGCGAAATTTGCATTTCCGCCTTTGGTGTTTACTATGTTTTTTGTAATTGGCAACACGCAAAAGAGAGGGAAGCGATTGTACGTGCAAAATATTATTCGCAAGAAGATGAGGACATTTATATTGTTTAAAAAAAAAGTGAAGTAAAAAACTTTATACACAATATTTAAGAAAATCTATCTGCACAAAGAATGATCGGAAACAATTCATCGTTTCTTTTTTATCGATCACAATTTAATAAAACTTGGATGAAAAACTTTAATGAAAAAAGACTCTCTTTATTCGTTCGTCTTACAGATGTAGATATCAAGATTTCATCATGACAAAATGAGATCCTACTTTCTTGCCAGGTGGGCACGAAAGGAAATAACAAGGAAGACGAACTTGATCGGCACTTAATTTCGAGTAATATATTTATTGATGATCCGACACACGCAAAGAAAAAAAAAGTTTCTTCTCTTTACAAGAACAATGATTCGAATTAAGTTAAAGTTGATATCGATGGAAAAGTTCGTTGAACACAAGTAAAAATATCACACTTCATTACGAAGTTATCAGACGCGAGTGCTCTACAAACCGGAACACGGCGTGTTTCTTCTTTGTTCTGTGTCTCTTTGAGATTTTTATTTTTAATGTACAAGAGAAAGCCACATATATACGTCCAGAAAGTGGTAAAAACACTCGGCTATCTTTTTTCATGTAAGAAGAAATATACTCACCCAATTAAGTATTTTATTTCTTTCTATTCTTTTTCGATCTTATCGGTTCTCACGATACGTGGGTATATTCCCAAGAGCGGCGGCGAACTGTCCTGCTCCTCCGTTCTGTTTCAATATCTCGTATAATAGAATCTTTCAAATTACTGTTGACCTTTTTCATATCTGAAATAGCTTCTTCGATCATTAATAAAGTATACGTGTTTCCAAAATAGGATAGGTTTTTCACAGCTGTGAAAGAATAAATTTAAAATATACGAAAAAATAAAGAAAAATTATCAAATTCTCTTTAAATTAAATATTTCATCTTAAAACAATTAAATCGTAATTGTAATGATTAAATCGTAATCTTTTTGTACAACATTAATCTTCTTTTGTACAACATAGATCTTAATAATTTTTCACAAGATATACAATTTCTTTACGATAAGAATATTAATTAACCTACCTTTTTATCACTTCTCAGAAAGTCCATTTTTTTCTATCAGAATATAAATCATTCTTATCATTCAATAACAAGAAAAATTACTCTCTATATATCTCTTTAGCATATTATCATCAAAGTTAGATCTTTTTTAATTTATCATAAAAGTTTCTTAAAAAACACTTATGAAGTGTCACCTTTTCTCTTCAACATGTTCAAGATTAAAAACTAAATTACATTCACTATCTAAGCGATCTATATCTCATGTTATTTTTTAATGAAATTATACTGCAAGAGTCTTGTTTGTTTTATAAAATATAAAGTGCGCAAGTGATAAGGATCAAAATTATATTACAGTCTATCTGAAGTGAAAAATAAAAATACTGTAAATTGAAATTGTAAAAATTTTTAAATTTAAAGTTTTTAAATTAAAATTAAATTTAAATTAAAAAAAGCATAAAGAGAAATGTAGGTATTGCATACTTGAACTGTTATTACAATACCTACTTTTATAAAAAGACTTTTTAATTTTTGCATTTTCTATCTTCGTGATGTTTTTTTATCGCTAAATGACGCAATGATTATTACACGCCATTTTCTTTCCTTGAACCACATTATTTTTTCCTATCAGCCTCATTTGACGCTTATCTTCTCCACCGGATAAATTGCTTACCGGTCCCGGTGGCGCGTGTCTTCTTCCGAAATTTACATAGTGCGCACGGTGCGCGTAATCAGCAACCAATCAGGGGAAAGCGCCCACTCGCTGGACACGGTGTTATCGACAAGCGTGCGCGCGCGCGTGTACATACATACGACGCAGAGAGATATAACCGATCGCTAGTTGCGCGCTCGGTTATAGCGCTCGAGACCACGTCTACGAGGGCGAGAACTTGGCCGATTTTTCTCTGACGTCGATCACGCGCGCGCTCATCCGATCGATCAGCTTTTCGATCGGTGCGGATATCGACTTGACATTGTCACACACGCGCACGCGATCGACGTCCAAGAGTTTACCCGCGTTGGCTTCGAACAGCGAACATGGCCGTTGCGGTTTTGATCATCTCTCTCACGATTGCCTTGAGCAATGCAGCCTCGATCAGATATATCACCGATACCACCTCCTCGGGACCGAGAGATCTCTGTGATAGGTGAGTGAAAGTGCACCAACGAGTTTTGCGAGAAGCAAGACCGAGATAATCTCTTCCTCTTTTCAATTGAAGGTCAAGTTTACGAACTCTGTTCGTTTATCCAGCTTTATATTCATTTATCAGAATGCTGACTTTTTTAAAAAATGAAATGTAATACGACGTGTTCTATTGTTTTCTCTCTCTCTTTTTTTTTATTCTGCATAGCTCTAAGAGCAATATCTTTTGATGTCAAATAACGTCATCTGGAATAAGTTAGGTTGGAATAAGTTTTGACTTTGTCAAAAATTATAAACTTAAGTATTAAATTATACAGTTTACATTAATTACATTAATTACAAAGTTTAGAAAACTTTAATTTTACAATTACAAACTTTTTGATTTTCACTTTCTTCTAAGTATCCATATAACGGTCAAATAAGAAGAAAGAAAAAATTTTATCGTGTTTATCAAAATATAATCGAGAGTACAGACAAAAGTAATAAATTCTGTGACAATAGAAAGCCAATTCAAGTCTAAATATGGCAATAAAAAATAATAACAATAATCTTTCGGCTTTATTTCAAGACATTGAGAGAGAGCCAGGAATATAGATTTAAAGTATTACAAAACGAAGTTTGAGAATTGAATCAAAATAAATATATATGTATATATTCATTAGTCAGTAATTAAAATACAGTTGACCAACAAATATACTTGAAATTGTAAAACAACACACTACAATTGATATGCAAAATAAAAATCGACATACAATTAGTCGAATTTTGTACTGTGTATGTTGTTAAGTTATTTTTTCCATTACATTTAGCAATCGGATTGAAGTTCCTATTGAAAGAATTTATTTAAAAAAATTTAAATAAAGAAAGCAACAAGAGAAAAGGTTAAAATTTGATAAATTCTCGCAAGAAAATCTTGATACAATTGAGGTTTACATAGGTCACTAGTTCGACAGTATCCTTTGACACTCACAATGAGCGTTTGAAACTTTCGCCATTGTTTTGAAGACACAGTTGTGACTGCTCATTGAAATACTTACCGCATAGTAGAGAAGATAACTTTTTAAGGCACGGTTACTTTTCTCTTGTATTTTTAACTGCGTGACATTTGCACACAGAGACTTTCAAAGAATAAAAAGCAAAAAAAAAAAAAAAAAATCAATAAGTTATACGTTGTAACATTCTTGTGTATAGAGATATTATTGAACAAACGGAAGACAACATACACAGTATTAATGTTGACTTTATCGAGCGAGACTCATCGATGCTCTCATTAGATGGCGATTAAGGAATTTAAGTCGAACGGCGATTTAATACGCTACACAGTCATGTTAATGCCAATGGATAAATAGTTTTTTGAACATGCCGTTTTGAGAGAGGCATCAATATTCTGTCTAACATATGAATATAGTAATGAGCGCATAGATACAAATTTATAAATGTATTATGATGTAATATGTACGCACTTCTGTTCTTCACATATATATAATAATTTACAATTTTTATAATTGCTCACTATCAGATAAAACCGATCATCTGCAACATCGGAAATTTTGTGAGCAATGTGATATCGACTTATCTGATAGTAACGCGCATTAACGCGTTTATATTGCTCTTTTTCTCTTCCTCTCTTTTATTAGAAGTTAGGTTGAAATTATTGATAAAGTGTTTCTGCGTAATCAATTTGCTGACACCGTGTTTGCTTGATCGACATTATATATTAATCGCACATTTATACTTTGATATCGCAATTATTATGTTCTTCCCACATACATTTACACGTATTCACTTAGATTGTTTGAACATAAATTTGTTATACTTACGTCTAATTGGGCAAGTGAGACTGTCAAACAGCTATCTTCGACGTCGCGTCGCGCGAAAAAGACGTTTATCATATTTACTGGAAATCAATGAAACATACATATAACACGAAAAAGGTTGCGAGAGTAATTTCCTATTCTGCTTTTGATACATGCAACTTTTCTTGCGTCCTGATTTTATGCGCCGTCAGTTTCACGAAAGAGGTTTGCATCGCGTCGGCGGCGTTGACGTGACTGTCAAGGGGAAAAATAAAGCTCTCGTCCAAGTTTCACTTAAAGCTGTCATCTCGGTCAAACTTAGCTAGTATGCTTGACAGACTCTTCGTCTATAAACACACACACATACACACACACACACACACGGGCGTGCACACATCATTGGAAAATATCGACATTCCATATGTGAAAGAAAAACCAATTAATTGAGAAAATTTATCGTAAAGTATTCGTAAAAGGGTAGAACTCGTGAAAGGGTAGAACCGTAACCGGCCTTAACGGGAAATTTTTTAATTATTGACTGCACTGATGATGTAACTTTCAAGTTTTGATTCTTTATCGAAAGAATATTCGCGTTTGCAGTATATTTAAAATACTAATAAAAGTGCATTTTGTATATATTTAAATGTATGTATGCACATTTTTCCAGTTTCAATTTTGAAGTAATGAATTAAATATCTTTATCATTAAGTCTCAACTGAAGCTAAATTAAAATATAAAATAAGGATATAGGTACTTTAATATAAAATATCACATGTAAAGTTTCACATGCCTCTTACGCTTTTTTATTTAATTTATGCTTGTATAAACGATGTGTATTTTACTACATACATAAATGAATACGAGTCTACAAAAACCAAATGTAGCATGCGAAGTCATTTGAACGTAATAGCAGTAAAGTTATTTTCATGTTAATGAAGTATATCACACACATGGACGGGAGCGTCTGTGTCACGTGCACATTTTCGTTAAACGCGATTTGATTATTTATTTTATCTCGGTCTACTTGAGCAAAAACTTAATTTGAATTTGAATTTTGCAATAAATAATACTATCGTTTTTAATTTAAATACGAAATGATATTTGGTATCTAGAACATGTTGAGTATGTTTTCGAAAATTTAATAAAAGTGATGTGATGAATGTTCTTAATTTACTAATATCTCTGCAATCGTTGAGAGAGAAAGAGAGAGGGAGAAAGAGAGAGAGAGAGAGACGTTGCAACATGCGTAAGTTAAATTCAGCACAAATCTGATAATTTAATTTATCGGAATATATACATAGATCACGTAATCATTCACAAAGTACAAATATTGTTGTACAAATATTGAGTTGTTAGTCTCACGTAAGTACTACATTAAAATCTATTTTGGGCTGTTTATTTATATATATATATATATATCGTTTTTCGATTTAACGTGATACAATTGGCTCATAAATTGATTTTCAGCAAAGTTTATTGTGAAGGACCACTATTGAAGACGGTACAACTTTCTGGGATTTTTAACGACAGCAAAACCTTCGTGGATCTTTACCAACTTCATGATCCGAATGTAACTCTTGACAAGTAAGTTGATACGCGTCTGTTTTATAGAAGTAATTTAAAAACATTAACACAAAGTTCTACGTTGCATCTCTCCTCTTTTCATAAAGAATATCATAGAAAGTTGTATATAATAAGTTAGAAATGGTTTTCTTTTTTCTTAAATTACATATATCTTTTACATTACATAAAGTAATAAAAAAACATGTAGTTTTATAATATTAAAAAATTATATAACAATTGTTATACTATTAAAAAACACAAAAAGAAAACACTTCTCTTCTATTTTTTTTTACATCAAAATATAATATTTTCTTCAGTCACAATCACGAGATGACCCACTTCGTGGTACAAATAGAATCGTTCCGGGATTTGGAAACATAGTTTCGAGATGTGTTTTCGAGATCAATAATTTTGCGCGCAGTTGGTGTTCGATTTCCCAGTCGTAAACAATGTCATTTGGATTGAAAGAGCGCGAGGGTGTCGCTTTAGGTCTCCATCGCACGGAGCATAATCAAATTCCGCGGTCGCCCATGAGAAGATTTTAATCGTGTCAGGATTTGCTGAGAGCAAATACGCGTTGCTTCGCTCCCTAAAAGTAAATGCACATGTGTTGTAAACTACGCGGAAAAGCATTTGTAATTAAAACCGGAAATTAACTTGACTATATTAATACTTTAACTTAACTATATTAATACTTTACAAAAGTACGCGTACACGATGTGCATTCGTAGCGAAAGCGGAAATTAACTCGAATTATTAATCATTTCGCTTTTACATCTGATTATTGAAAATTTAGATTTGTTTCCGATTAACTTGGATTCGGAGAAAGAGATATGTTTTGCGGACATGTCACTTTGTGTTTCTCACGCTTTCTCTTATTTAGAATTATTTGTTGTTATATACTGTTGAAACAAATAAATAATAAAACAGTATAAAGAAGCAAACAAGATTAGACATATTTTTTTTATTATTTTGCTTTTTTGTGAATTATTGTTTCTTAGACAGGCAATTTATTTTTATATTTAGATGAAGAAGAACACATCTACGTCGTGTGTAATATTGACAAATGAGCATCAGAATTGTCGGTGATTATTTAATGAATGTTTTGTTGACCACCCTTATAAGATCCAGAAGATTACGTTAAATTACTTCTCATAAAGAGATATTTATAGGTTTCGAGGTTACACGTTTGCTCTCATTCGATTTGCTCTACGGGATTTCTTTCTACAGCGGAGGATTACGTTTTGGATTGAACTATCCGATCTTATCATGAATACAGTAACACCGATAATGAGCAGAACACGAGTAGTGTATTGGAATTACCTCGAATGTGTACGTAACTGTTTGAGATTATTGGATTCGCATTTGTTCCCGCACAGATGGGTTACGTAATCCTCCTGATCTTGTAACATTCTTTGCATTATACGTGCACGGTGTCGCGAATTGTGGGGAAAAAAAGTCAAATCCTTTTTTTATCTTTATTTTTTTATACAACTGTAGAATGTATAAATACTGATTAAAAAAAAACAAAAAAAAACAATATTAATTCAAACAAATACACATTTCCTTCAAAATACATTTTATTATATGAAAATCGCAAAACTCGGAGCATTGAATTAACAAAATATCAAAGATCTGTTATCGCAAACTGTTATCATAAATAATATTGTATTACGAGATAACGCTTGTACGATAAATGATAAATGTCGTTGTATGGCAAACAAAATCTACATCGATACAAAATTCAATAGCTATATTTAAACGAACAAGTTTTAAAATTTATTTTTATCAACTATAATATCCATACATAAATATACTACAAAACATGAAAAAAAAAAAGATGAAGAAAAACAAGCTATTTATTCCTTCTTCATTCCTTTCACACATGAAAAAAAAAAAATGAGTTGCAAGTTACATTATGTTATCAATTTACCCAAGATATGAAGTTTGAATGTAGTTTGAACAGAAGTTTGAACATAGTTTAACTTTAACCACAAACGTGTCAATTCACCGTGGACGGTCACAATAAAAGCAAACATTAATTTTGATACGCTTTGTCTTAGCTTTAATGCTTTCATGAAGGCTACCAACAATTCACCTAATCGCACCGCGGTAGCCGTATTTGTCAAAGAGAACTTTGCTATGCAAGATGAGTTGGAGAACGCCACGTTGTCGGATTGGAAGGAAAATCCCGCCATTCTGAAAACCATTCAGGATCCTGGGTTTCGCGAGTGGGCAAAAAATTTGAATAATATTTGGAAGAATTTAGCGAGAAAAATAAAAACTGACGTGGTCATCAATCCTCAACGGCACAGCTTGATTTACGTGAATAACACATTTATTATTCCTGGAGGGCGATTTAAAGGTGATTGTTTATCGGAGCAAAGCTCTGTGTGTGTGTTGTGTGAGTGTGTGTGACACGTTACATTCTTTTATTCTCTTGAATTTTGATAGCGTCTATACAATTTACACACAAACTACCAGAACTTTAAACTTCGCGAACTTTGAAAGTTGTTGTGCTTGTAAAAACAAGTATTGACTCGAAGAGTTTACTATGACACTTTGCGACTACTTGCGTGTTCTTATATATTTTCGTGCAGCTAGCAAGAAAAAGTGTACGTATTTTTATGTATTTACCACGAGAGAAACTCACACGGAGCGGCACTAATTTTTGTATTTGTTGTATATATATATGCGCGTATCTCATAAACTCTCTCTTTTTGTACAAAGAAGTTCAAAAAGAGATAAATTCGTTTTTCGAGATGAAATGCAGTTTTCTGGTTTAATTTGAAAAGTCTTGCTCTCTTTCGTTCTATTTCACATGTGTTTTATTTTTTATTACGTAAGAAAGTAAAACATTTGATATTAAAAGAGAAATTAAAGGAAAAATTCATACGTGACAAAATTACATTTTTTGCTACAGAGTTTTATTATTGGGATAGTTATTGGATAATCGAAGGTCTGTTACTGTGTGAGATGCACGAAACCGTTAAGGGAATGATCGAGAACTTCCTCTCCATGGTGGAGAGATACGGTTTCATTCCGAACGGCGGCAGAGTTTACTACCTTTCGCGAAGTCAACCGCCCTTATTAATACCAATGGTACGTATCTTTTTTTTTTTTTTTTTTGGTTGGCTCAACCAACCTCCTTTCGTTTTTTGCTCCGTGTTTCTTCTGAGCTTCTTCGAAACTAATTTCTTCTCCTTTGAACAATTTCTTGAGAAATTTGGAGAATCTCTTTTGCTTTTAATAAAAATGTCTTCCAGGTCGCGAAGTACTATGAATTTACGAATGATATCGACTTTGTGAGGAAAAATATAGCGACTCTCGAGAAGGAGTTTGATTACTGGCACAACAACAAGACGATAAATGTAATAAAAAATGGCAAAACTTACAAAATGGCGCGTTATGTGGCAAACAGTAATGGGCCTCGTCCAGAAAGTTACAAGTGAGTCTCTCTGATATCAATACTAATATAGTTGAAAAATATTTATTTAATAAATGCGCACCAGTGAAAGATGTTCAGAAATAGAAGATAAAAATTTCCCTAACGATTCACATTATTTAGACACGATCGCACGTTCTCGCAAAAGAGATTCTGCTTTTAAAGAAAGTCACGTGTTCCACTTTATGTATCTTTTTACCTTGAGTTAATTGCGCGCATTTAGTTTCTTTGGTTTCTAAAATGAAAGGATTGCGATAATGATTTATCATCAATTTGCTTTTTGCGCGGGGTGTGTTTCCTTTTGTGTCAGCCATCCGACACAGAAAGAGAGAGGGGAAAAGCCCTCCATCATCGTGTTAATTATAAAGGACTAACGCGCGTAAGAACGAACGTGTACGTCTTCTCACAGGGAAGATTATCGGTTGGCGCAGCAACTGCCGGAGCAGAAACAAGAACCGCTTTACAACGATTTGAAAGCAGCGGCGGAGAGCGGTTGGGACTTCTCTTATAGATGGTGCATAAAAAGCAACAAAAACGCCAGTCTTAGTCTCCTCAACGTTTCCACAAGCGATATCATACCCGTCGAACTGAACGCGATATTGCAGCAAAACTCTGAGATACTTGCCAACTTTCACGCGATTCTAGGTAACAAAGAGGTAAGCTCTTCGTTAAATTGTTCTGTTTAGATCGATCACGATCTATTACAAATATTACCGGTAAAGCTGCGTTTATTACTGGCGCGTGCGCGCGCGAGTGGGAGAAATGATATAATTTCATAAATGAAAGTATTAATCGAATAATCGATAGTGTTAATCGTATTAGATAACAGAGTGAAAGGGTGAGTATAATGTCATTATGTCGCACATCAAATTGCTCGTTATTGATTGCGTTATACGGACGCCACGATATTACATTCACCGTCTCGTCGTTGCTATTTTCCTCTTTCCTCATTTTCAGAAAGTCCGACGTTATATCAAGATAGCCCAGGAGTATCAAGCTGCCATCGATAACGTTCTGTGGAACGACAAAGAGGGAATCTGGCTTGATTATGACACAAAAAACGAACAGTCTAGAAACTCGTTTTATCCTTCAAATTTGTCACCTCTGTACACGGGAAGCTACAATAACAACAAGAGGAGTTATTACGCGCAGGCAGCTATTCGTTATATTCACGTGAACAAAATCGACTTGTTTTACGGTGAGAGTATTTTTTCTATTACTTATCCGTATCGATGGTTTTCACGCTCATCTATTTTCTCCGCGTTGCAAAAAGATATTTCGTTCGTGTTTTCTTTCTCTCTTACATATATATTGTGTATCTCAAATACGATACGTATTCCTGCGCGTTTTTTTCTTTTTTTTTTACGTTTTATATAATTGTTTGATGCATGTTTGCTCGCGCGAGCTTTGCAGAGATCGCGAGGAAGAACAACGTCTCTCTTGGATTTTTCTTGCGACGCGACAAGTATTTTTTTTTCCGAAAGATTTATCTTATTATCGCTTGTAATTCGACATCGGAACTTTTGCCTCGGAATTGTTTCGTGCTGTTTGTTTCATATCGGCAGATCAAAAACAGTCTCGAGTTTTTTTTCTTTGATAAGTCAAAATAGATGGGATAAAAATGACCGAAAGTCGTGGGAAACTAAAGATACGATGACGGAGAGTTCACAATCGATAACGCGCTTGGCGAACACAGCGCGACGGCATGTATGAGTTAATTCATAAACTTCCGTCTTTCTATGTTTTCGCACTTCCCATTTCTATCGTTTTTCTTTTATTCTTTTCTAAAGTCGTCAAAGTTGGTTTATCTTCAAATTTCTACGTCTGTTGGTTTCGAGTTGTATAAAAACACACACTGATTTTCTTGTCGAGTGAGCTGGTTTTTTTTTTTTTTTTTTTATAGAAAGTATTGCATTTTGTTTTGTGTGTAAACGTCGAAACATTATATTGTCAACTTTTGTATTTATAATAACGAACTCGTTTCGATTACGTTTGCGAATGACGTGTCATTATTTCGTAATATTGGTATAACAGAGAAGAGGCATGTGTAAACGAGAGCATATCAGAGAGGTCATAGTGAAATATCGCTATTCATCGATGACCGGATTAGTCGCGTTGCACGCGTATTGAGAAAATTGAACGGCCGCTAGAAAATAACTCTCAATCGGATCGCGGCTGCCATTGACAGTGACTCGTGAAAATCCTAGCAAAATGAGTTCTCGCGAATAAATGCCGTTATTACTTTCTTCTCTGCGTGCATGTGAGCACTTCCCTTCTCGCTAATATTGACTTAAATATCGCCAAGTATTTTCAATATTTGTCTGCAGAAACTATATATATTTTATAACATTCTTGTCTTCAAACTTATCGAGAAAGTTGACTTCGAGGTTTTACTTAAAGTAAAACCTAATGGATTCGTATTATTGTGAGCTAATGTAAAGAAAAAACAAATTGGTTGAAAATTACGTAACGAATGACGGAAACCGTTTTAATAAGAAATGTCAATTTGTGTCACATCTAAGTAAAGTTATGAAAGCATCCGGGAATAACATTGAAATTAAAATGAGACTAAGTTAATTAAAATTTAATACAAAACTTTTAATAAAAAAAGTTAATTAAATTTTTTTTAGAAAATAAAAACTTTTTCGTATAATTTTGATTCGTTGAAAAATGTATTAATTCCAAGTGACATTTTCAAAGTGAACTTTTACTTGTCCAATTACCGACGTATAGAAATCATACAAACTTTTATATTTCCCACAGTCGAGAGATATTTCTTAATAATTTTTGTCGTATATTCAAAAGGATAAGAATGTTAAAAGGATAAAATATATCGCAATTGTGTATGTAAATATATATGTCGAATAATTCTTTCAAAAGAAGACTTTTTTACGATATTTCTGTACAAAAAAAAAAAAAAAAAAAAACAAAAGATGAAAGAGATGAATTGACAAGCAAATTATTCATGTGACAAAAAATTAGTACTCAAATATACGATAGATGTTGCGACTCTTTGGAGAAGATCTTCGTTATCTTTGCGCTATAAATTTTATTACTCTCATTATTTCTTCTCTCGAGTTTGTCTCGAATGAAAGAATAATTGTGAGAAACGGTAATGTGAGAAACAAAGTATTTCGTGTTTCATTGCAGGTGGCACGCCAACCTCGGTCAACTACACCGGCGAACAATGGGACTATCCTAACGCGTGGCCACCGTTGCAGTCGTTCGTGATAGTCGGCCTCTACAGAACCAATGTGCTAGCAGCGAGAGAGCTGGCTCGATCGTTAGCTACCAGATGGCTCAGATCGAATTACATTGGTTACGATGAGTACGGAAAGATGTTCGAGAAGGTAAGTTGGTTGCTTTTTTTTTTCGACCAATCCTGTTTGTTCGCAAAAAACACAGTTCTGTTGACCGGAAAAAATGACGGGGGCGTTCTGTATGCTGAGAAGCTTCGACAGATTTTCTATATGATCTGTCAAAGTCATTGGAATATCCTCCCCGGAATAGCGGGGACTTTGACAAATCCTCTTCGAGCTTAAAAAAAAAAAAAAAAAAAAGAAGTCTTTGTGATAAAATTTGCTTCAATGATAATTTTGTAAAAATAACATTTTTTTATTTATTTGTATATATGTCAGTATTTGTATGATACACAAATATAATCAATATTTAGCTAGCATATCGAAAATATTTGATGCATTACACAAAGGAGATATCCTTATTTAATATCACAGTAAACATTCTCGTTTAGACGACGCTTGCGGCGTCTTTTCGTCGCATTTTTGCGCCGATATAATATGAAAACCCAATGAAGTATGTATGTCGGCTCTCAGATTTCTAGCGGTATATGAGGGACGATGTATAGAGTCGCGTCTAATGCGCCTTGAGACTCTGACCTCACTCTCGTCCTTTTTCCCTCGTCGTTCCGTGTATGTGCTACCCTACTCTATTGGGACATAGAAACGAACGGGAGAAACAGCCTCGGGAGAAAGCCTTCGGGAAATACGTCCGGTGTAAGACTGTCTCTAATCCGTCTTGTTTTGTTTCGCCACCCTTCGATCTCGGAGAGAGGAGAATTCAAGATGTTTTAGTGCGCACACGAGAACATTGAGATTAGCAATACAGACATGTAACGAAAGAAAAATATTTGCACGGTTTTTATTTCTCCGAGAAAAACATGTTGATGAAACATTCATTCGTATTAAAAAGGAAATATTTGTTTGTATAATAATAGAACAGCGCACTAGTTAAAAAAAAAAAAAAAGGGGAAATGAAAAGTTTTGCTTCTAGAAATTGTGTTGTGTGCATTTTTTAAATGACATTATATAATACTCGAGATAAAAATATCTTTGTTTGAAAAGATAAATATGTGTGTATGCGCGCGCGCATCTGATGAGACGACAAACACAGCGTGCTTAAGCTATATTTTAATAAATTTCGCTGGAATTTACTTTAGAGCGACCAAGTTTAGTACACAATATAATTATGAACGTTAAGAGGACGGAGACAAAATTCACGGCACGTTTCCAAACTGAACTTAGCACGAATCACGTTGTGTTGATACCAGAGGTATCAGTAACGAGTTTTCGCAGGAAATAGCCGGTCCATCTTCGTGAGCAAACATGCTCGATCGATTCAATCAAGGCTTTTTTCGCCCGCTGCGTCTTGAGAAAGAACGAAAGTATTCTCTGTTCCGATCGAGTAAATTCTACGCGCTGGCACAAATTGAAATAATATTCCTCGCGAATTTATAAAATAACTTGATTTTTCCTTTCACGTCAACGAGCTTGAGATAACGTAATAACAAAGTCTCCGAATAACAAATGCGACATTTATTTTTCTTCGGGACACTTTTTTAAATTTCATATTTTTGTTTGTAACCGTCATCGCGCATATCGAAATTAACGCGCAATAAAAGCGCGAGAAAAATCACGCGTATCTATTTCTGTAGTGGAATAATTGAACGTCACTTTGAAGCAAACTCGACGTGCCTCCATATTTTCCTTCGCATTATTTTCATAATAAACTCAAGCTTATAATAAATCAAACGCAAACCGTCTCTCTGACTAATGAATTAACAAGCTATTGTAACAAACTGCAAAACGAGACATGTGTTGTTGCACAACAGAAATTATTTTTGTCGGAAATTTCTTTTACGATCATTTGCTAAATAAAAGTGAGCTATAAAAAAAAAAAAAAAAAAAAACAAACAAACTCGCGCTACGACACTCTCTTTTCAAACTTGCTTTATCAAACGTAAGTCGGTTGACATGCAAAGGAACTCATTTATTCAAAAGTACACCGTGGAAAAGAAATTACGTTATTTGCTTTTTCCTTTCTCTCTAATGTAGTAATCTAATATAATTGCAGCGCGCGACCGGGTCCAGAATATTAAACGTTAAGTTTTATAAAGCACATCGGCGAGACGGGTTTTTCGTTTTAAATTTTACACAAACGAAGGTAATTTATTCAGTTAATTTCTCCTCGTTCGTTGTGTTCGTCGTGTTATGTTTATCGCGAATATTAAATAGATTCTGTGCAGCTTGAAATATTCTATGCATTTACAATAGTTTTTCTCTCTCTCTACCACGGTGGTGCTCGCGCGTCGAACATTTCTTTCCCTTTTATAACGCTCTTTGCAGCTCATCTGCGAGTGTGTGTACATAGATACGTACGTACCTACCCCTCTCGAGTGAAGGAATCGATTTACCGGTTTTTTTCTTTTTTTTTGTATTAGGCATCTCTTTTTATAACCGAGAACACGCAACAAACTTGCAGGAGGCCAATATACCGACAAAAGAAGAAAAGTTTTGCGTTTTGAATTTGGATTTAATTAACTGTTGTTGAATTGCATCTGTGATAAAAGTCACTTCGCGCCACTCGCACATGAAACTACGTGTTCACCTATAAGGTCACCTTTGTTCTCGTCAGAATTGTATATTCCTCTCGTACGCGGCCGAATGAGAATAGTGGCACTTTCAAAAATCGCATTGTCCCGAACAAAGGAAAGAATACGCCATGATACAACGCGCGCGATGTAGAGTACCCTTTTATTGTCTCATTCGGCATCCTGCACACCGCGCGCCATACGAAAGAACCGAGAAATAACAAGAACATTTTTTCCTCTATCCATCTGGTTTTGTAAATATATCGCTTTCAAGTCGGAAATTGTTATAACAACGTGTGTCGACCGCAAACCTGTAATGTGTGACGACGCGATCATTTATCATCGATATGACGCTAATGAGAATAAATATGTCAATATACTTTCAATTTAGCCACGATTGATGTATGTACTCCCACCTCGAATTCTCTAAATGTATTGTGTTGCGTTCGATGGCACGTGTAAATCCGATCACACGCTAGTAAATTTTACTTAAAAATTAATCAACGAAAAATGCAATATATAATATTTCGTACACTTGCGATATTTAAATTCGCTGAAAAGTCTGTCTCAAATTGGCCGTAAGTTTTTTTTTTGTGTTCGTATATTTTACATTTTCTCAATTAATTGTGCTTCTTGAGAAGAAACCAAGATCTTCCAGACTTAGACAAACTTATTTCGTACGCTCGGAAAAAAAAAGTAATGCTCATTCCGTACGAAGCGACCACATGGATTAAAATGCAAAACCGTCGTTTAAGTTCGAGCGATGGAAGTTCATCCAAGTTCTCTCTCGATCGAGGCGAAATTAGATTTCCTCTCGGGATAAACATTCCAACGGGAGAATTAACTTGCCGCCACGGAAGGGAATGTTTGCGATCCAAAATGTCTTGATTACTTTTGCGCGATGATTTGTTTGGTAATTATGAGTATATATGAATACTTGGAGTAATAAGTCTCCCCAATTTCAGTACAACGCTTTACATCCCGGTGAGAGTGGCGGTGGTGGCGAATACAACGTTCAAGAAGGTTTCGGCTGGACGAATGGTATCGTTTTCGAGCTTCTCAGTTTCTTCCCCGATGTGCAATCTTTCAGCGAACATAATGATGATGATAATAATATTTATTCTAGATAATGTATGTGAACAAACATATCTAGCTAATTGATTACGAACGGACGTGAAAACTGATATACGTTAAAATGATTTTAACTCAAACTTGAATCTTTTCTGTTTTTGTTAAAAATATTTGTTATCTCGATACGACGCGGTATATATTTGCATATATGTGTCTTTCATATTCAAATCGTGAATATATATATATATATGTACATTTTTACGGTATTAAAAACTAAATTTTCCTACTATGTCAATATTGATTTTTACTTTGCAAACATCTATCGACAATTTTTTATGAACTAACTGGATAAAAATAATCTGCGCAAAAATCAATTGTGAATTCGAATTGTGAAAATCGAACATTATTTCGAATTGACAAGTTTGGCTGAAACTTTTCTTTTTGATCAAACTTTTGTTTTTAAATATATATAATGATAGTTTACATTATTATAAATTAAAAAAACTTATCTGAATGACGACGTTTAAAAACACGGAAACGTATCATAATATATGTATATATACATATAAAGAGACACACATATATGTATATTGCAAAATACAATACAGTTAAAGAAAGAGAGAGAGAGAGAGAGAAAAAAAAATAAGTTAAATTTTGTAACGAATCTAGTCCACAAGAAAACATCAGGGCAGCGTAAATATTCACTGTATATTCTCGATTTAAGTACGTGATGTCATAGGAATCAGATAATGTAAAAGGGTTGTAGCTAACAAGAAAATATATTTTTACTGTTAGCGGATGATATGTATCACATTAACTGAAGCCGAAATGTCGAATACCTATTGATATGCGATCGCAGATGGGTACTTGTATCGGTATTGGATTGACACAAATTGTGGAATTTTACGTTACAATCGTTAAATATCGAATTCTATTTCAATTTCTTTCACTTGTTGCGCGTAATGTCAACTATAAAAAAAAATTCTTTTCTTTAAAACAAGTTTAAACATAGCTATAAAATAGCTAAAAAATTTCTGTAAACATATAATTGGTTAACTTTACATTTTAAGTTATAATAAATTATTACTCTCTCGCAATAAACTATATTGTTGTTTAGATTTAATTACACATATATGTTGCTAGTAATATATGTTGCTTATAAATATATTAAAACATATTGTTTTATCTTTATCTAGTGTATCATAGTAAAAATTATTAATTTGTTAATTATATTATTTGTGTGTATTAAAAACACATTGAGTGATTGTATTCAATTGTTAAACAAATATATAAGTAACATGCATGAGATTTCTGTTGTGTAAATATGTTTACTTTTTGTTTAGTGAGAAAGAAAGAGAGAAGAATGGAAAAACAACACGTGACTAAAGTTACGTGACAAAGAAAAGAGTAAAAAAGAAAATATTATACATATACATATAATATATATAATATACATATATTATAGATAATATTCTATATCTATATATAATACACACACACATATACACATACATATATATATATATATACCGTAATCACGTGACCGAGGTCAGTGCCCCGCCAAGGCCGCGCGGCCGAGGTCAGTGACCCCGCCAAGGCCGCGCGGCCGAGGTCAGTGACCCCNCCCAAGGTCGCGCGGCCGAGTTCAGTGACCCCGTCAAGGCCGCGCGGCCGAGGTCAGTGACCCCGCCAAGGCCGCGCGGCCGAGGTCAGTGACCCCGCCAAGGCCGCGCGGCCGAGGTCAATGACCCCGTCAAGGCCGCGCGGCCGAGGTCAGTGACATTACTGTAGTATGTATATAATACATATAATACAATATAAAGTATAATATTATAAATATATAATAAATTATATGTATAATATGTATTATTTAATGTTATATATAATATAAATTACAGTCACGTTATTTTCACGTGTTGTTTTTCTACTCTTTTCTATCACGTGATTTTAGTTACGTTTTTAATTTTCTCTACATATACGACGAACTGTCTCAAAATCGCTTTTCATTATTTACTCTCTCGATCTTACCGATTCGATTCGACTCGATCAACCAACCAACCAATCGGCAACGCGGAAAAGAGGCAACAATAGATGCAATACATTCGGCTCCAAAACGCGCACTTCTCGGTCCAAATGACTTTTTTTATATAGGAGACATTTTAATATTGCAACTATGTGCATACATACATAACACTATTCAAAAAATGCATTGCGATGTATGTTTTACCTGATTGATAGCATTGCACGTGGGATTCGGACATCGAACTCCACTTCGTGACACAAGTGAGAAAGCGGCAATAATGAGATCCTTCCATTGCTATTTATTGCTCGCTTATTTCGCGACTTGTATATTTACGATATGGCTCGTATAGTTTGCAGTACTTTCCATTCTGGCTACCTTTAACGCTCAACGACGCTCGTAAAACGCGGCGACGTCGTCTTCGAGCACTCTAGCTGACAATCCAGCTGGCGAATATAATCGTAGTGTGCCGTCGCCGCCGCTGCCGCGATGCATCTAGATTAGAACTATCAGCATGAGATATTTCTCCGGAATTTTTACGTCGTGCATTATTAAAACATTATCAACGCATCTCTAACCGGTCACAAATCAATTATTCCGCGTACGAGGATTACTTTTTAGTTATGGCTTTTTGGATCGGTCGCGTGCAACTTTTAATTACGACAGCGCGTATGCGGTTACATTCCATACGTAACGTATTTCACGCATAAATATAATTAATGTGTGTATTATTATTATATTTCCAACTATATATTTACAAATTATTTACAAATGTACAATATATTTGCTCGGCGAGATCGTATATTGAATATCGATATACATGTTATAGTGATTTAATTTTTTTTACGATTCGTTTTTTCGCGCATCGGCCAAAGTGCAATGTATTCACACCGCCCGTTCGATAAAATCTCGAAGATCGCAATATTCAGCGAATATGTAAAACGGTTGCTTCGGTCAGCTGTAATGGTGCGAAAAATCGAAGGCTGCTACAGATAGCTTTTCCGACACGCGAAACGGCAAGATATTTTCACCTAAACGACAGTTTTAATCTTCTTTTGAACTCCGGAGAGTCCAACACTATTATCTGTTTCTTCGTCGCGCTCGTCGCGACCGTCACGTCACCGGGCGTACTGAGACATCCGGAATCATCTCACGGATTAAAGCCACGTAAAATTTAATAAGTCCTTCGCGAAGGATTAAGTCGCTTTCTCGTTTCTCTTTTACACTGAACGCCCATTAGCGTGGAAATATGATCTTAATTCTCTTATTTCCGCTACGTTGCCAGTGACATCGGAAAAAAGATGAGAAACAGATTGCGTCTGTACAGAAAAAAAAGTCACACTCTGATTATTTTCATCACAATATTATTTATAAAGCGCTTATTTGTACATATGGCCCCGTTCATAATCTTTCTGGTAGAATAATCTTCCTCCAAGCCCGGAGTTTAAGTTTGCGATGACTGCGTTATCATTTCTTCCTGTTCTCACCGTTGTCATAACCCAACTTGAACAAATCCTTCAAAACGACGTTGAACGTTACCGTAACGGCTCCCTCGACTCTCATGCGAGTTACTGCAATATTGCGAAACGCATAACTTGAAGTGAAAACAGTAATAGTAACTGAAGAAATCTTTTACACGCGGAGAAACATTAAATGTAAACTTCAAACGCGTTATTGAATAGCGTCACGTCGTCGGTGATGTCTAACTAATTTTGAAATGCAAGAATCTCTCAGCAATTTCAAACGCTCGCTTTATTCGAACTTTGTATTATTAATGCAAGAAATTATTATTGCAAGAAACTGTATGGAAAGTAATATATATTTGTTTTTAATTATATACTTCAATTTTAATTGATTAATTACTTCTTGCGTACAGAATTTATTTGTCGAACGGAATTAATTATTCTCTTTTTTTTGCTCGATTACGCGCGATTCTGATAATCGTATATTTTTTCAAATATTTTATAACTCGCACAAATACGCGTTATTAGCGCAAGAATATCAGTTACTATGTGACCAGCAAGAAAATTTTTCTAGCCTGTAAAAAAGTCTTTGAAAAAAATGTAAACCTGTAAAGTTTTTGTTTTGCCAACAAAAGTTGATGGAAAAATTAGAGGCTCAACAAATGTTCTCTGCTGGCCACATATAATAGAACAACTTTTTATTCTCCATGCAAGCTATTATAGTTAGTTTCAGCTTGTTGGATGTAATCAATTTAACACCAACACACAGGACTAATGAGAACTGTCTCTGTGCATTTCCTTACGTTCTCTGCCGACGCCGGATGCCAGTATGGCGGGATCAATTAATTCCGGTCTCTTACTAGTTAACCACTCCACGAGTTGCTGCAGTCCCGATGATGACTCCGGTACGTAGATCGACATCCTGCGTGATTTCGAGATTTCGCTAAAATATGCGCGATCAAAGTTGTCTCCCCTACGCTATTTCAAAAGGAACGATATATGCAAAATGATACAGACGCGAAATTACGATTGAACATATCTTCCGCAAGCTTGGCTTTAGAGCATTCGTAAAGATGCGAAAAATATAGTGATCCGTATATCGGACGTTTTACATCATGTAAATCCCGTTTTCCTTACCTTGTTAAATACTACGTTGAAACCGATTAAATACACGGATGACATGTAAGACGCGTGAAATAATATTTTTAACTCGAATATCTATATCTCGTTGTATGATAACAAATTAAAACGTTGCAGTACTTTGAAGCAATAACGTTTAGATCTCTTTATTTTGATAAATAAATGCAAGCTGCCCACTGCTTGACATCATTTATGGTAATATCGTACTTATCTTTTTTTCTTTTTTTTTTTTGTTTCCAAGTATTAATAGCACTATGTTTCTGTTTTATTGCATACGCTTTATGAAAGGTTGTATTGCATACGTCAGAAATATTGTATTTTTCCGAGAAATCGTGTCCGGATTTGATGAAAGCCAGTGCACACAGAGCACAATGTGAAGTGGTGAACAATGTTACATGGAAATAACACCCCATAGTGGATATTTTTTCTCCAATATATATATGCGATACACGCGCGATGCAAACACACAAATGGGACAACTTTTTTTATTTAGACGCACAATGAATGCGTGCGTGTAATTAGTGTAAACTGATGAAAAAACATGTGTAATTCCAAAATTGCGAAATAAGTAAATTATATGTGGCTTAGAACATAAAAAACACAGTGTTGACTGCAACAATATACGAACATGTTCTCTTTAAAATTGAAGGGTTTCCATTTTATAAATTTTACGCGAAAAAAAAAGTGACATTTTGCGGCCATCAAAAATTTAAAATTTATTCCCGCTGGTTGATTGAATAGTTGAATTTGAAGGAGTTTCACAAAAGGTTAAAACAAAAAAACCGAAAAAACAGAAATATCCTATAAATATATGAATAAAAAATGTAGCAAGATCGACCTTTTCCCAACTGTGACATATTTCGCAACAAAGGACAAAAGAGAGAAGAAAGAGAAATAAACGTGCGTATAAAAGAAGAATTTGATAAAAAAATAAACGAAATACACAGACACAAATATATAGGTTTTAGGACCTATTGTTTGAAATTATATATTTCTCGAGTATTTATATATATTCTATGTTTAGATTGTTTGTATTTCCATACGTTTGCTCTGTACTCTTATCCGTGATATGTGAATAATATATTACTCACCTTTTCTCATGATGTCCAGTTTGCAGAGGTAAGTGGCACACTGCGTATCCTCTAATGACGTCATTACCGAAAAAGTCCAGTCCATAAAATGACATAATAAGCTGCGGCCCTACGACAATTGATCTTTTGCTAATTACAAATTAAAAATGTAAAAAGTAATTATACCAAAAACTTATTCACAATGTCTTTTGTTTCACAATGCTTAATAAAAATCGATATCTCTGAGTACTCACAGCCGTGTGGATTTGTGCTCTTGAACGTAATGTCTAAGGGAAAATTCCAAACAACGAGGTTTCGGGGGTCATTGCTGCATTTGCACATTTGCGTCAAACCTTCCTCGATTCCCTGTATGACATTTTAACTTTTGCTATGAATCTTACCGTGTTATTTAATCTCTAAAGTAAAATTTAGTAAAAACATTGTAGTAATCTGAACGTAAGAGAAAATATATACGTGAAAAAGTGCTGACGTCAATATATGTATAATATAGCTGGGAAGTGACCTATATTGTCGAAAAAATTTCTCTGTTTATTACATTTAAAAACTTAATTTTACCTCTTTTGTTTGTTTGTTTATTGTTTTAAACTTACCGATACTACACTCCATTCCGGTCCGAAATGAAAACCGTATTTGCAGTACGCATTATCGACATCATAGAACTCTGAATGTTCGATGGAGCCGGTAACGGAGAGAAAAAATTGACCTTCCACTGACATATTCGTTAAACGGAATTGACGTCGCTTTTTGTTTTAACGTTTGATCAATAATATCTAGATAAATTGCAAACATGCAGCAAAATTGAGACACTTTGACCTTTGTTTACAATATGAAACTGTGCGTTATTGTCATGGAAACGATGCACGCATGTGCATTACGACATAGTTGTGTCAACGCTCTCCTCCTCATAAGCCATTTTCTTTTTTAAAATCTTTCCTTTTTTATATCATATTTTATTATAAAGATTTAAATTAAAAAACTATAAGAAAAATGAGTGTATTTTTACTCTATAAGTAATCACAGATTTTATATTTAATTCTTATGTCTGTTTAGCTACTTCTTCGTCTTCCTCGATTAAATTGTCTCTTCAATAACACACCAGAAAGTTTTTCGCACATGTGTTTTTGCGGAAAGACACAGTTTTAATTTTTTACACATATCACTTTCAAAATAAAAAAGATAAGAGAAGTCAAGTAACCACTTTATTTATTTATCATCTAATACTTTATTTATATTTGTCTCGATGTTCTCGAGACAATACATCTTTCTAAAATCAGTTAACAACTATAGAAAATGTTGATGGCGCTCGCTTGTTCAGTAATTATTATATGTACACATACATATGTAATAATAACGCATCGAGCTGTATATATACAATTCGGAAATGAAGGCATTGACAGCTAAATCGATCTACGTAAGATCGATAACTATATTTTCGAGAATATGTAAGTACTATAGAATAAAGATATAAATCCGATCAGAGTCACTCCGAAGTTGAATACATTTCTCTCTTCTCTCAGGTTTCAACAAATTATACATGTAATTAATAATATATGTAAGAAATTATGCGTATTATTGTCAAGTGGGGAGTGCGCGGAAAATTTACGAATTCTATGTAAAACAAAACTAAAAAATTGTGTGTATCTATAAATATTAACATTTCTAACGCTGCATGTAATTTAATATATACATCTAAAAAGACACTTAAAGTATTGAGATTTTTGGTTGTTATTTGGACATCTGCTGCCATTTGCTTATTCTATGAAGAAAACAAGACGGAGAAGAAAAGGCCGACAGCTGCCACAGCGTGTTACTTAACACACTAGTAACAAAATAGTAACGGATGCTCGAAGTTCCACTCTAAAAACTTCAAACTTGACACAATAAGTACTCAAAAAAAGAAAATCGAAAAAAAAAGAGAAATGTAATGATCATAACATACTCTGATCGGCTCCGCTTCATTCTGCAGTACAAATTTTCTTTCATTTCCGTTTCTCCAAATGCGTTATGTTATAACAATCTAGCTTTTTCGAATGGATATCTGCCATTTAGCTTATCGTCCGCCAGAAATTTCTTTCATGCGATTTAAGGCAGAACCGGCTTTGAACCAGGCAATTTGCTGCTCGTTCATTGTGTGATTTAAGCTGATGGTGTCAACCTTGCCGTCCTTGTGCTTGATTTGCGCCTTTACCGGCTGTGAAGATTACATCATATATATAACGATAAATGGAATTAAAAAAAATCTTCTATATATGTATACAATTTTTTTACTTAAATAGATTATTTCAAAATATTTAATTATAACGTACGGTATCCCATGCTCTTTTAACTTCTAGAAATCTTTTATTATAAATTTTTTTAATAAAATAACCTTCGCATACCTTGCCAGGTGCCAAATCCTTTAATCCGAGAAGACTGATTTTGTCGGAAGGCTGAATTTTGTCATAATCAGCTGGATCAGAGAATGTCAGTGGCAAGAGACCTTGTTTCTTCAAATTTGTCTCATGGATACGAGCGAAACTCTTGACGATGATAGCGCGGCCTCCAAGATGACGTGGTTCCAGGGCAGCGTGTTCCCTGGAAGAACCCTCGCCGTAGTTCTCGTCACCTATTGCGACCCATTTTACATTTTTCTTCTTGTAATCACGCGCAACGTCAGGCACGGCGCCCCATTCATTTGTCAGTTGGTTTCTGATTTTGTTCACCTCGCTATTTTCAGAATTGACGGCGCTAAAAAAACGCAAAAAAAGAAAATTATTTGATGGAAAATGATTTTTTAATTTTTTAATTTTGATTTTTTCTCAAATAGTTGTTTTTGATTATTTGCAAGTGTCATTAATTTGATTGGAGCAACTTCTTACCCAATGAACATGTTGTTGGAAATATTGTCTAGATGTCCCCGATACTTGAGCCATGGACCGGCCGCGGAAATGTGATCCGTGGTACACTTGCCTTTAACTTTGATCAGAATCGTTAAATCTTCCAAATCCTTACCGTCCCATTTATCAAAAGGCTCGAGCAACTGCAATCTTTGGCTTTTCGAATCTACATCGACCTTCACCTTGCTACCGTCTGCGGGTGGTGAATCGTAAGTGTCTACACCGGGATCAAAACCGCGGTTTGGAAGTTCATCACCTGTGAAAAGCACATCATAATTTAGTAAGAGTTTTTATATATCACTTGTAAATTATCATCTCAACTAACCGTAGGGATTGTCCAAGAGGAATTCCTTTCCATCTTTGCCTTTTAACTTGTCTGTGACCGGGTTGAAATCGAGCCGACCGGCAATAGAGAGAGCAGTTACGAGCTCGGGACTGGTAACAAATGCGTGTGTCGCTGGATTTGCGTCGTTTCTACCGGTGAAGTTTCGATTGTACGATGTGACAATCGTATTCTTGTCTCCTTTCTTGATATCTTGACGATCCCATTGGCCAATGCAGGGTCCGCAAGCGTTAGCTAGTACCGTTCCGCCGAACTCACGAAGGGTTTGAGCCTAGAACAAATTAAAATAACAGTAAAAAAAGCATTGTTTTTTATTTCAAAGAACGATGTATTTTGTTAATATTAGGATAACTTACAATTCCGTCGCGCTCTATTGTTGCTCGGATTTGTTCGGATCCAGGTGTGACATTAAACGCGGACTTAGCTTTTAAACCGTGATTTAGAGCCTGCTTGGCGATATTTGCGCATCGACCCATGTCTTCGTAGGAACTATTGGTGCAGGAACCAATGAGACCGACCTTGATCTCGTTTGGCCAACCGTTCTTCTTGGCATTTTCACCTGTAATTACGAGAATATGTATGTAGAATTTTTATAGTGAGAAAATATATGAAAATAAGTTCAAGTTTTCGTTAATCAAATGCTAGTCCGATTACCTAGTTTAGAAATTGGGTGAGCCAAGTCTGGTGTGAAAGGTCCGTTTACATGCGGCTCCAAAGTTGACAGATCTAACTCAATAATCTGATCGTATTTAGCGTTGGAATCGGCTGTAAGTAAACTCTTATTTTGATCGGCAGCCGCGGCAATTTCCGAACGTCCAGTTGCTTTCAGATAATCTTGCATTCTATAATTGTACGGGAAGATCGAAGTGGTAGCTCCGATCTCGGCACCCATGTTGCAAATAGTGGCCATTCCGGTACAGCTGATACTGTCGACACCCGGTCCGTAATACTCGACGATGGCGCCGGTGCCGCCTTTGACGGTGAGAATGCCAGCCACTTTCAGAATGATGTCTTTAGGACTGGTCCAACCTTTGAGTTCACCTGTGAGCTTCACGCCGATGACCTTCGGGCATTTGAGTTCCCACGGAATGTTCGCCATGACATCAACGGCGTCGGCACCACCAACACCAATGCACAGGCAGCCTAAACCACCTCCATTAGGAGTGTGCGAGTCAGTACCGATCATGAGCAGACCCGGAAAAGCGTAGTTCTCCAGGATAATCTGATGAATGATGCCAGAACCGGGATTCCAAAAACCAACGCCATATTTAGCACCTGCCGTTTTTAGGAAATTGTAGACTTCCTTGTTGATATCCTTAGCGCGTTTCAAATCCTTTTCACCGCCGATCTGAGCTTCGATCAAGTGATCGCAATGGATAGTAGAAGGTACAGCAACCTTTGGTAGACCTGAAAGAAAGAAATTTTATCACTTATTGTAATAATTTCGTCGATTTTATCGCGATATTGAAATGACTGATAAGTAATTGAGAAATGTTGACTTTACCGGAACTGATAAATTGCAACATCGCCATTTGCGCAGTAGCATCTTGCATAGCAACACGGTCTGGCCGCAATCGGAGATAACTGGTACCACGAACAATGTCTTGCTTGTTAGGTTCATCAAGATGAGAATAGAGAACTTTTTCGGATAAAGTCAGAGGCCGATTCAATCTGGAAAAGAAACATTATCTCAGTAATATAATTGTAATTTGTACACGAAAAAAATTCAATTCAGGCTTAGGAAAGTTTTCTCTCGCTGATCAATATAGTAACTACTCCCTTTGCTATTTTAACCAAACTTATTTTTCCATACATAGATGTTTTATATTGTACTTAACAAAGTTAAGTAATTTACCTTTTCTTGACTATTTTAAGATTTTCTTGTAGCTTGTCATAAGGTAAATAGCTGCTTGTATCAAATTTCGACATGGCCACCTTCGCAGCAGCAAAACTCAGCGGACTTACGCTGAAGCATCGTTGTTGGATATCTGCCGCTAATGCGGACAGTCTCTATAAAAAAGTAATTAAATTATATAGTTTAAGAAAACATCTGAGACAGTTTTTAAAAAAACATCCGATTTAAAAAAGAAAACTTAACACACACACAAATGAAGTAGACATAAAAGTCATGTGAACGTCAGTCAAGTTGCGTATTTTATAATCTTAATTACGTAATTAAATTTAAGATGAATTTGATGTTTACAACACTGAAATATTCATTTGTCTGAATTGATAAGAAGCGATGTCTGTTTCAAAGAATAACAATGTTTCTTCTGATAACACGCGCTGATAACAAAAATCCGCGCTGATAAAATCCATGAATGTTTTACGACCTTCGCGATTAATTCCAATAACTATTGCGTTATAGTAGATAGGTTTTGTCTTCGAAATGTCTACTTTACTTTGAGTTTGAATTTCTTGTGCTCTTCTCACCTCAAATTCATAGATATTTAACCTTGTCTTTTAAACGTCCTCGAAAAGTGAACGATATATATCACGCAGTTTGACGTACAATTACGTAACAATCTGTGCCATTTCATCTCGCTATAATCCATTTCTTATTTTTTTTGTCTATCCGAATTGTTACGTAATTTATTTACAATTGATCTCGTTATTTACAGAGCATTGACTACTTTGCACTCCCTTCTCCTTCGATGATCGATTGTTCCTTCCATTTGCACTGCTCCGAAAGATCGGAGCAGTGACAGCTTTTCGAGAAGCAACTCCGAAATGTCAATCATTTTGAATTTCGACATACATCAATAAAATATAGCGCAATTACGTGAAAGCATCTTCGGATCCTAAAGGTCAATGAGCATTGACCTCCATGTGAAAAAGAGGGGAGAAGGAAGTGCGAAACGTGTCTGTCTGTAGTGCGCAAAATTTCAGTATCCCTTGTTTTACCTGTGCACGAAGAACCCTTGTGCAATATGACATGATGACTTGTTTCTGCCTCCCGCCAAATGTGCAAACGACGTGTAAGGCGCGTGTTAAAAGACGTGTTAATAATTTTCCCTTATGGCAGCTCTTCTCGAACCGGCCACTACAAGGGAACTGTTGAAGACACGTTATGACACCAGTACTTGATTTTTGCGCCTGCGCATCAAACGACGGATGCTTTTGTATATCGAGCATTCCGACAAAACATCTTACCACATCCACAGTTGGCAGGTATCGAAAATTATATTAATGTCTCACAATGAGAGTAAATAAGCGACGTATAAAATTTTCAAATATAATTGTGACAATGTTAGCAATCATCGTCGCATTAATATTATTGCAAATATATGTAAATAAAACAGCATATTATATGATATGTTCGCAATCTGAAAACAAGCAGGTAGGTGCAGTAACAACGACTTGCTAACTCGGCCAGTTTACAATGAGCGTCACTGAGCGAATGCTGAGCGAGTATAATAAGATAAGACGGTAAGATATATAGGAAGTCAAATAAAAGATATTTATATCCCGCCAATGTTCTTTGATTTTTCTGGCAAAGTCAAGAAGATATATAAAAAAAAAAAAATCGCGTCAGTTGAGAATAAAAAATAAAGATACATGTGCACATGTATTTTTATTTGAATTTTTGTGTACGTGCGTATTTTTAAAGTGTATCTTTTGTAAAAAAAAAAATCATTGTGAAAACTTTCTGCTGCTCTCACATCAGTTTGAATACCAGCAATCGATAGTAAAGAAACGACGAGAAAATATCTTTTGTAGCTCTCTCTCTCTCTCTATTTTACTTTTTATTGATAAATGTGGTCATTTTATTTCTAGAATTATTATTAGAATATTAAGTAAAAAACATTTTTTTAATATATCAATGTTTTATTTGTTTAAAATTAAACATAAGTATATTAGTTTGCTTATTGTTATATTTTTTTCATATTATTTTACTATTTTAATTGTTCAAATCTGATGTAAAGATCAAACAATGAGAGTTTTACGAAAAAAATTTGGATTACAATAAAACATTATTTTAAATATACAATTGTTGGTCACAATTAGTTAATTAATCGTAGTTTGTTTATTTAAAAAATATTGCAATACAATTGACAAGAGCAGTCGTAACGTTTCGTAGTCAAAGCGTTGAACAAAAACCTTCATCATCGAGCCGAAAGAATTTTACTTGAGGCGAAAAAAGGATCCATTGTGTGGGATCCGATAGGTCCTTGACACAATTAATCCCTTGTAGGTGGAACTGGGCAAATTTCGACACTACTTTTGCCAAACTCGCTTATCGCCGGCGCTTACTAACAATTCGTTTACGTCAATTAGCGACGTATCGGAACGAATGGATTTATTTTCAGCTTCCTTTAAAGGTGCCGGGACGAGGTTCGTGCAGAATGGGTTCTTACAAAGTAAATCACTTGAGAAGGTCGGCGACATTATTCATCGGATTATATGTAATATCGTTGTCGTGCGACGTAAGCACGACAACAAACTGTAACAACAATTGTCGAAAGAGAAAGAACCTCGGGAGAGCGGATGGTCTAGTTGAAATCTTGAAGTGAACGCTCTGACAAAATCAGATTGCAGATAATGGCGAAAATTATATGTCACACATTGTGTTTAAGAAGAAAAAAATTTAGACTGTCTAAGGATACGCGGATGTGTCAGCGTTCGTCTTAAAAGGAAGCGAGAACAGACAGGATGTGTCTACTTTCCCGAGAGAAAAAAAAATTATGTTCCGCGTAACCTAACTTGGATCCAATTGGACCAACCGACGACGCGCCTCGAGCTGTGATGGCGAAAGTGTAATAGTTTGCTCCAATTTCCCCGAGGCTGCGTTTATCGAATGTTACACCCACGTCTCTTAACGTATTTATTCTCTTTATATCCTTCACGAGTCCGTTAATCTTCAAATTTTCCAAATTGATATTGTCTTCCTATTTACAAGCAATTGTTTTTTTTTTTTCAATATAGTTCTCTTTCCACAGAATTTTTCCTCAAATAAATAAATTTTCTTCTGAAAAAAAAACGTCGGATTTCACACTTTACAAATATCGTCGACAACTAATTTTGTTTAACGCAGAAAGCTCGGCTTAAAAACGACTTAATAAAATCTAGAGTTTTCGACTTCCTAGAATTAATTTCTTTCAAACTAGTAGTTTTCATTGCTAACAAACTGGTAAGCGTAAAAACGAGCGTAGTTTCCATAGCCCGGCGATTTCCTTTAGGCGTTCCGACGTAATCATGTCGATATGTCGCCCGGGGCACTTTGCGTTTCAATATCGGCCGAAAAATCGAACCCATATAAATCGACCTGACGTGTGCGAAAGGAAAAGGCTACATACAAACTGTCGAACACGTAGCCTCGTTCGCTGGTTTATGACTTTTTTTTTTTTTCAAATGACGATTTGATATAGAAAACGATTATACGGGTAATAGTAATTTGTTTCGATTAAATCTTCACTTGAAAATCTAATCAACGGGGTTAATATCTTTCGTTACGTTTGAATCTTTAATAACGCCGATTGCGAAAAGAAATGTTCAGCTATTGACGTAGTGGTGCGTGTCATCGACAACTTGCAGCGCGATATTTCAAACGACATGACACGAAGAAGCCGGACACAGAAAGAGACTTTCGGCGAATTCGCCAACTTGGACCGAAAACAGGTGTGTCTGGTCTTGTCTGTAACCGGACGAATAAGAAACGGGGTGTTCCGCGGAGTGACGTAATTCTGGAGAAAGCGGACGCGTGCGTGGACCGCATGTGTGCTCCGTAAAAAAGAGCAAAGGGTCTGTAATCTCCGCACACTCTCGTACAATCTTTCAATTACTTGAAGACAATTATTTGAGCTACGGAGCTGTCGCGTGTATTTCTGGATATATATAAAATAACGCGAAGCGCGCAACACCGGGGTGCGAGACGCGCATCGAAGACGCCTTCAATGACGTCGCGTGGCAGGAATCCTCGCGGCAACAGATAATTTACCGCGTTCCATGCACATTCGTATTATGCATATTACAACGCGATAATTGCTTGTATGGAATTCTATTAAGCACTTGATTACGATGATTTGTCTCGTAATTTTTCTCGGACGGTTAGCGTATCCTTTTAATGAAGAGGAGGATCGGAAAAGGTTGCGTTACGTGCATGAAATAAATCCGTGAAAGTGCGCTTGTCCGGAAAACGAGATGTACGACGATTTTTTTTTTCGATGGATGGGAAATTGTTTTGAGTAACGGTGTTCTCGAAGGTCGACTAACAAAATTGTCGTCGTTGCGATTATTTGCAACGTATAGATAAAAATTAGTTGTAACGGAGACTGAAATTTCTCTGTCTTGATTGATTTCCGGATCGTAGAAGTCGAGGCTGAAGAAATTTATCGTCATTAGAGAGACTTCGCAGATTTTCTGTAAATTAACGGTGTTATGTACATAGTTTTTTTTTTTATCGAAAACTGTCATGTAATATCGTTAATTAACGAGATCCTATACCGAAGTGAAGAGCTTATTTACTGTTGCACGACAGTGCGATATAATTGCAAAATGATCGATCGAAGTCGATAGCGGATCACTTGTCGCGGTAAAGAAACACGCTCGCGGTTACGCCCGCAGGCTTTACCGTAAAACGCCATAAAGATACTTACGTAAAAGAAGACAATGACATATTGCTACCGTAAAACATGTCGTCGCGATCATTTTTCTTCTCTCTTTTTCTTTCCAAAGATAACAGTTATTTATTTGTAGCATGAATAATAAATTCATCTTTTTTTTAAGTTTAAGTTTGGAAGAGAAGATTTCGATTTAGATGCGAAAAATTCGGATTACAATACTTTGGCCTCGCTTGGTAATTACAAATATATGCTGAAATTTTATTAAAAAAATAAATATGCAATTACAATATTTTTTAGTATTTGTAATAATTTGTTTAATGAAACATGTTTGCGTTTTCTTAAAAGTGTCCTTCGTAATTTTAGAATAAAAACTTATTTTTAGATCTTAATGCTCATTTAATTACGATTATATAAACCTTAATTCCTTGCATGTTGGCTTATATCTAATTGTTTCCTCAAAGAATTTTGGTTTGTGTCGGTGAACAAAAAGAAGACCTCGACGTATTTGTGTCATTACGAGTTTTTCTCACGAATTGTGTGACTCGATTGTGCGTTCCAATTTTGTCCTTATTAGTAGACTGGAAAAAAAAACCAGATGTCCTATGACTGATAAACCGGTTTTTAATAATTACCTCTTGATTAAAAAAAATTTCTTGTATGTGTGAAATAATTTTAAAATTTGTAAAAAACTATATCTGTATTTCAATAGATTTGATGTGAGATGGTTAAAAATAATATGGCGATCGCAAAGTCTGCATTCTATGAAAATGCAGTGCGTTAACGTATGATTCAAAAAACTAAATTAGATTGGCCCGGTATTCTCTCGCAGCCTAAGTGCTACGAGCAGGAAGGTCCCGAGTTCTCGAATCCACACTTTCGGATTTTTCCGGACCGGTCTCTTTCGGCCAAATTTACTGACTTAAATGTGCGAACTGAATCGGATCGTTTCACAAATGCTACAGCTTTGATATACAACAAAAAACAAAGTTAAATGTACAAGATGACATGCATAATTTTTGAATTCGTTACTCCACGTCTACAATGCAACGCGCGTCATGCTGAATTCTAGGATACCATACGCGCGTCATTCCGCAGTTGTCAGCGCTCGATTGTAAAAAGACTTGGCACGCCTTACTAGAACGCAATTGTTTCCTTTTCGAGTGGCGGCTGCTTTTGTTTTTACGAGTGCTGTAATTTTCTAACAGGATCCTTTCCCTCACATCGTCGTTTCGCTGCAGAAATGTGCGAGACCATCGCACGCAATTGCACCAGATCGCCCGCAGCATCCAAAGTAAAGCGAAGCGTCCTCGCTAATTGTCACTTCGTTCTTCCTTGAACAATATAACTTACGGGTTTTTAGCTAAGAATATTAAGTTGATCGAGAGAATATAAGTTATAAATAACTTTTAAATTATTCACATGTAAAGTCAAGATTTCCGCGTGTGCTTTTCTGATTACGTAAACCTCTCGTTGCAAATTACTCGAGCTAAAATTACGAATACTACGAAGAGGAATAAATGTGAGAAAAATGCGATCATAAATTTAGATAATCAATGAAAGTATTAAAAAGCGGCAGCGCGTTACATCGCGCGAGTGCGTTCTTTGAATTAAGACAATTTATTATTTTTTATTGTAACAATAAAATGATCGTTTTATTCGCTGACAAACGTGACGCAACGTATAGAAATTGCCGCAGAGTTGGCACATCGACAGATCGAACTTACTGTTGATTCATTCGGCAGTTCTTTTGGTTGGTCAGCACGCACGCTTCGAGTTGAACAATTTCAGGCATTCAACTGTCGCCTTTGCTACAAAGTTTCTCACGATCAAACGGCGATGACAAAGACAAATTGCGATTTCGCTGGAAACGTGCAACGTTACAGCAAAATTCGATGTAGGTCGTCGTAAATGTTTTTTATTTACATTTACATATATGTTAATATAAAGAGTTTAAAAAAGACACCTTGCGGTATAAAAATTCGTTTACGAAAGAGCTTCTATGGTTAGATTTTGTTTGTTTTTCTCTTCAAAGAAACAAATGCCGCTATGATGACAAAAGTTCATCGAAATTGACGTGTTTCCGATGGAGTGTAAAAAAAAAAAAAAAAAAAAAATAGATTCAGTGATGTAATCGTCGAAGAGTTAAAGAGGGTCTCATCATCGATTAGCATACGTCAATGATTAATATTGCAACGCGGATGCCAAGTCCGCGGATATGCTGCATAAGCGAGTAAACTCAAGTTGCATAGGGAGTTATACAGCAGTACATAGTTCGACATAATAAACACGCACGGCGCGACATTTCAGATGCATCGCAGATGCATCCGAGATCTTTTGATGCTCGAATTTTTCAAAACGTTTTTTTTTTTTTTTTTTTTTTTTTTTATCGAGATCGCAATCTCGGAAGCAACTCGAAGTATTCGATCATCGAGAGAGAAATCCCGTTTTTTTGTTACGTAAACTTACATAAATTGCAATTGAAAAAAAAAAAACATATTTTAATGTAAAAATTTATTTCTGATTTATTCTGACAGTGATTGAACGGCCAATCGTCATTAGCGTGACTCATTTCTGATATTCAACAACTTAGTCACTCAAGTTGTCAGAAAGATCTACTCTGCTCTGTCTTCGTGTGGATCATACACCAAGTTGCCCCGATCTGGGGCAGTGCGTGCACTCGCGATCAAGCGATCCATCGATCCCGATGGCCTCCGGTGTCACTCCCTCTTTTTTCGCTTCTCCTCCGCTCGTGCTCTCTCGAGGTACCTTCCCTTTCGATCTTTGGTCCTCACTACCATCCGGTTAAGATCGGCAAGGTTTACTAAGACAGCACACGTCTTCTGAAACTTCAGTACAAAACGCGCGCTCGAACTCGAAAGATCTTGAAGTCTCCTTCACTCGATGAAGAGAGAGAAACAGAGAGGGTGAAAAAATCTGAGAAAGGAAAACCCGATTAACTCATGCAGATTAATTCTCGATGCAATGCTCAACAGTTCAAATGTGATTTCATTTCGGTCCTCAAAATTTGACTGTGGTTTACCGCAATTTTAGTGTTTGTTTAATCAGGGGGTGAGAAGCGCGCAATATGTGGGGCCGAAAAATTCTTCTAGTGTTATTCGCGCTTACAGCGCTCGGAATAACGACGAGTAAGTAAGAATTAATAAAAGAGTGTTTTTCTAAGTGTGACTTCGTTAATTAAAAAAATCCGTTAGTATATTGTAGAGATATACAATATTTTATGACGTTTTTTTGATTGCTCATATTAAGTCTCTCTGTTATAAATTTAAATTAAATTTATTTTTTAACGAAATCTTATATAAAAAGAAAGCAGAACGAAATTATAAAACAATTATAGCAAAATTATTGTGCATTAACATATTATTAATTCGTTCATTCTTAATTAATTATTTCGTGCAAAAGAAACCGAGAACTTGAAAGCGAAATTATAGCTCTTGTAACTGGTATCTGTAAGAGAGACATACATACCTTATTAAGGGTTAAATAGCACACATCGGCGTGCGATGCGTAAAGCGATCTTCTACCGATTACATTATACATGTATCGGATACACTACGTTCTTTAAGGTCGAATTATGCCACGTGCAACTGAAGCAATCATCCTTACAAGGATGATGCTATTTATGTCGTCAATTGCGTGTAAATTATTTATTTATTTATTTTTTTAAAAGTATATATTCGATCATATTTAATTCGTATCTTGCTAAGATTATAAGAGAAATCTGCGTTGAAGCTGCGTTGAAGCTTCAAACATAAATTAATGATAAAACAAGATTTTAGTACATCATTAGAAAACTTTATCGTTTAACACACAGATCTGTTCAGCTTCATTTTTATTTTCACAAATATATAATTTTTATACTCACATTACATTAATGTTCAGTTGAACTCGCTAAGTGACATTTCGAATATCTCCATCTCAGAAGCAGTGTTTATAATATATGAAAAAACTTTACGAGCGTCACGCTATTTTATGCAACGTTACGCTCAATTATTCGCGCGATAATTGCAAATAGTTGGTAAGTTAATGTATCCGGGACCGGCGATTGTGGCAATATAAAAGCCGCTTCTGATCCTTCTCTCAATCCTTCGCGCGCGCTTCTTTCTTTTAAAGAGAATAAACAACGAGTTTGCGTGACTATGCAAACGACTAGTATAGTAACAATCACATGGCGCACTTGCGATCGGTCGATGATGTCAACCGTTGAAATTTCCACAACGAACGTGCGCGTCTTCACGTAGAGACGCGTTCTTTCCATAACGAAACACAAACATTTGTTTCAATATTTGCAGAATGTCCGAAAAGGAAAACGTCACCTATCAGAGAAATTTTCTGTTACACTTCCACCTTCAACGTGCAGTTGCTAGCTGACTCCGTATGCAGCTGCACCACTTTGGTGCATCAAAATCATGATGTGCGAAATCTCTCTATTTCCGGTAAGTATAAATTACGAGTATAGTAGAAGTATATATATATATATATATATATATATATATACAATGAAATATATATATTAATAACAAATGATATTGTTTTAGACATTACTGATTTGCGGAAATCCTTGAAAGAGATGCATCCTTCCCTCCAGTTTATAATTTCTATATTTGATCCCGCAAAAACACTCGTAAGTTCCGCGATGATACGACAAGAAGCTCTCGCTCGGATTCTTGCTGTCATAAAAGAGGTTCGGTATCTGCTAGTTTTATTTATTTTGATTTATTTTATTTATGTTTAAAAAATTGAATAATTCGAAGGTCGAACGTGATATAATTGGAACTGGAAGTAAATTCTGATTTAAATAGTGATGTTACATCATGTATAAGTATGCGAGCAATGTTACCAAAAAAAAGTTATCTATTTTTTTTAGGTAGACGGTGTGGAGATGAATATAACGGCGGGTTCTAAGGAACGTCTTTATAATTTTGTAAAAAGTTTGAAAGACGAAATGATCCGAAAGTCTTACGACAAGAGGATTTTCCTATCATTGCCTACTAAATCAGGAGACATAGCCAAACAGTTTGACCTTAAAAAACTTGTAAAGTAAGATCTTTGTAATATCTTGTTTAATTTTTATACGCACTATATACATATATAGTTTTGTCACAAATATTTATACCTTCTGGATTTCTCTTTATCAGGTATATTGATATATTTACGCTGCCAACGGACTACATGACAGACGAAGACAGTGCTTTTGTCACCTTTCACCCTTCGCGTTTGATGGGACTGTTCGATATGCTCAACCCAGACAGTTTGATAGACCTGATAAGTGGATTGGGAGTACCTAAGCAGAAGATTTTAATGACTTTACCGGCCAATGCATACAAATTTGCTTTGAAATACAAAGACGAAAACGCTCCTAGATCGGAAACTTCGGAAAAAGAGCCTGTACCGATCGATCGTAAACAGGTGTGATATAACAATATGCTTTTTTTCTTTTTTTTTTTATCATTTCAACATTATATAATTAACATTAAGAAAAATGAGTAAATTTGTTGAGAATTACTATTATTTAATAATAATTTAACTAAATTTTAATTAAATTATTTTCGAACTAATCAATCTCTATCGTAGCTTTGTAAAACTTTGAAAAACGGAAACTGGACCGTTGAACGAGATGAAGATCTTACGGCACCATACACATTTCAAAACAAAACATGGATTGCTTTCGAGGATAAAATTTCAGTTGGAATAAAGGTTTGTAAAAAGTTAAATATTTGCACGTAAAAATTTAATGATATGTCGCACTTAGATTATATTATATTCAATATTTGTTTAATTTAATTTTCAAAAAAAATGTTGTTTTTCTGACAAAAACTTAATTTTAGGGAAAATATGTGTTGTTGCGGGATTTGGCAGGATTGGGAGTGCGACATATAGAAAACGATACGAAGACCGAATGCGAAACTCCGCTCACGCAAGAAATTTTTCATTCCTTCACGGAGTTCAACAGAAAAACGAGGCAAGCTGTGCTCAGTGCGCTGGAAGATGAACTTCATGTACGTAAAGTTAGTCTTTTTTTTTGTGTCAGAATATTTCGTACTTTTGCAAAATAATTTGTTCGACATTTCAGCAAACTCAGTTTTCGTATCCGAATCAAGCGACAACGTCTAGCTTTCGTGTTGTTCGTGTAGTAGATACGCAGGGGCATATCCGAGCTGTACGCGAGAGCACACAAACCGAGTTTGTTTGTAGGAGACAAGGCTACTTTGTTCATCCTAAGAGTTGTAATAGGTATTGATAATAGTAATATAAATTATTTATCGTCATTAAAATATATTTAGAAATCAGAATATAAATATAAGAACGAATATCGATGTCACTATGTATTTAATCGTTCGTAGATTCTATCGTTGCGTGAAGTTTAATCAAGAGGTGGAAAATTATTCCGTTTTCGAATTCGATTGTCCGGCCGGCTTGTCGTTTGACGAGCGCACAGAAGTTTGTGTTTGGCCTGGCTCTTTGCCTCAAGGTTCACCGTGTCCTGGTAGCAGCGAGATTGCTCCCGTTGCTCCAAAGAGATTCGAATGTTCTAAATCTGGTTACTATGCGGATCCACAAAACTGCCGATGGTTCTTTTCTTGCATGGATTTAGGTATGTCATAATTAATACGTCATGAAATACATATTGTTCGAAATTGCATAATTAAAGAAAATATTATAATTAAAGAAATTTATTAAACATTATTCTTATCATTCTAGCCACTCATGTAATTATCTCTAAGTTTTTCTTTAATAAATAAAACGAAGAGAGAAATTTTTATAACAAGATATAATTATCTTCAACAGGTGGACCGGAATTAATGGCGTTTGAATTTCGCTGTCCGTACGGTTTGGTTTTTGATGAGCAAAAATTAGTATGCGAATGGCCCTGGTTGGTTCCAGCTTGCTCAGAGTCCGGATCGGCTTACACTAGAACAGAATACGATTACAGAGGACATTCAGCAGGCACTTCTCCCGGATTCGGTGGCGGTAGTTACGTAACTGGTAGTCTACCGGAATATTCTGTCACAGGTGGAACTGATTACTCCAACGTAGACTATTCTAAAACTACCAATACCGGTATCCATGGAGTAAATTACTTCGGATCCACCGCAGGACACATCGGTGGACACACTGGCACTTCAGATTCTGTAGGATTATCTCATGGTCAAGCTAGTGTTGATTATACTCAATCATCTGGATACAGAGGATCCTCTATACCGACATACTACGGATCATCTGACATTGGTTCGGTATCTCCTAGTATAATCAGTGGAGGACAAAGTAACACGAGATATTCAACATCGAGTGACAAAGTTAACAGTGGACATACTATATCCACTCATCAAATTGGCACAGGATATGCAAACACTGGATCACTGGGAGGAATTGTTACGGGTTTCTCTGGATCAACGGTTCAAGACTATTCCGGAAGTACTAACGGAAGTCATCATTTCTTGGGCGAACACGTAACTTATTCAGGGGCACCTGTATCGGATTATTCTAGTCCTGGAGGAGGATACACAGGATACACAGGAAGCGTCGGTGTAACTAATTCAATAGTAGATACGGCTAGTCATTTAAAACCAGGAACAAACTATTTCGGATCTACAGGACAGTCCGGATCATCTGTCGGTGTCTACGCAGGATCTACTCCTAAGTATTCTGATTCGAGTTTATACAAAGGTTCCGACGTATTTAACGTCGGCGGTCATTCAACTTCTAATGTCTACTCGGGAGCGACCGAACGTCGGCCATCGCATGGTGCAACATTTGGAGTTAACTCTTATCCTGGAACTATCGGCGGTATTGATTTTACCGGATCGATTAATAAAGAATACACAGGATCGAATACGCAAGTATATGGAGATACAAGCGGTGCAGGATATTCTAAAACTGCGGGCGCAGGTAGTTCTACTGGATTTGGTGTAAATTTGTCAACTAACACTGGAATACATTCAACACTGCACAGTTCGACAAGCTCAGATCGAGTCACGGGAACTGATTTCATCAGTGGCTCTTCAAAATACGGATTAACTTCAGGAATTTCCACTATCTCAGGTCATAGTGGTAGTGCGACTGCTGACAGCGATCATTTTATAAGCGGTAGTACAGCATCTTCGGGAACAACAAATACAGGAATAAGATATAACAATGAGGATGGATATACAATTCCGGTATTTATACAACATGGAGAACCGATCTATCCCTTACCTGGAACTGGAGTGAGAGATCATACTGGAACGACTGGAGCAGGTGGAATCAGCGTAACAAATGCGAGACCTAATTTTAATATCAGTATTTTTGGCAATGAAATCCCTACTGGCTACAATATTCAGAAAGGAACTACTAATACAATTTTGACTGGAAGTAGTATACAAGAAGGTATTTTTACCGGCGACTCTTATACGGGAACTGCTTTTAGTCACGGAAACATTCCTGGAGCAGTGTCAAATCCTTCTGTTAATCAAGGTGCTGTTTTAACCGGAGGAACTCAACCCGGCTATGTTGTGACTTCTTCCGGAACATCTGGATATGTTACTGGAGACGGAGTGAAGACTGTAGATGGCGGATCAGCTAGTTTAGGAACATTAACATATGGGACACCAACGCCTGCAATTTCATTAACAGGTCCGTCAACACCCGGCACCGTTTTGAAACATGATATCACCCCGGGTGTTATTATTTCTGGACAAACTGCTCCTGGAATATCTGTAGGATATTCTACTCAACCAGGAATTATTAAGAGTTCAACTGGTCCACAATCAACCTATCACGGTATTGGCGGTATCAATACTGTTACGGGAGGATCAGTAACTTCAAACAACATTCAGAGTGGAGGAGTACTGTCTACGAATCTTCGAGATTATAAAACCGATGAGGGTCATAGCACTGCTACATTTAATGTCGCTTACGATACCAACAAGTATTTGGAAAAAGATATTCCAGACTATAGACCAACTAGTGCAACTCTTCCCGATATTATCGTACCTGGAGGTAGGATAGAAGGTGGTGGAGGTGTTGTTAGTTCTACTTTAGCTCCAGATCGTGTCGCTACTGCAGTGTCAGGATATTCTCCGACCAAATCGGCTGTCTTTACTCCAAGTGGATTTACGAAGACCGGTCCAACTAGAACAGGTATAACCACTGCTATTCTCGGAGGTGGTGGCAGCTATTCTATAAGCACAGGTGATCGTCGGCCTACTTTCAATCCCGAAAATATCAGTGAGAAAGCATTCGAAGGAAATGTTGCTGGATATACTAAGACATCATCTATTAATAATGCTGCTGGCAGTGTATCCGCTACTTTGACACCAACCAGTTATTCCTCAACAGTTGCGCCAGGTGGTAGCGTCTCACAATCAGTTCCTTCTGGATATTCGTATCCCAAGCCAACTGTTCAATTGGGAACCAGTGGTGTAACATTCCCTTCATCGTCGATTTCACCGATTAGAGATTATTCACCGGTTACGACGCCAACGCCATTTGGAAAAATCGACGGATCATCGGATAATGTGTTCGGATTTAAGATACCTACTGTGTCAACTGACCGCCGCGTACCAATATCGACGATCACGCCTACGATTTATACCACCAAATATCCAGACACTTATAAATCGACCCTTTATGAAGCAGCCATCCCGTCAACCGTATCGACCGTCAAGCCTCTTATTGACACCGATTACAAAACTGTAGTTTCCACGAATATTCCGGTATCAATATCGACCGATGATCGCTTCATTCAACAAACTGACATTTCGCAAACTGGTTCGATAGCCACGTCTAGTATCGGTGTTGGAAAAGTACCTTCCCAACGTCCTGTTTTCTCGACGGTTTCGACCGGCCAGAAAGACTACACTTCTTTTACTTCACGTCCAATAAGCTCAGAATATCTTCCTGCAAAACCGAGTAAGTCCGGTACGGCCACTTCTACCACGAAGTATGACATACCTGCGGTGACTCAGCAACCAGAGCTCGGAGTAACGTACAAGAAACCATCATCAGTTCATGAAGGTCCTTTTTCGGTCATATTGCCTACTACGTTCAGACCTTCCGATGTGTATTATCCTGATCAAGGATTTACATCCCCGTCTTCCGTAGAAACCACTCCAAGCGGTGGTTCTCCGATAAACTTGGATATTACGAGAGACAAAATTGACAAGTTAATTACTAATTACGACAGAGGCACTGTCAAATACACGCCGAGCGTGTACGATGACTTTACAAGCTCAGGATTTGATTCAACCAAGACCTTCTCCTCGTCATCATCGTCACCCTCGAAGTCTTCGTTTTCTGTGAAAACCGGCGGCACTCTTGGCGTTACAACACCTAGTTTCAGTCCGATATTGTCGTATGAAGTCACCACGAAGTCTCCCGAAGGCAAGGGCAAAGTTATCGTCAAATGGAGCGATCTTCATCCACTTCTTCTAGGCAAACTCGGAGCGGAGTGCACGTGCAAAGCTGATCCTTTTGCTACTCTTCGAGGTCCGATAAGAAAGTTAATTGATTCTTCGAGAGGAAAAGTGGATCTAGCCAACTACGACGAGTCTGAAATCTACGTCGATCTTGAGAACGACAGTGGTTCCAAAGAGAACGATTATATTACTGATTATGGTCATTCATCGCCGCAGCCGTATAAGCTTAGTCCGCTTAAGACGACAAGCGTCACGACGGGCTCAACGAAACTGCCATCGTCGTCTTATTTATCTGTGCCTTCAACGACTCTTAGTTCGAGATATTTCGATATTTCTACTGGAACATTCGGAAAAGCTGATGAAGAATCTTCTAGATTGCAGATTGATGTTCGAACTGGCAAGAAATTAACAGACATTAATACTTCACTGAGCACTTCTGATGAAAGAAGAGAAGAAGAAGATGATGATCCTGATCAAATTATTGACGGTGCGACCAATTGCGCCAGACCAGGTCTTTTCAGACACCCAAGTCTCTGTAACAAGTTTTACGCTTGCCATTGGGATCAATGGAAGAAGAAGTTCACACTCCACATCTTTAATTGTCCAATTCATCTGACATTCGATTCAAGTGCGAGCGCATGCAATTGGCCGAGTAAAGGCCCAACTTGCCAAGCCGACAATTTATTAGTTTGAACTTGTTAGACACTTATTATCGCTCAATATCTCAGCGCGCCTTTTTTATATTTACATAACATTAATTTTTTTAATCTCTTGTATATAACAACAAACAATAAATTAATGTTCTTCTTGTTTTTAAAATTTGCGGCTTAAAAATGAATTTTTACTCAAACAATGAGATGTTGCAAGTAATTCTTAAACGAGAGATCTACTTTTACTTTCACGCAAACCGGTTTCTCGGTCTTGGAGATCGATTGATACTTTTGTTTTGAGTTGATCTTGAAACCCAAATTCTTTTTCCATTTGCATTGAATAGCACTGATCAAGAAACACAGTAGTACCTCGCGCCAACGAAGTCGCGCTCGAACGGCGCGAGGCACTCGTTCCTCTTGTACGCGAAATTCATGCGATTGAGAAGTGAAAAAATTTTCATGGATCAATATCTCAAGAATGATTAAACCGATCAATTTTTTACGTTTTTAAAGACACGTGATTACAGTAAAGTCACGTGTTGTTTTTCCTCTTCTTTCTGTCACGCGATTTTGCTTTAATCGCGTTTTTCAAGACACGTGACACGTGACTGAAGTGAAGTCACGTTACTTTAATCACGTGTTGTTTTTTACTCCACCTTTTCTCTATTTTTCGAGTTTGATTTCTATGCGTTATTTCTGACACTTCTCATAAGTGTATTATATGGTTTGTAAATATCACATCGCAATGAATTCTTTAGTGTCGTGGAGTAAAATTGTGGAAAAGTTTACGTTTGTTGAGACGTAAGGTGGAGGCCAAATTCAAGGTAATCAAGTTGCGGACTGTGGGAAAGCGTTGGCAAAGTGAAAGTACTTCGCGTTTATCGAAACTGCAAAAACAAAAAAACAAAAAATTGTCGATCATCATCAACGTGTGCGTATATATATTTTTGTACGTGATAAAATTTATATACATATATGTAAATATATTAAGTAAAATTTCTAAAAATTATGAAACACATTAGTTGCGTGAAAAGCGTAAGAAAAATATCAAGCTATGTGCTTTCTTAATGTATATGTATATAATATTATATACATATTACATACATGTTTGTTTTAATTGCTTATCATTTTTTTCGTAATGATATCCAAACATATAAAATATTATTTATTCGTCATTTATAAAGAAAGTTTAGCGATAAGTAGTCAGTATATATAACGTTAGTTCTCATTTTTTCTTACAAGTCGAACAAAACTTTTGTTTGTCAAATAATCTATTGTAAAGTATTTTAGAAATATTAAATTCGTGAATAAAACATATTTTTGTTGAGTAATCTTACCTTGTTTTTATATATTAAGAAATAGTTGTAAAGTTCTAGAAACTTTTTTTTTGCAAAAATAACAATATCAAGGTAAAAAAACATATTTTATCCTCCTCTCTCTTTATGTTTCAATAGATATTTTATTAAACATTTATTATTTTTGAAATAAAAAATTAATTGTTCTTGTCCGTATATTATTTTAAAAACTTGTTGATTGTTGTACATCTATAATTTCTTTAATCACTTTCAAATAAGAAAAAAAATTATACAATCTTTGTTTGCTTTCCTTTCGCGGGTAGAGGTAGGAAGTTATCGTTTTGTGACTACCTAGCCGCGGCTAACGTGCCAATCGACGACTGGAGAAGGGTCATGATTACCAATCAGCGAGAAAGAGCAGCGAGTGGAACGAGATGTAAAATGAAAGAAAAGGCTGGTGACCGGTGAACGATTCACTAGTACAAGCTAGGAGGTGATATAAAGGCGCACGCGGCTCTGATTTGGTCTGATTTGGTCTGTAACACGGGAGAACTAGTTTGATAGCGGGAAGTCCGTCGCTGCCACACCACTTTTTACCATCATGTAAGTTTACTATTAGTTTACTATTATTGTATAATTACACTCAGTGGTGATCTTTCATTGTGTTTAGACGATATAATCTTGCTCTTGTCGCTATAAAAATGTGCAATTTTCCTTATTTGAAATATTCAGACATTTGATCCCAAAAAGAGAGAGACGTTATTATAGTATCATTTCATTTCATAGATCGCACGTTATGATTCGAATTCCTCAGTAACTTTTACGCAATTTTTTGAAATAATTATGTACGCTATAATATAATTGTTTACAATAATAAGTATTTTTATACGCAAAAAATTGTATTAAAGACAAAATATAAAATATTAAAAGTCTACGATGACATTATAAAAAAAAAGTAAAAGTAAAGGACAGAGAGACCCCTGACCGAGAAGTAGCCGCGGGCAGTGAAAGTAGCGCGAACCGCGACTTGAACTTTACTTCTGCGAATGGTCGCACTGGCGATTATAAACGTTAACCGAGAGAGCAAAGAGAAACGATATAAGTATAAAAAAATTTTCCCGGGCTACTCCCACGTGATGCGTTGCGCAAGAACGTGTTGTCGCCTCGACTGCACTTGCGTCTCGGCATTATGGTAATTCCGAGTATCGTGCTTATTGCGCAGTTTTAAAGTGTACTTCGCACTTTTCTCATCTCGAATGTATACATCCAATTATAATCATCAGTAAGAGCTTCATTTTAGTGAATTAACATAGCTGCGAATTATAAGTTGTAATAACTTGTTGTCTAGTACGTATCAATGAAGTTTCATATTCTATATCTTATAAATAGGGTGGTGTGGGCGGTGTTGATATTGGCAGCGGCCGCGTTGATCGATGCAGCGGTACCAGATCCACCGGAAAATCAGCCTGGTATCACGACGATCGGTTCCAAAAAATTAGCGACTGCCGCCGACTGCGCCGGAGTCGTCGCCTTCTCTGCTACTCAAGGATCGGTGCATGTGGGTTATAATTAATGTCATGTTATTAATTTTAGAAATTTTACATCTGAATGAAAGATCCGTATTTTTAGATAGAATATAATGTATCGATGTATATCTTGTTCAGGAAGCCAGACTCGTACTTGCCGACACTCTGGTGGACAAAGGAGTCGGTTATGCAGCGGAAACGGGGATTTTCACCACGCATTGTCCAGGCCTCTATCAATTCAGCTTCGCCGGGTACGGTAGCACGGACCTGCGGCTAACCTTGAAACGCAAACTGAACAAATCCGACAGTTGGAGACCGATTGTCAGCGTTGGTCCAGGCGGAGGAAGCAATCTCGTACTATTGGACACCGAAGCTGGTGATCAATTCGCTGTCTTCGTTGAGTCCGGCAAGATTGCCGACGGGGCCACTTTCACGGCCCATCGCGTTTACAAAAGATAAGCATCTGAGAAAAAAGATGAGAACGCTCCAGCAAAATCTAAATGTTGTGCGAATATCGGAAATATTTTTTACGGTCTCATTTCGAAGGCTTTATATTTGAAAAAGTTTATAAAATTTGTAGTTCTAAAAATTTCTCGAGATAAATTCGATATTCTGTGATAGCTACTTTTCTCCTTGCGTTTTCTTCTTTGATTTTTATCTTTCACTTTGCGCTTTTATTAACTCTCTCTTTTTATCAACTTTTCTTTCTCTCTCTTTCTCTTTGTTTTTATAAACTTTCTCCTATTCGTTTTTCTGTATATTTTATTGCTTTTGTCTTCGCTATAATGACGCAATTAGCAATTAACTTTCTCTCGCTCGATATTTACTTCTTCTTTCTTATACCTCGTAAAATTATTCACATTTCCACTTACTACTTACTTTCTAGACTTCATTATTGTTTTTCTGCTGGCTTTACTTTCTTTCGTTCTTTTTTCGATGTCATCTTTTTTATCTCTTTCTCTCCTTTTCTATTTGTTTTCACTTACTGTTTTCACTACTGATACTGTCTGCTTTTTGTTATTTCATTGACAATTTCTAATTTTATTTCATTTCAGTTTTTTTAGTTTTCATTTTCTCTGTTGCTTTTTCCTTAAAAAAAAAACCTTATACTTTATACTTTTTTTATTGAATTCTACTTGCACATCTTTTACTTTACAAAAATATTATCTATTATCTTCTTTTTTTATTTTCTTTGTACATGTGTGCCACTGGTAATTTATGTTATACACATTCTGTGTCGGTGTTTTTATTTTCATCTCTTTTTAACTGTTGAACTTTTCAATTCTATCTGTTTTTCTACTTGTCTCGCTTTATTATACATCAAAATCAATGTCGTATTATCATTCGCTATCACAGCAATTACATTGAAGAGCTTTGTCAAATTAAAAAAAAAGATTGTCCATTAGAAACGATGGAGAAAAGCGTGATCATTTAAATAACAACAGAACACGTGCACACATCTGCGGCGAACAGTGCGATTTATTTTTTTTTTTTATATTTTTATTACAATTATATCAATATAAGAAACGTTAACACAATAAACAAAGTTGTATTCGTACTTTTTTTACCTTCCAAAATGTTTTAGATAGAGCCAACTTAACATTTTTTTAAATGATTTTCTAACATTTACATACAGTTTTCTTTGGAAATAACACGAAGAAGAGGTTTCTATAACACCGTAATCTCTTTTCGAAAGTCAAATGTTAAGTTCGACATTTCCGATTTCAACTTCTTTATAGTTTTTGAGCACAGGATACACCTCTTCTTCGAGAAATTCGACGACTTGTTTGGGCGCTCTGCCAACGAAGCTCGACGGGTCCAGCAAATCGTCCAATTGAGGCAAAATCGGCGCGAAGTACGGATCTTTCTTGATTCTTTCGACCAGATCGTTATCCAAGCCATGTTGCTTCACTTGCGCGCCTGCTTCTTGCGACAATACGCGTATCTTCTCGTGGCAAACCTAAATGATTTCAAAAACTTATTCAAATTTTCACATCATTAAGAAAACATGGTCGCACATTAAAATCTTTTCATTTTTTATTCACCTGTCTATCGCCGCCAGCTTTCACCATAGCCATTATCACATTCTCTGTGGACATGAAAGGCAATTCCTGTGCCACATGTTTAGCGATGACTTTCGGATAAACGACTAGTCCTTCCGTGATGTTCTCGAGGGTCATCAAAATCGAATCGGCCGATAAGAAGGCTTCCGACAGAGTGAGCCGACGATTTGCCGAATCGTCCAACGTTCGTTCCATCCATTGGACCGCCGCAGTATGAAGAACATTGTTTACCAGTGTCATTAGATGCCGCGCCACGCTGCAACATCTTTCAGAGCGCATTGGATTTCGCTTGTACGGCATCGCACTGGAACCTATTTGCGTGCTCTCGAAAGGCTCTTCGATTTCCTTCATGTTGGCGAGAAGACGAATATCCGTGCAAATCTAAATCAATTAAAAAAAAACAAAACATATATATATATATACAATTTAAGATCAGTACGTCGTGGTGTCATTTTACCGGATATGTCTCGATTAAGTATAAATGCAAGGAGAGAGAGAGAGAGAGAGAATTAATTAATTAAACTTACCTTGTGAACGGTTGAACCGAGTGAACTCAACACGTTTAAACACTCTATATCGACTTTTCTGCTGTAGGTTTGTCCGGTAACGGCGTAGTGCTTCTCGAAACCTGCCATTCTGGTGACTAGCATATCCAACTGCTTCACTTTCTCATCATCGCCTGTAAATATTCGTTTTTTTTTTTATTTAATACAAGCTTTCACTCTCTGCGCGCGCCACATAATATCTTTTCACAAATTAATTATATTATTAATGCTCTTCTTGTTTACCAACCGTTAAAAAGCTGTAGGAAAGACGCTTGAGTACCGGTGGTGCCTTTGACTCCGCGAAATCTGAGATCGTTCCTGGCACGACGGATGGCTCTTTCGTCCATCAGTAAGTCTTGAAGCCACAGCGTCGCTCTTTTGCCGACCGTAGTCAGCTGCGCCGGTTGAAGATGAGTAAAGCCCAATGTGGGCAATTTGCGGTTCTCGAAAGCAAATTTTGCCAGACGTCGTATCACACCGGCCAATTTTGGAAGCAGTATGTCAAATCCTTGGCGGAGAGTCAGGAGATCCTACAGAAAAAAAAAAGAAACAATATTGACGCGAATTAATTGACGGCCTAAGTTGAAAACATGTACGGAAATTCATCAACAAAACAAAGTTTCTGATATTATTGTCTTGTGCGCGTCAATTGTTATTGTATAAAATATATGTAAAGAATAATACAAAAGAGAGCATACCGTATTATCGCCCACGTAGCAGCTGGTCGCGCCGAGATGAATAATTGGCGCAGCTAGCGGACATTGTTCACTGAATACATGAACATGAGCCATCACATCGTGTCTGGTCGCCTTTTCTTCTTTGGCAACGGCCTCGAAGTCGATGTCATTCACACAAGCCTCCATTTCGGCGATCTGTTCCGGTGTGATGGCCAGACCGAGCTCCTAAAAAGTCATTGTCGTCGATTAACATTTTCTGAATGAGATTTTTCTTCAGATTTCTCGGGAGAAATTTCGCTCCGCTAAAATTCAGACGAAAACGCGACGAATGCTTCTTCCAGATGTATCCAGTTTCTATTATCTCCTGATAAAGTCGCGCGTGTGTGTGAAATTCTTCACAATATATTCTTATCCCCCTTTTCTCATACTCGTCATCAGATTAGATAAAGAGGGCTTGGTTCGGTCTCTACTAAAACGCGACGTACGTATCATTTCAAACGGTTAAGTTTCACAGGTGAAAAACTGGTGCGAAAAAGTTCAAAAACATGGTGTCTCTGGAGACTATTGCGAGCATAGTGCTCAAAGTGCTAAAATTGGTGAGAAGATAGATAGATTTTGATATTGCGTAAATCGTAAGCGTGAATAGTGTAAAACAAACACCGAAGAAAGTTCACAGAGTGTTCCGTACTCAAGACTTTTGTTCGATTTGAGATGAATTTTCCGGATTGGGATTAACAAAGTATCGAAATATACAATTATAAGCGATGTTAAAAGGATTTCAGGATCTTCAAGTAAAAATCTGTAGTGATATGTACAAAATAGACGAGACACACACACACAAGAGTGACCGCATTTCTTTTTATTCGAGTTTATATAACTTGCCTTTTTTTAACGAAAAGTTTCAAGTGCGATAAAAAAAACCTATTTAAAAAATATTAAAAACTTACGAAAAACAATTGAAACCGATATGATATTTTCATTAAAAAATGTGCAAAGAATATTATATATTAAGTATTAAATGTTGTCATTGTCAAATGTTGTCAAAATAAATTTGACAAGTTGTTTTACGTAATATAAAAAAGCTTTCTTTCGCGCAAATTAATAATATTACTTATATTGCGTTATACAAGTTACAATATTAAAGAGATACATTAATGAAATATCTTGAAAAAAAATATATTGAAACAATATAACAAAAGTGTCAATGTAAAATCTTTATTAAGTCTGACGTAATTTATAATTAGTAATAAATTACTTAACGCGGCTACGTAGGTAGGGTAATGATTTTTTACAGAATTATAACTGATAAAACGACGTGAACTGAGAAACTGTCGTACACTCATTCAAGGGACACACTTACGCGACGTATGAATCATATCAATTGCCCTTATCGTTTCGTGATAACGTGCGCAGTTTCGCAACGATACACTGCTTTTATAACTATAGACTAGAAACTTTCTATGATATAATAATAAGAATTTTTTATCATATTTTCATCGTATTTTTTTTAATTATTTTGTAATTTTCAAACTGCGTTTTAAATATAGAGTTTACACTTTTTTGTATTTATTTATACCAGTTTCTCTCTTTTTCTATGGTCGTAAATCGAACTTTTACTAATATCAGTTTTAAATAACTGTTCATCGTCTTCTATATAAAGCACAATTATCTGATGCTATATTTTATTTGTCATGTATTAAGAAAAATTTATTCCTTGAGAAAATAAGAGCAAGAGAGAGAGTAACAGAGAATGTTGCTTTATCGAAATTATTCTTAATTAGTCGCTGCACTTTGCACACATTTGCTATTTATGAAACACATATTTATCAAAATTGTTTAATTTGCAGGTTCTCAACCTTATTATTATAATTCTATATCGTACGGGATATGGTGGAGAATTTTTAGGAGTCGGAGGCACATGGAACTTGAATGAAGATAAAAATCCTGATGCCGAAATTGTCGCTTCTGGCGTCTTCGTTGGTTTCTTCATCTATACGAGTGTAGTACTTATCAGTTACTGTTTTGGAACAACAGAGCAGAAAAAGACCCTTGTAGTAAGTGTGATTGTTTCCTTTTCGAATTATTATCTTAACGCACACTTTTAAAAAGATTTACAAAAAGACAATATTATACTTATTTAAACTTTACTATCGTTTTACAGGAAATTATTATGAATTTTACCGGAACGTTTATGTTCGTGGCTGTCGGTGGAACAGCTCTACATTACTGGCACGGTTATCAAAACGATCAGAAATTTATATATGATACATCTGAAAGACAAGTAAGTCGATTCGCGTGAATTTAATGACACTTTAAAATTACAAAAGTAGATTTTCAAACGATTAAAGATGCGCAAGTATTCTTATGTAAGAAATAGTATAATAATTTTAAATTACACAGAAAGTATATAATGAGAGACAAGAAATATCTTAATTTATTTTTATCTCTATTTCTGCATAACAAATCATCGATTGTTTTACTTTTTTAATAAAACTAAAAAACTAAAATTCAATGATTTCAGATTGGCTTAGCTGTGGGCTCGCTGTGTGTCATAGAAGGCGCAATGTATTTGGTGGACTTGATATTAAGCTTCTTACATTACGCTAAAGATGAATTCAATTAAAGACAAGAGTATTGTGAAATGACATCACTGACATAACGAGTACATTTTTTTTTTTTACATTTTGTTCTACCAAAATCAATTTGTCTTTTATAGCAAACAATTCATATCGAGTGTCATAAAAAAAAAATCTTGTAGGTTGAACAATCGCGATCGCGCGCGCGCGCGGATACTTCTCATAAGAAAAAGTATGTGTTAGTCATACGTTTGTCGTAAGATTTCTCTTTGCAGAGAGTGTGAACAACCTTGTCTCTATTCAAAAAAGAAACAAGGTCTTCTCCCATTGCACTTTTTTTTATATACATATATATATTTATTCACATACAGATTTCCATTATACAAAACTATGTGTATCAAGTAATCAAATTTATTACAGAATTTTTATAATAAAACGAATTAAAATATATTCTGTACGTGCGTACATGCCTTTTCGAATAGCTAAAACAACACTCTTCATTGGTCATTTTCATCTATTCGTACCGTCTTATACGAATATCCAACAAATTGCATACACGGAGTGTTTAAATGAAAATTTATTCTTCCTCGAAACGCGCGTACTTTGTTCGCTCGTAAACGCGCGATAATTCATATCGGACAATGGTTTAAGTGCGTGTCCCCCTTATTTTCTGAGACTTCGAAATCGTAAAAGAAACCGAAGAAACGTAATAAAGAGAAAAAAAACGTAAAAAAAAAACTACAAGCTCTTTTTAATCCGAGTAACTTCGTGGCACATCCCTTTCTACCGGATGATTCCATCACGAGCTCTAAGATCCCATCGAGCGCACCAATTAATCTACTTGACCTGGCGATTGTCGCGGATGACCGACACGATTCCACACCCACCTACCAAGCCGCGTAATCACGCTAATTATGCAAGTCGCGTCTAATTTGACTTGAGAGTAATAAATTACAATATAACAAATTTACACATGATGTACTTGAAGAAATTTAAAGAGCGGAATTAAATTTCCGCGATTAAAAAATCAATCGTGATCGCATACAAAACGTACGCGCGAGCGCGCGCACACAACTTTTTCTAACGTAACTGCGTATATTTCAAATAAAATGTTAAATGACATAACACGCGCTCATAACATTCTGAATAAGAAAACTGCATTGATTTGCTGACATGGCAGTACGCATTGTAAATGTTTCAATGAGGACAAGTTGACATAGATGTCTGGTATCGTAATGTGCAAAAAATAGTGAAGAATTGTGGCGAACTCGTCGTAGAAAAGGTCGTAGAAACGACGTGTGTGGATCGATACGACGATTCGCTTCTTCCGGTCGGCTGAGACAAATATATCCGTCTGTATACGAACCGCAGATAGATCTGAAATCGTATGTTCTCCCATCGCGATCAGAATTTCTTTTCCAACGCGCAGTTCCGGGGTTTGCATAACCGCGAACAGATAATTCAAATTGCAGCGCATACAAAATTATCGTCGTAACAAATTCACAGTAAAAATTTTTATCAATTAGGATCGCGCTCACGCAAATGCTTGTCTCGAACTAAAAATAACGACGTAATTTACGTGTGCAACGTAATCAACACACGTGTTTGCGTGTAACATAATCGCGCGACTTTTCAATACGCACGGCAAGCCAAGAGCGCGTTGCAACACGCGGAATTACGCGACTGTGTCCTTGCACCGCTGCAACGTCAAAATAATACGTGTCTCTCTCTCTCTGTTTCTCTCGTTTGAAACAGGATCGAATTTCATTTCCGACTAAAGCCAAAGTGTTTTTTTTTTTTTTTACCTCGCGCAAATGTTTTAGTCTTTGCGCGCGCGCGCGCGTCCTATATTTTGTCTCCCTTTTTCTTTCACGGGATTTTTATAATATGTACAGTGATAAGATGGTACAATCTCAAGTGATACTATCCATGAAAACGTTGCGACGACAATTCGAATCGCGTCAAGCTAATGATGCATCGTCGTTATTCGCATTCCACGGATGACGCATCAGGGCGTGCGCGTGACAAAAAGAACCTGGTGCGCACCGATGAGACAGATTTAACGATACAGAACACATATTTCGAGTAGACAAAAACGCGACCGGAAATCTGACGATGTCAAACGCTATCGTGCGTGAAAGAGTCTGACCTCGATGCGTTTCTTGTTCTTTCTGAATACACGTGTAGTGTTCGTGTATATAAAGAAGTGCTCGACACCTATTTGTTGAAAATCTCTTTTTTATTACACAAGTACACGTCTCGCTGATGATTTTTAATAAATATATATTTTAGTGTGTATCTTGAACTTTCCAAAATTAGCGATGTGTTACGTCATCACTACGCACGTATCGGAACGTGTTTTACTGTGCCTTGATACACGCGAGAGAGAGAAACTCTCGATGATGAAATCCAGGCATCGTTTAAACGGTGCCTTAGTATATATCGGAACATTGATTCTTTACCTTCAGTGTGGCTTAGGCGCGACTTGTTCGCGCGTGAAATATGTGTGGTACTTCGCCTGCGCGAGAATCGTAAGCTCGTGCAAGTATCGCGTATCGCGTGTACACGTTCTGCGTTTCAGTCCGAGCTGCACCGTTGCATAGCGCGCGGCACGTACCGCGCGTCGCATCATCGTAAACGCGTCACCGTTAATTCACTTCTGATCAATTGTGCGCGGAATAAAAAAAAAAAACACGGAAAGGAACACGCTACTCCGTAGAGAATTCTCTTTTCTCGAATAGAAGTTAAAAAAAAAAAAAATAGAAAAAAGAAAAACGCGCGCGATACACTTGTGTGAACATTTCGACGCTTTTGAAATTTGATTTTTTTGAAGCAGTGTATATTTCCGATACGAGTTGGGAAACAGGAGACATGCAGAGTGCAGTGTTACGTTGCAGTGTAATTTATTGGTGAGGAGTGCGCGCGGAGCAAGAGGCGACACGTGGACGGAACGCGTCTCAGGTGAATCAATGAAAGCGAAGTATTTGTTATTCAACGTACTACTGGAGACCTACATATTTAATTAAAACGAGTTTCGAGTCGCGCGGTATCGCAGCACGACTGACTCGCCGATCTGACTGCGTAATAATCTTTCGTTTTTACAAAATTAGAAAAATGTGAAGAAAAAATTTTTTTTTATTTAATTTTTTGTTAAGAAAAATTGCGACTTGAAATTACAAAGTACAAGTGCGCAGCAAAATATTCCACGTATCTTATCGTTTGTATAATACGCGTTTCTTATTCTTTTACTGGCGTCATATAAGCCGTCGCTTTTCTTCACGACTAATACAACCCTTCGAATTACGTGCGCCTCCCCTGTGCGTCGATGTCTATCGCGTTTCTCGTTTTAGGGTCGCCAGAAGAAGAGGGGTGGCGCGCATAGCGTACACACGGGGATAAGAATCGATCGTCGTATCGAATCGAGGTTGAAAATCCTTTCAAACTGGGCGACGGAAGAGGTAAACACCGAAGAGTCAGGATGGCGGACGAGAGTCAGCCAAGCCAACGACCGGCTCCCAGAGATCACAAAATCTTGAGTCATTTGCCGATCGCTATCAAAGTGCTCGAAGTGGCAAGTATCTTCAATTGAGATAGATTGCAGTAAATTGGGAGCGCGTTTCGCATTCTTGACCGAAATCTCTTCTCGAATACAGATAGTGGCCATTTTCGCGATTGGTTTGGCGGTCGATCCGCTAAACTCGTTCCAGCGGATTTTCAACAAGCCGCGATTCAAGCTGGACGATGCCGCCACTATTTACATATCGGTCGCCGGCTATATTCTGATCAATTCACTCTTCGTCATTAGCCACATGCTGGGTGATCGCGTGCCAAAAAGAACGGTAATATATTTTTAATGTCATAAATTTTCAAGTGATATATTTTTAACGCTTTTGCGTATATCTCATCATTCTCGTGACACGTTTCTCGGCTTCTTTCTGCACAAAGAAAAAATGAACGACTATGCTTTCGCTTATGTTGTAGCCTATAGCTATACAAGTTATACAAGTTATACAAGATTTCAAGGCTGAATCTTTACAATCATTAATTTTTTATTGTCATTCGATAAATAGACTTTTTTTGTCGAAGTAATCATAGAAATTCTGCAAATCAAGTTTAAAATTTTATCATTCTTACTATGTTGTTACTATGTTAAACATGGATATTTTTATTAACAAAAATACGTTTCTATGACAATAAACCTTAACGCAAATAAATACGTAACGACGGACCTGCCGTTTTTTCGTTAAAACTTAATCTACCAATTTTTTGTAAACAAATTATTATAAATTACTAAGAGCCAATATTGTAAATATCCTTGATTTGACATTATGCTCACGCTAGAAAACGTTAGCTAGGTACATCTGTCTCATTTGTACAGCTGAGTCATTACAGAGACTTGTCGATGTATACGTTAATTAGCGTATACGCATCAAGGCCTCGTTATGCTGGCTACGCTACAATTCCAACACACATTTTACACATCGTTTAAAAAAACTGTGTTTCTCCGAGTGAAAATTGCACGGTGTTTGTCAAACACACAGCGACGTATGAGATCATATTATACTTATCAGAAACAACCGGTGGGACATCAGTGAATCACGCGATCGAAAACGAATTTTTCAATTGTGCAAACTTCGTGTAACACATCGCAGCTGTGTACGAGAAAATGGGACATTTTGTGTGTTCAATTGATAAATAATTGGTTGTTACAGTTGCTGCTGTTCGCGTCCGTAGGAGTGTGCATGCACGTGGTGGCCGGAAGCTTGATGGTTCATAACTGGCGTAAAATGAACGGCTCTTACTATTACGTGCACAACAATGAGATTCATCCCAGCAAGCAATACATGGACATGCTAATATCCGCGGCCGTGTTTACGTTTGTAAACGCGGCGATATTCGTCGCGGAGATTATCTCCTTAATAAGATATTCAAAAGAAGTGCGTTAAAAAAAAAAAAAAAATCTATATATTGATCAAAAGAAGTCAAAGAACTTCTACGTATGTCGCCAAAGTTACTGATAGTCTGCGTAAACAAATCGATTGAAAAAAAATTTTAAATTTTCTATATGTTTATTGTAAACAATTTTACTCAAGTTTCTTCAATTTTATGTGTAAAAAAAAAGCATTTTTAAGTCAAATATGTGTCTTACAATTTTATCTTTTCACAAAAACTATTAACTTAAATATAGATTGAAACAAATTACAAGTGTGTATTGCAGATAAGCTTGAAAACTGTGTCATAATTTTAATGAATGTTAAGTGTTTCACGAAAAGATGACAAAATTCTAAAAACGTTTATAAGTATTAACTTTTTAAATTAATTAACTAATTAAGAGAAAGGAATTATTTTAAAACAATAGTGTGTATTATAATATATATTGCACAAAATATTTGTATTATATTGTATTTCACAACATAATAATAGCATTTAGACAATACCATTTATATGTATTGCGCATGTAATTAAGATAATACAATTATTGATTAAATTAATAATAATTTGTATAATTAGATGTTGTGATGTAGTGCCTATGTATACATACATACGTATAGCGTAGCAAGACCGCGAAATTTGATAATCATTTGCGAACAATTCGCAATTTCGAAAACACATTTCGTAGCTCGTTGCTACGCGGACAAAAAGTGTCTACCTGTGCGTGTAAAATCCGTCCATTTTTGTATATGAAGTGTTCATTTTTACGAAGCATTTCAATAAAACAAACTTTGAACTATTTTTAAGCGAGATAAAATATGTTACTCCCTGTGTTTTATATCAATGTGTACACACATGTATACGTATCATAATTTTCTCATTTTAAAAAATTTTTTTATTACAGCTAACTTCGGCTCGAATTGACTTCGAAAGCGATCTGACTGACCGCACTATCGTTATCGCATTTTTATGTTTAGTCATCAAGAGAAGAATTCGCAAAACTGAAAAACTGCAAGAAAAATGAGTTCTTCAAGTACGAGAAATATTCCGTCATGATTGAGAGATCGTGCGGTTGCGCACAGAGTTGCGGTACAACCGCGATCTGTGATGCCTCATCGTCTATAATCAAACCGATACGCATCATCCAATTCGTTAGCAAATCACTTCTTTCTTAATTAATGTATAACTCGTTCTATTGTCGTCGATGTGTGACGTTCGCGTTTGAATTTAGATGCTGATAGCGGCGCTTTTCGCGTTAACCGTGTACACCATCTCCAGGGATACTCCGTACGAGAAGATCGAGGAAATACCGTTAACGGTACTTTACGGGTGTTTTTTCCTTGTCACTTTGGTAGATATAATTAGTCAGTGCTGCGGCGAACCGATACCGCAGACGCCGGTACATATTTGAAATTATTACTTTTTTCATATTAAAAAAGAACCAAATTTTATTATTGCTTCGTAATTGATTTATTCATTTTTCTCATAAATTTAATATTATTGGTAATGGTACGTTAATTTTACTATAGATGTTTTTATTTGGAGTAGTAGGAACGATCTCATTTCTATTGGCAACTAGTGGCGTTTTCATCGTTACGTACAGACCGCGAATAATTCACATGTGGCGAATGACAACAAGTATGGTGTTATCAGGCGTTTGCAGTTTACTATATCTATTAGATATCTTTCTTATCTACTTATACGGATATTAAATAACCGTGTATTCACGCACACGCAACATATTCCTGTAAATAAAAAATAAATCGTTGAAATGTGATAAACGGTGTTCTGTAATTGCAACATCACCCGTTTTAACTCTGATTTTTCAAAATTATCTTTCATCAAAGAGATATTACGTAATTTTTTATTTTAAAGACAAGAAAAACGTAATATCAAATTTTGCTTCGCTAAGAACGCCTTTGTCTCGTATAACTTTTTCGCGCAAACGCGTGCACATTAAATATAAAAAAAAAAAAACTGAAAACAAATACGCGCGAAGTTAGATATTTCACGGATCGACAACTCGATTACGACAAATAGTTGTCTCACAACTGTCACACTGGTACGTTATTAATGTTGAAAATAAGAAAATGAAAAGTCTACTAAAACTATCGTCTTATCAGCAGAAGCTGCCTAGAACGAGCAGATGCGCATCGACTCTACTCAAGCCGTTAAGAATATTTCAGTTCGTACGTATTGCACATCCCGTTATTTTATCCTACTACACTTGGCGTGAAAACAAAATTGGAATTTAAATTTGTTCTCTCCTCTCTTTGTCAAATGAAAAAAAGTTTTACAATTTTTTCTTGAAATAGTTCACGGTGTTGCTGATATTCGCAGTCACAATCTACACGATCGTTATGGATCCTACACCGATAAGTGCTCTAGCCTGTATTCTTCTAATCGTCTTATCAGGCGTCTATGTGTTTGTTCTGGCTGTCGAGTTGATCAGCCACTTTGCCGGGGGCGGCGTGCACATAACTCCGGTAATTCACACCGCACATGTGCATCGCGTGTTCCGAATAATCATCGTTAAGAAAAAGCATCATTAAAAAAATTAGTAAAATGTTGACTTTTTTTCCTGAATATAAAATATCTAATTAATCGCCTAACAAATTATTTTAGATGTGCGCGTTCTCTTTACTTGGCTTTGTATTTTTTGGAAGTGCTGCAATTTTATTGATTTCCAATAATTACACACATCTCGCGGTGACATTAGCAGCAATTCTATTATGTACATTAGCAGCGTTGCTCTTTCTGATTGATATTACAATGATATTTGTGTAAGTTCTGCTCTTAATTAATCTCTTAATTGATTTTAACTCTTTTTTTTTTGAGATAAATAGAAAGAAAAAAGTTCTAATCATATATTAAACGTTTTTACATATTCGTAGATTTTGGAAAAGAAGATGCTCAATTTGCAAACGATGTTGCATCAATGATACACCTGAATTTTTACGTAAAATCGAAAAACTTGCACCTGTACATATTGACGAAGTGAGTAAACGCCCAGAAGAAAGTGTCTGTGTATTCTATACTTAAAAGTTTATTAATTTCTAAGGTTTTAATTATTTCTCATTGTTATTATATATTTATAATTCCATCTTCGTGACTTTTCTTGTTTATCATGTAACACTCTTATATGATATTTAGTAAAATATTTTTTCTTATATGCACGTTTCAAACATAGACAATGAAATACGACGTGGCGACCAGTGTTAGTGACATCAGAGTACCAGACGAATTGAAGTCCATTGTTCCGGCTGATCACTCGTACCGTAAAGTCGAATATCCTCCGCGACGACAATACGTCGATCGTCCTACTTCCGTTCCATCAGTTTCCTATCATGACGTTGCCGAAATTCAAACTGAAGCGAATGACATGTCCGTTGTGGAGAGTCAAGTGAGCGCGATGTTCTATTTGATTGGTCATTCGCGTTTAATTGTCACGCCGACGAATCTTTTCTTCCAAATTTGTTATACGACTTGAAAATACATTTTGCACTAGTCATTCTAATTCAAACACAGATGCCTTTGCTTCACTTAAATGATGCTCTTTCGTATTCCTCAGACTCCTGAAACAGTCACCATAGAAAGACCGATGCAAACGGTGAGCAAATGCGACTTTTGCCACCGTATAATGGAACCCTTCGTGCTCTCCACCATCGAAGACGCAGTTGCTGCTCGATGTTTCCAACAAGCACCGTTTACTTATCCCGCCGTCGTGCACTTTGTTCGCGGAGGTGTTGGCGTGCCATGTTGTCGCGGGTAAAACGCGTATGACAGTTGCTCGCTTTTTTTTTTTTTATGTATATCTATATTTTTAAAAACTGTGATGTTGTACATATCTCTTCCGTAGGTGCAAGTGCTTCGGAAAAATGCAAATGCAAAATCAACAACAATCATCACAGCAATCATCGTCAAAAGGTGCAAACGTCACGTTGACGAGTGAGGCAACACAGCAGGTTGCGAGTAAATCTGATATCACATGAGAAATTAAAATTCCTCACAGAGTCAGGATTATTTTATTTTCAAACACAGAAAAATTATTAAAAAATTTTTAAACAAAATTTGTTTTACTTTATATCAACTTCTTCCCAGTTTGTATTATTTTAACGATCATTCTTGCGTATCTGAAATATATATGTAGACCTGACTCTGAATCTCACAATTGCGTGCGTGATGCTGCCGCTTTCTTTATAAATAATTCTCGTCGCTTCTGCACACGCGGAACCGTAGACGACAACGTTGCAGCAAACTTCACAGTCACGTCCTTCTACGTGAAACCAGACAAAAACATTCAGACTTCGTCGAAAACCGATTTGAACACGTATGTATTTTAAATTTCCTAAAAAAGTATGTGATATTTTGTCTCATTACAAATATTGAAAACAAAAAAACTATTAACAACGCTAGATGAATGTTTTAATTAAAAAGTAACAATCATAACTTATATCAAGATTCAATTGAATTTAGTTTCAAGCAAACAGTCAACATGACGAAAGAAGACGCAGACTGTAGTGAAAAGGCAAACTTAGCTTCAACGTTCCCACAAGACGAAGAACTTGAAACAGAACTTGACGAGACGAGTATTCAAACTGTCACCACAAAAGGAAGAACGAATAGAAGGCACAGCGAAAAAAAGAAAAGAAAATCAATCGATACGATCGAACATTGCGATGATGTTGAAAGAAGCAGAGGAGGGGGAGAGCAAGAAGTTAACATTTATCAGCAATTTATGCACGCGATAGAACAAAGAAGTATGATAAGCACCGCGCAATCGACCAGACACACAGTAGCTACGCAAATGTAAGCGTGTATCGTTGCACGATATGATGTTACTTCGCACTACCTTATGCAAACATATTTAAATCATCCGCAATTATATTACAAGGTTGATAATACGATATGAAACATTTTTTTATAGGAGCACGATGCTGATTGCGCCACAAATGACCAGAACAAAAACCAAAACGTTCTTGAAATCAAACAGAATAGATCCCGTCAGAGATGCGTAAGCAAATGACTTTTTTATACAATACGCAATAAATTTAAGCGCACAACGCTACATATATTATTGTAGACAATTTCAATCATTTTTTATTAAACTTTGCTTGATTTATTATCATTTAGACATCAAAACAACGAGGCTCATATTTCTGAAGAAACATCTTTCAGAACATGTATTCATAAAATCGTTCAAGTATTAAGATTCATATTCTAAAAATATGAAAAATAAATATTGACCGTATATACATATATTTATTGGTTATGAAAAATAAACTTCACAATACAAAATAAAATTTTAACAGTATCTTACTTATATTCTAGGACGAATCACAAAATCCTACTGACAAAATGAACGATATTTATTCGCTCTGCAAACAACCAAATGCAGAAGATTCGGAACAATTGGTATTAATTTTATTATTCCTATTATACGCAAAATTCCACTTTTTTTCTCTTTGTAACCACATGTATTTTTCAGCAATCCGCAACAATAATCTCCGACAGCTCTAGAGATTTCACAGCGTTCAAAGATAAAAAGGGAAGGTATTTTTGTGAAGCTTGCGCCCCAGTGAATTGTAAAAAGGTAAACCCCAATTTCGTAACTGTATTACAAATCTTTATTGCATTCTCTTGTTATAAAAACATACACATAAATATATTAATAATAAACACACAAAAAAACATTATTGTAATTTTTATCAGATGTATGAAGTGGTAAATTCGAACAAGGAGCGGGTTGTTATGCTAATAAATTACTCGTGAATTTTTTTTATCCAGACGTTTCGACTTTATTACCAATCATCTTCAGTAGATATTTTTAATTACAATGTGAGATAAGTTGTTATTGTGCAGAGATGGACTGTATTTTCAGTTAAGAATATCCACTGAAGATGACTTGGTAATAAAGTTGAAACATCTGTGGATAAACAAATTTACGAATAATTTATTAGCCTAACAACCCGCTCCTTGTTCGAATTTCTCACTTCATACAACTGATTAAAATTTTTGCTACGAACTCTGGATGTCATCCTTATCACTCTATCAATTATTGTATTATAATATTATTATAATTTTTCTAACTTCAGATAAAACATGCTTCTCAATGTAATATCTAACAACTACTCTCTTTTTGCTAATATAACAATTTTACAAATATTAATATAAAATCTCAATATGATTAAATCAACGAGTAAAAGCACAAATGTTTTAAGTAAATTAATTTACTGAATAAAATTCTCTTATTTTATGTTTCAGATAATATATAAATTAGAAATTATGAACTTGAAGTTACGGTGTGTTAATTGCAAATCTTGTCTTCATCACGATGTTAAACACTGAGAGTGTGACTTGCAAAGAAGTCAAATCCCAAAGTCAGCAGAAATATTTTATCATTCACAGAATGGTTCTGCTAAGTGTAAAAGATCATGTAAAAAGACACGTAACTTCTAATTCCATTATTATTGTAAGAAATTATGAATATTACATATAAGATATGTGAAATATTCATAATTTGTATTCATTGCAGTGTGCAAATCGTGTATAATTGATTTGTTAAAAATTTATGCTTCTCAATATATAAAAATAATAATCTTTAAAAAAAAAAAGCGATACAGAGATACAGTAGGTTTTCTTTTATCGTAGACATGCTAAAAAGAGAACAGTAATATTGATTCTATTGCTTGATTATCTAACTTTGTTTAATATAATACTTTCGGAAGCAAACATAATTCGTACTTCTTTATAAAAAGATAAATAATAATCTTGACATTTTTTAGATTGTGTTGTCTTCCTAACACAATAAAAATAGCATGATTTCAAGGAGCTTTGCATTATTTATAAGCGTGATTATTTCTCTCTCTTTCTTTTTTTTAAACTTGTAATAACAAAAATATAACAATAAAAAAACGTCCGAGATCTTTAAAACAAGCGATATTGAGAAATACATTCTTGGATACAGTCTAGTTCGCGCTTTATAAAGATATATAAGAAGTACGATTAATGAGACTTACTTTGATATAAATCGGCAAAATTGCATGCCGTACTCAAACGGTGCGGTAGCCAATGGCACAACATTGATAAAAAGAAAAAAAACTAATAATAATTAAACAAAATGAGAAAGCGACTTTTTTTTTTCTTTGAGTCCACAGATAGAAGTGGTAATAGCTAGTATTAAGTTTAAAAAAAAAAAGGCTGTAAGGTCACTTTCTCATTTTGTTTAATTAGAGACCTGTTTTTATTTTAATTTTAATAATAATTACCCATAGTTGCCAAATAAAACTTAAAAAGACTACCTTTGGTATCTGATCACTGCATTTTCTAAAATGCATAGAGCGTTAAAAGAAACTAAAAGAAAAAAAAAAGATACCCTGTATCATATCTAAATGTGACCAGTTAGATCTGCTTTACGATAGGTCTCGGGCGCTTTTCTGTTTCACCGTCGTTCAATGTATTCAAAGAGACTTGATTTGACACACTGACTGACGGAAAGATCATATTCGGTGTCAAGGTAGTTGGATACAACGTCGGAACACCGTTTGTTGATTTTGCCGAAATTTCTCCGCACCGAAATTCAGAATTACCGAATTTTTCAATGATAGATTTCTGATCTGTTGCAATTGATCCAATCTGACCGTTGCAAAAATGATGAAAATTATTTTTTATGGATAAAGGCGGTTGCATTTGATTATAACTGTCACCAACATGATTAGCGATCGCAAGTTGCGGATAACTCACGTTCTTCGGACGCATATAAGTCGTAGGCACCAACACGAAACACGGTGTTAGTGGATGATATTGTTGCGGTAAAGCTTGATATGGAACGGTGTTAGCTGCAATTGGTCGATTCATACCAACTACTTTGTTTACAGTGTTATTGTAACACGAATGATTATAATCCAATGCACCAGTACTGTTGGGATATTGACATCCATTTGAAGAAGAAGGAGATTTCAGCCATGAATCTTCCCCGTTGTTCTGCCAGTCGTGTGACATTTTATTCAGTAGTTTATTCACCTTTTCGTAATAGTTTATGCTATTGGAAGTCGTATTAGGCAAGCTTGACAATTCAGTAGGACTTAAAGTGGAATTCCACATGTCGAAATCGTAAAAGCTGTTTGCGTCGTTATCGTTCTTTTTCTTCACATCGTCTTTTTTTTCACGGCTCGTCTTATTTTTCGCATTATACTTATTTTTGTCTAACAATTCGATGTTGTTGTCATTAGTATCTATCTTGTCTTTCAGTACTTTATCAAAAGGCGATGCGTTATCCAGTATTTCTGACACGCTTAGCGTGTTAGAACGTGTGCCTTTAGAACGTGTGGATTTAGAAACTTTGGCACGAGTATTGTTTTTTGGCGGACTAATTGGTGGAATTGGTTTTTGATTAGAACCATTGGGATTGCTGTTCTGTGTTGAACTCGACGACGACGACGTATCCTTTTCTTTTTTAGGTGGTATAAACTTTCGAGTAATCTGTACATCGCCATTATCATCTACTATGCCACAATCTTCGTACTAGTAATACGGAGAAAAATACAATTTGTAAAAAAAAACAAGATTGAAATTTTCCAATTGCTTTTTTTCATTGTAAAATGTGAAATATAGAACCAAAAAACTAAATGTCACAGTGGAATGCATACTTTATATTGCATATCAGTTTTTTACTTAAGTATGTAATGTATTGTCAGTTTTTTAAACCTTGAAAAATATTTTATTGAATTCCGCGTAAAACTTCTATTTAATAAATTTATCACTTCTAAATAGTCTTTGACATGTGTGTACGTAACGTCTTGTTTATGTGTGTACAATAAAGATATTATTCCATGTAACCTCTCTCTCTGTGGATCAAGATAACATGATTTCAAAATGTACGTAAATCGAGATGTGATAATACAAATGCGTCAAAACTAGTTTCGTAATCTTCTTGTGGAACTCATCATACAGTTTTGTTTGTTACAAAGATAAGCCACAATTCTAGTTTTCTACAATATTACATACATATTTACTAGTCTGCCATAGAAACAAATATCAATATAAATGCTTATTTATCATTAGTATATATAGTTTTTGTACATACATATGTATAGTTTTCTTAGATATTTCTAACAGAATAAAATACTAACTTAATTAGACGGAAAAGTCTTTTTAAATTTTTCTCGTTTCTCAACACACATGCGTAAAAGCTCAAATATAAAAAAACATTTATACATTCAGCAAAAAATATAAGATCAACTGGTAAGTGCACTCTTATCATTCGGGATACATACCATTTCAGCCTTAGCTAAGTAAATCCATAGCTTGCGCCACGTACTGAATTTGTTTTGATCACTAAAATTATATCGCATTTCCTTGGAAGCATACCGAGTCGATAAAGGACTACGATAATCACAATAATCACCGTTCTGTACTTTTGAAGTGCTCATTATTAATGGAAATAAAATTCGCGCAAAGATTATATTCACTCTACTACCACCTGACCGAGAGTAGTACAATCAGCTGATTTACTATCAATGCTGCAGTCTGACTGGCTGGTTTGGCGATTGAGTAAGATTCTATACGAGCGCCTCGATGTGGCAGAGAACAAACAACTACTTCGACTGAATCACTAACTCTATCGATAATGTTTATCGACTTGACAAATGTCAAAATAACCACATTTAAAATCGAGCGCTTTGAATATAACCTTTTATATTTGCAATAAATAGAGGATTAAGCTAATACAAATAATAAGTACAAAGCTCACATTATTACCAAGTGCTGAAGTCTACTGAATACAGCTAATCTGATGTGACAATGCAATACGTAAGCATTCCAGTGTGACACGTAGTTCAAAAAACATTTTGCAAATAAAGTCTTTCCATTCCTACCACATTAGAAGGTTTCCAATCAACACGCGCCCATTCAACATGCACTTCATTACACTTAAAAAGTCTCTCAGGTCTTAATTTTCGTCTTGCTAATGCGGCATTGCGATGTGAGTTAAACGAAACAATAGCATAAGCTGCATCTGAATTCGGATATCTATAGGTTGCTACATAGTTAATATCCCATGCCGATGCATAAATAACCTAATATAAACAGATAAAACAATAACAAAAATAAAAATTGTATAAAAATAGTATAATGTAACACATTTTCACACATTCAAATGTTCTCAGTACAGTAAATTTATTATAAAGAACAATTTTTACTTGAAATAAAAAATGTAACAAACTAGAGATTTTCAGTAAATGATAATAAATATCAGAACGACTAAATAAGGAAATTTTAACTCCTCTTTCTTTAAAAAAAAAAATATTTGGCACAGTGAAGTTCTGTTATAAAAGCTACGATAAACAAAAACTCACTCTGACAACTTCCTCTGATTCAATATACCAGGGTAATGGACCAATGTAAAGCTTGCATTTATCGAGGCTTGCTAAAACTCTTATCTTTTGTCCTGGCAAAATTTCATATTCATCGAGTTCCTTGATGGCACGTTCCGCATCTTCTGGAGTTGTGTACATGATAAAACAATAACCTCTTGTCAGTTCAGCCATATCTACCATCAATCGAATTTGAAAGATCTCGCCGACAGTTCTGAACAATGGATACAGAGTATCCTCGTAGATGTCCTTTGGGATCCGGCCAACAAAAATTTCGCAGGGAATACCGGGCGCTGGACCGCTCCATCGAGTTGGTTGAATGCTGAGAATTCTCTGGCCATTGATTTGCGTCGAAGCTAATTTATATTCTTGGAGAAGTCGAAGAACGTTTTTATGTGTCTTCAGTTGTCGACATAATTTTGAACCCATAAGCGAGCCCTTTGGATTATTGGGATTAACATTTTCTTTTTGATTATCCATACTTTCTAAAAAGATTATTTTAAAAATACATGTAGGAATATGATATATAGTATGCAAATTTCTTGTATTCTTTACATGTACATAAGTATACTTAACACATGTTTAACAATGCGTTATTGGTATCTCCATATAGATATTTTATAAAATTACATATAGTTATATATTAAAACATATATATAATATATTATTTTAACCTTTTACGCATGTATAAAGCAAAATCAACTTACATTCTACTTCAAAAGAAAAATTTACTCACACTAATAACTGTGTGTCACAGCTCGTATAATCACAATGGTCTAGTTTACACCGTACATCTTTTTAATACGCGAATCAAATAAAATTTTTTTAAATATATAATTTTCGTGTTTACATCATTATAAATGTGTTTGATACGATACGCGTGAAGAAAGCGTATCGTACCAGCTTAATATGACATTGTTTACATCATTGAGATCAAGCCGATTTAATACGAATACTTAATATGCGTATTAAGCGATCGGTGTGTAAACTAGGCCAGTCTTTACAAATCATCTTTTATCTTCAGAACCAATATATGTTTTAATTACAAATAAAACACTCTTAATCACTTGATTATACTTCTACGAAAACTTTTGTTACTTGATTATTTGTTCGTTTCGATTGATTAGAAAGTGAAAATTTAGACATTGCTTACTTGTGCTCATTTATTTTCTCGTCGCCAACTTATCGTAGTCAGCAACATTTTTGTCTTGTAACGAAACGAAGAACGTATTATCGACTTACCGTTGTCGAAATTGTCTAGATCGGCTAACGTCTCTTGTTCGATGTCACTTGTACACAGAAATGCCGGTTTGGGTATGCTTACAGCATGCTACAGCAAGTGGAGGGGATACGCATATAGGCAAACGGCCGGTACTATTGGAAGCTGACAAGAATGCACAAGCTAACAGATGCGAGGGGCAAGGGGAATCGTCCGTCCGCTCCACCTAATCCCCTCCACTATGTAAGTTCAATCGAGACGGTAAGGGTATGCCAACAAGCGAGGATCGTGTAAAGCTTACGATTCTCGCTTGTTGGCATACCCTTACCGCCTCGATAGAACTTACCTAGTGGAGGGGATTAGGTGGAGCGGACAGACAATTCCCCTTGCCTCTCGCACCTGTTAGCTTGTGGATAGCGTGTATTCTTGTTCTCTCCCCTCCGCTTGCTGTAGCATGCTGTAAACGTACCCGAACTGGCATCAACGCGATCCCGATAAATTCCGATTAATAAGTCGATATATCAACTGATTTGGCAACTTCATGTATAGACTAGTCGATCAGTCATGTATAGACTAATAATTTACGCACACACGTATAATGATATATTTATATATGTATACATGTACACAATTTGTTTTTTCTATTAACTCGAATCTTTGTCAGCAATTTACGTATTCCCAAATACAACTGCGACGAACTTGCGAAACCAAGTAGCAACGACCGCAAAAGACAGAAGTTTCAATTTGACTGCGTCAGGACTGACGAATAGCAGGTTAGCTAGTAAGGGACGAAGGGAGGTTCTCTTTGTTTTTTCGTCCGCTCACCGCGCACAAGGCACTTATTCTCCACCCTTCGTTTCTTTGTCGGAATACGTCGAATGAAATACCTTCCCCTTCGACACTCTTTCGATTTTCCTCTTTTGACTATCATCGCATGTCGATCCGTTCAGCCAATCACAACGCAGAAAATCGGCAACAATGGATGTTATTTTCGCACTCGTCTGATTTCAATTCTCTGTTGAATTAGAGTGGTAGACCTTTTGGCTGTGTCAAAGCTATTGCGCTATTTGCTATCATTCTATCTTTATCGCTTCTTAAATGTAAAATAAAGATAGAAGTACGCTGATAGAGCGCGCGCGTTCTCTAAACACAATCTTATTGTGGTCCGGAATTTGTTTTCGTTCTTTTGTCTCATTCTATCGTGAATTGAAGTTTAAACTAGAAATATATAAACGGTAATAAGAGCCGTTCGCTGGATGTTATGCGGAAAATGTGTGTATATACATATATATATATATATATATATATACACGTGTTTATGTGTAACTCTTACACGTGAGTTTTGGAATTGAGATTTCAATTCTTAAATTCGTACAAGATGCTATATTTGCATCTCATATATGAGAGATACCGTATATCCCCCTAAGTAATTTTAAAATATTGCAAAACCTTACACGTGAACACTTATATATATATATATATATATATATATATATACACATATTTCCGCACAACATTCAGCGAACGGCTTGTTACCGTTTATATATTTAGTTTTATATTTTAATTTCCATTATTATCAGCAAAGCGCGCCTTATGTTTATTTATGACAACGTCTTTTGTTTCATTCAACGGACTGACGACGATTCGACTTGCTCATCGATAATTGTTATGGTCGCCCAATCGACCAACTGTTAGCCGACGAGCGACTACAAGCAAGAGAATAAGCAGCGAGACTAGTATTACATTGCTATACGTTGTGTTTTACATATCGTAGCGATTAGCTAACTAAAAAGTGCAGTAAAAAATTTCCTTTTGAATCGTTGAATTTTTGTCGGTTTTTAAAGTCAAACACGCATGTGTTCGATTTCACACAACAATGGCTTACGACGACGTGATTTCATAATTATATTTCTGCAACATTAAGTTTCCGCGTACAGACAGTCTCACATAGATACGCCTGGAAGCTGTTTCTCCTCTCGCCGAATTGAATTATTGCGAGTCTCTGTATAATTTTGCAGAGAAAAAATTTTATACAGAAATAAATACAAAAAATCGTACATATAATATTTATTATATTTATTAAAAAGTTGATATGTATTTTATTTATCTGAAGATCAATTCTCTCTCTCTTTCTCTCTAGATCTCTCTCTTTTACTATAAATAAAAATTTTACCAAAAATTTTACCAAAAAGTTTTACAAGAGAGAGATATGTCATGCTTTTCAAAAAAAAGTACTAAAAGATAAAAGAGTATTCGTACGTATTGAAAAACGTGAAATTGTTTCTTCCGTTCTCACGCAATTAAGAGGTATACCCGCAGTAGTGTCGCGAGAGATCGAAGACAGTAGCGAAATTTAACGTGTTGCGAACGGGTTCAAGGTACGAGGAGCGCGACGAGCTTTTCCATGACATATTTCCGTGAATTCGCATCGTCCTGCGCCATTGCGCCGTGTGATAATAGCATTGTTACTTGTCGTTCGCATGCAGACAGTCCTTATTACATGACACACGCCACAACCTGAGCGCAACTAACTCCTCCACCTTCGGCTATAATATCTCTTCAGTCGTTGCTCGAGCGCGTCGCGGCGAGAAACTCTGTTTTGCGATTCCATCGTAAACTGTCGCAGGTGATAATACACTGGTTCCCATTATCGAACGGTCACTAAAACGTTTAGCGATAGCGAGTCCGTTCCAAGCGACTTGAACTAATAATAATTTTGCTTGTTAGAAAAATACTTTTTTTTATTTATATTGTGAAAGAGAGAAGATAAAAATTTATTTATAGACGTTTGCACAAAAATTATTTATTCGTCGTAAAAATAGTATTTTATTTCGTTGTGTCACGCGCGCGTTGTCAACTTTTGAAATTTCTGAAATCTTACAATTCTAATTTACGATGAACGTTTATTAGAAAGATGTCACAAGATTTGTTTTTCTACTCTAAACATCCGTCAGAACATAACAAAAACCTGACAATAAATAAATGTAAATGAGCAAATTGTTAGATTTTACCTTTTTGTTTCTCTCGCTTTTTTTTCTCACTCTAGATCTCCAAGAACATTTGTTAAAACATAGCAAAAAACAACCTGTTTACTGTGACTTAGTGATTAGTGGCGTTTCAAAAGTAAAATGAGTAGGTTTTGTTATTAGCCTGAGAAATCACGTAATGCTTCGCCGAAAAGAGACAACACTTTCGCAAACAGCCGCTTCTCCATTTCTCTAGTTGCTCGTTTGGTTTCACCGTTTTTTAAATAATCGCATCATGTGGAATCGCAAGGTGTTCATCAGAATAATCGAAGTGGTACGTAAAATGTGTAGTCTTTAATCTGTTATCGTGGTTTTTTACATATTACGCTAAATCATATTTTAATAAAAAAACATTAACATGTGAATTATAAAAAGATGACTTTTTAAATTAATTTCCAAATACATGTGCTCGATCACATCTGGTGTTTACCACAAGTCAAAGATCAATGTAACCTTGAATCACACAATTGCAATATCTTGTTGTCTGATCAAAAAAAAAAAAAAGAAGACGATCTTAGAAAAACTATTGAAATTACAGCTTCTGTGCATCGCTTGCGTCGTTGCGCTCAGAGTGACGGACGATGAGAGCCGAAGGGTGTTTCATTACCTGAGATATCGTAGCAGGGAGTGGTCGTTGCTGAACAACGTGACATGGGGCAGCATAGGTAGACATTTTTTTAATGATTCACGCGATATATTCTCTACATTTGACGTTTTGTATTACTCATTTCTTGATTTCCGTGAATGATTTAGGCGCTGCTCTCGCAACGGCGACCTGCGGCGGATATACGATCATAACGACAGGTCTTTTGATCGCGGCGGCCACCGGGGAACTTCGCGGCCGTAAGACGGTAAGACGTAATTGCTTTCTTTTTCTCATGCGAAAAAGAGGCACGCGTCGTAGTCGCGTTTCGTAACACGTCTTCAATACGTTGACTGCGCGAATGGGTAGGGATGCTACAGGAAACACTCGATTATACGAAGAGATTAGAAAAAAAAAAAAAAAAACACAGTAACTTACACGGATAATCGAGACGTATTTATTTTTTCAAAAGATTTTTTTCAAATCGCACTTAATTTCAACGTACAGCTGCTTTCTTTTCTCGATTAACCAATGGTGCGACATGTGTCAACGCGTGTATTCTTGCTTCTTTTGTACAAAAAAAAAAAAAAAAGAAAGTTGACTTCTAAAGTCTACTGAAAACGGTGTCAAAACGTTTATTTTAAAAAGAAAAGATTTACATTACTCTTTCTTCTCGGATTTTACATGACAATACGCGAGTATTGCGCGGAAAATCAAAATCAGAACAACGCGCCATTGCGAGTGAAAACAAATCTGTCAGAAAAATGCGAGGAGCAGAATTTATCTCGACACACCGGCATTCATCTCAGGCGTATTTAATTTATTCCGAGGTTGGTTGGCAGAGTGAAAATGTGTACCACGTAAATCTCGGCGATAGCGTGAGAAAATCGGCAGTAGCGCGACGCAAAGATGTCATTGAGGGGCCAAGGATACGAATATATTCTTATACTGCGCGCGTGTTGCGGCTTGCGACAACGTGCACAATCGCAGGCCTTGGTCGATCGAAACACGCGTAATGTAGCTCGTTTAGTGATTCATAACTGAGGCTGGGCCGATCTTGAACGGACTGCATAACATTAGTATATACGTATATATTTCCTGTATATCTTCTAAGAAAGTATTACACGTAGATTAATTTCTTATATTCGCGCGATGATCAATCGGTTGTGCAGAACGTAAATAGAGCGTAAATGATAAACGGCGGACTCTCGCGTAGAAGTGTGTGATAAAAATATCTTAAATTACAACGTCTAATTGCAAATTCACAGGAAATCTTCTTACTTGGATTGGGTGTGATTCTCTTCGGAATAGTTGGCGCCTTATCGCTGGCATCGATCGACAGCGTTCCTGATGACCTGGTCGACAATGCTGCAGTTTTGGGCGCACTGTGCTTGCTCACAGCGCTGGTGTTTATCGGAGATTTGCTAATGGCCCCATCTCGCAAGAAAGACAAGCAAGATGAGGCACGAATTATTGGAAGAGATCAAGGTAAATTGACGAACAATTTAATGCAATTAAATCGAAATTTTGTTTCGCGTATATTATTTTTGTTTTTCTACTGCTGTTGCGTATGTAAATAGTTTTAACCCTTCACAGACAGACATAAGTAAAAGACCTGGAAAAAATATTGAATGTTTGCGGAGATATTCGCGAAAGTCGCGTCGACAGATTCAGTCTGTCCGGCTCGCAGATCATTTTTGTGGTCCGTAAAGGGTTGAAGCCTGTAATCAGACATTTCTCCTACTTGTATGTAACGTTTTTTTTTTTTTCAAAATGTCACAGGAAAATCTCAGATAGCGCCCGTAATTACCGATGAGGACGCAAAATCGAAGCCGAAAACGACCGTCGTTAATATTCCCGAGGACAAAAACGGTCGTGTGAACGACGGTTTTCAGAAGGCGGACGATCGTCATCCCGATTCCGCGAGATCGCAACAGGAATTATCCGAAACTCATCCGCGAAACTCTCGGAATGATCGCGAGCTTCGTGGCGATCAGGAACCGAGAGAATACACGCAGAATTTCGAGAACGGTCGCGTCCTGCGTGACCCGCAGAGATATCGAGAGACCGAAACGCTCCGTGCGAGCGCGCGCGATCCCGATCGCAGAATCGATGAGTCCAGAATAACGTACAAGAGTCGGGACATTTATCAACGACCGATCGACGAGATCGACACGCCGCGATTTCCAACGGAATACGAAAAGGGAGACCCGTTGTTTGCAAAGATCGTCAATCCGAGCGTGAAGATCATGAAGGTTGAGCGAGACGTCGATGACGCGCTCGACAACTACAGGTGATTTGATGAGTCCAGTTTGAGTCATAAGTAAGAATTGCGTAATTTCCTCGAATTTATGATTCAAGACTCCCGATTTACTTAACGCGGACTCATAAACATGATTTCGTTTGAACGCGAGCAGATATTCGGACAACAGCCAGTACGACAACGTGCCCATCAGAATGCGCGGTTTGTCATCCGGGAGAAGTCATCATCGCGATGTGTTCTTCAACGCACCTCCGCCACCTAAAGACTTTCGATCCAGAGGACGTGAGAGATCCAGAGACGAAATTGAGATGTTGGAAGAATATTTCGGCGTATTGAAGTCCACTGGAACGCAAACCGCGAGGATACCGTCGTCGCCAACCGATCCCGGATACGTTCGACACACTGCAAGTAACTGGCCACAAGATGCAAAATCGAGCACACCACGACCTAGTCCTGAGCACAGTAAAATTTAACTTCTCTCTCAGGACTAGTAAAATAATTTTTTTTTTTTATCCATTTTTAACCGTATATTTGTTCGAAAACTCTGTTTAAAATCAAAAGAATAGAAACAGAAATCTCGAACTATTATCGTGTACCAAGCACGTGTGCGCGAGGTGCCAAAAATAGCATTTACGTAATAATTATAAAAAATTATTAGAGAGTAAGATATAAAATGAAAAAAAGAACGACTATCACAGGGGTTCGCGATAATCATGAAAAGTTTAATAAATATTTTTCGATGTCGTTGCATGTTATTGGTCTGTAATTGTATCGCTTCGAGATGTGTTCTATTCAACAAAACCTGTGACAGTCGAAGTAGCGAGGAAAAAGCAAAAAGAACAACAACGTATTTTTTATATACATATAAATTTTAACACAAAGTTAATATCGTCATTCACATCTCTATATATATATTTATAATATATATATGTAGCATACGTACAATTACTATTAATAATCTTCTATTGATAACGTAATAATTATTGTTAGTCTTCCTGTTCAAAACATTGATCAGACGTGTGTTAATGTTACCATCGCGACGATAGTAATCTTCATATCCGCGCATATTTTTTATCTGTTTGTGTTTTTTTGTATGAGAGATTTCTTTAACATAAATAAATGCTATACAAAAGTCCAAGTCGTTAAAAGTTAAAAAATGCTATCAAGTCGCCTGATATGGACGGCTTAGATACTTGAGCATTTGTTCTTTTACGATCCTTCCTTCCAGCGAGTCCTACGAATATCCTTGAAGAATTTGCAACAATACCGTCGTCCGTCGCGGCCCGGACAAGTACGTTGGAGCGAGATTATCCTACCTGGTACCCTATGTAGCTTAAACATTAAGGTTGGTACTTCGTATTTAACGCAAGTGACATTGAAAATATCATGTAACACAAGCTATGTATTAGACAAGGTTGTTTCATTCAAGGCCTTTCTGTGATATAGTGAACGGAAAAGGTTTAATTTAATTACGGGCTCAACGGATTGGCTAATCCTAATCGTATGTCGCGAAGGAAGGACGTTGCGTAACAAAAAAACTTATCTCATGCCGAGCCCGACGCCGGCACTCTGAGCGTTGGACGCTCTTTGTTCCATGGTGATGTACTGTCTGATCAGACGAGAAATTTCGTGGGCTTGTTCCGTCTGCAGTCTGGTGATACGCTGCTGCATTAAATTGCCACATTTCATGTCGAGATAAAGCGTGCCCTCCTCAGATTTGACCTTTCTGGTGGAGATCACCTCGGAATAAGGATAATGGTACAATGTCTCCTAAAAGGTAAGAAATAATTGTATGTGTCAGAAGAGAAATGCTGTTACGAGAGAAGAGATAAAAACTTCCGGAAGTAGCTACTTACATGCGTAATTAGATCTATAAAATGCACTCCGTGCCGATTCAAAGCGAGAATATGATCAGCGCCCTTTTCCTTGCCCTCGGGCACTCTTTTTACCGCAAAGAAACTTGAGCCGAAAAGCGGCCACTTAGATAATATTTCTGAAAAAAACACAGAAAGTATATATATATATATTTTAAAAATATGTAATTTTTGAAGTTTTATTGTTTAAATCAGTTTTGTATCTCACACACACATAAATATAAAATTAAATAACTTGAAAAAAAAAAAAAAGAAAAGTAAACTTTCTCTTTCTACATAGCGTTTGCACACGAACGTAAATAATTTGCGATGCAGTATAAAAATAACGTTATTTTGAACATGCGTGTTTTTTAACATGTTTTTTAACATTTTATTACAGTTAAAATAATTATTTTCTAAAAAAAAAAAAATTGTTTTGAGAGGCAATATCAAAAATTTTCGATCTCGTTCAAAGCACTTACCGAGCACTTGAGCTTTGCAACTAGCCGCCGAGGAAAGTTGAACGTTGTTCCAGGCTTGCTGGACCATGTTGGACCACTGCTGTGGTCTGGGTTCTCTCAAGCTGAGCGCCGGTTTTGGCAATAAGTACTTAATCTCCTTTGTCGCGGGTTCATGCGCCATGTCAGCCGCTCTGTGCAGCAACGCCGCGATTTGTGCCATGTCATACTACAAAAACATGCTCGTCATTAAATACTCATTTATCACTTCGGTAAAAAAACCTCAATACTTACAATTACTTCTTGAGATAAGTGTTCTCCAGGCAGAACTAATAGAAGTCCTTCCAGGTAGTCGGGAGCGATTTGATTGAAAACAACTTCTATGTACAATGCCGCATCCAATCGAAGAGGATAGTACCAAACAGATCTGCGAGAAAATTGAAAGAAAATACGTCAGTTAAAAAAACCATATTACATAAATTTGTAATATTGTAAAAAAAAGATTTTACCTGCAAAATATTAAATAGAACACTTGGTGATTTTTCTGAAGCTCCGTGGTCACATCCAAGACGTACTCGTCCCTGGCCAATGGCATGGTAAACGCATCACCATCGACGATACAGTACAATGAGAACTCGTCCATCTCGTGAGGATTTCTCACTGAGATGACATTGCACATTTCTTCTATAACGTCCTGAACGACGGTCGTGCATTTCGTGTTAATGACTCTTTCGGTACCGCCGGGCAGCCGGTAGATCTGCCTCTTCGCGTTTCTGCCCGCGCTGATCGCCATGATTTCCTCCACGCTGGGCACATTCTTACGTCCGCCATATTTCACGGTCTTTCTGAGATTCTGCAGACAGACCATCGCGGTACCGTGATAAGCGCGACGCTTGTCGTACGCCGCCGTTTCGAGGTATTTGGTCAAGTAGGGCTTCAGACCCTCGCTGCACGTAAAGTACGCGGCGATGATGCTGAATATCCGCCAGCCACGTTGGCAACTCTCCGGATTTGGGCTCTTGTTATTGGTAGTTTGCTTCATTAACTGGCAATAGACCTCGTCGCGGAGTTGCTCGTATTTGTGACAATGCTGTGCAAATACGTGAAAACATAGAACGCGAATATTTTTTATTTGAAAATTTATTTATTTGAAAATTTATTTATTTGAAAATTTTTATTTATTTACTTCTTAAAAAAAGAAGTGAGAATACGATTTTGTTTTTGATTTGAAATATAATCGTACCATGAGGATCGTGTAGACGCACTTGACTTCACTGATCTCAGGCGGCAGTGGTTGATCCCCCATGTATCTCATCAAACAGAGGAAACACTCCACGGCTAAAACGCTCAAATCCGCATCTAACCTGAGCAAGCTCTGTTCGATGGGAACTGTGGAATACTTGACGAGGTCCACCTGTTCCTTCCAGGTCCACTCGGTGCTGTCCTGCTGGCCTTTGCCTTTCTTGTTCTTTTTTTTGCTCTTCAATGACTCGATCACTTTGAGAGACCCGCTGATCGATCCGTCCGCGGTCTTCAACATCTCGAATCTGTTGGACACGCATTGTCGTTCTTTAACTCTCCCGTTTGCCAGCATCGCGTGTGATAAGCCTTTCGGTTTTAACGCGAAGTGAAGAACAAGAAAAAGACACCATAGTACTGCACGTCGGACCGATATCTTACGCCGACTGCGTTATGCTTTCTCAACACGGCTAGCTTGCGCAACACCGTTAATAGTTGCCTCGCATTAATTTCGCATGCAGTCAACGAGTTCGCACACATGACTTCGGGTATCAACGGGAATTTAGAAAGGCATAATCACATATTTTTTGATACATATTTACATATTTACATATTTTTTTTTTAACGGATTTCTTTCAGAGAGAAATTAATTCTATAAATTTCGGCATGAAAAAGATATTCATGTGTATATTTTTTTAATTCGGGTTACAGATATATTGTGTTGCATAAATTAATACAACAGTAGTCTGAAAAAAAAAAATGTGTTTGACTCACTTTTCTGTGCTTTGACGGAAATTCAACATGGCATACTGCAGCAAGGAGTGCTTGCCGTCGTTGACCACCGGCCCGGTCTCGTAAATGTTGTCCTCCTGGAGTCTGACGTTGTCGTCCGGCTGACGCCATTCCTGGCTCGGACTCAGTCGCTGGTTCTGTAAGTTTTTCTGATGATTCGCTTGGTTGACGACGGACACGTGGTTGGGCACGCGACCGATCGGTACGTGATTCTCGTGTTCGGAAATTACGTGACCAGAATGATTATGATGCTGAATGTGATTCACGTGATTCGTTTGTGACTGTATCGTCTTTGTGATTTGGGATACGTGATTTTCGTGATGATTGATCTTCTGAAGTGGCTGCTTCTGGTTAATCTGCAATTCGAATAGATAATTCGCATTGGTTGGCGTTGGTTGAATAATCTTGAATGTAAAAAGTTCCTCTTTTTTTTTTTTTTTTTTTTTTTATTACAAAATCTTCGGTTGAGTAATCATTTGAAAACTGCAATATCACACATCGTGATTAAAATAATACGCAATAACCATCGGTATGCGACGTAATTGAAATAAAAAAAAAAAAAAACTCTTCTATTGCCTATTACTGTCACAAATAATCCCTCATTTGCAGCTGATAAGCGAGTCAATTTTCCGCACTTCTCTGTTTCTCCCAATTTCCGCGCGCCGTGTGTTTAAAGTATTATTTCCTCCTCTTCCCCGATTCCTATCGCGCGGCGCGAAACATCGATCTTAGCACGCAAGTAAACGGGTTTCTCTCCTTCCATTCCGCGTACCGCAATCTGCTACTGGAATGCGGCCGATACCGACCATCAGATGTCGCTATTTTTTTTTTTTTGTTTCAAACTTCTCGAAGAAAATAAGAAGAAAATGAGTGATACGTAAATTAGCATCGACTGCACGCGATTTCTCGAGTCGCTCCTGTCGCGCTCTCTCTCCTTCTATGTCCGCCAGGATATCAATATTTTGACAAAAAAATTGACAAGACACGTACCAGAGAAACAGGATATTTCTTTTCCTCGCTTCTTCCTGCTTTCGTCGATTAAAAGAATTTGCAGAACGGAAAGTGGGTTACGACACACACACACACACACACAGTTATCTCACAACTTATATTTCTTAATATCTTTATATATCATATATATAAATACAAATCGATGAAACTGCACTTTAGAAACTTGACGATGTGCGCGCGTTACAAATTAGTTTTTCTTCTCTCCTGGGAGATCGATTGAGATGACGGACGTGAGAAATAGTTCATCTATCGGCGCGCATCACAGTTAACAAATAGAGAACTCATATCTGCGCGCACGACAAAAAAAAAAAAAAAAATATCGTAAAACTGATGTCGAAGCGCTTTCGTGTGTGATTCAGGAAGAGAAATCTAGTGAAGTCAGGAATAGGAACTGGACGGCTAATGCTTTTAATAACTCTCTCAACGAGATGAGCGTATAATATATATATAAATTTTTTATAATTATGGAAGTATCTTACACGGAGGATAAAACGATATCTAATTCAATATCCAATTTCTCCACTTTTTCTCAATAAAAGTCACAAAAAAAGCCTCATCATTATCGAGATTCCGATAGACAAATTGGAATTCCGTTATATGAGGTGTGGTGCACGTTCTCGTCGCAAGGTAGCACCGGGGGGATATCTTCTTAATATACTTCGGAATCGGTGGAGACGCGGAGAACGCGCGTGCGAGAGAGATAAGCAGATGTCGACCCTGACCCATATAGACGTTAATGCACCGAGACGCGACGAGAGATGTCGATGCGGTTGCCGCGCCGACCATCCGAGCAAATGCAGCAAGTGTCGTCGTCGCTCTCTAATGGCCCATCAAAAACTCGCGGCGCCATCAACAGCTATTTGAGCCTTTTACTTTACGCGGAGAGAATTAAAACGTGTGAGTGTAATGTTAAAATGTATGGGTAATGAAATTGGCGAAAAAAAAAAAAATGTTCATTCGAGCGAAGCGGCGAGATCAAAGAACACGCTCACTCGTGCGTTGTCGGCTTCTTTCGCGACGAAAATCAAAAGCTTCCGCATTTTAACTAGTAGAGAGCGAGTTTGGCAATCACTGCGGTTATTAGCGAGATATGACTACGTGAAGAAGTGCGCGCGAAATAGAAGGAAGGTGCGAATCGGGCACAAAAAAACGGAAAGTAACAAATACGACAATAAAGAAAACATAAGCTAGCATCCGTCAAACTGTGAAAAACGCTTATTGAAGTGTCGTCTTTTATATAAGACATGAAAACAAGTTTTCTCTCTTACGATTATCAAGTGATATTTATAATCGTTTCCTGCAAGATAGAATTTTTCTATCGGATAATCAAATATTTCTAGAGAGACACACAGATAGTAATAATAAAATATGACAAATAGACCTGATAATTTTTTACTTTCTCGTCTAGCTTCTTCAAGGTTTCCTGAATGGTGTTCAGTGTCTTATCGCTCGCCTTCTCCTCGATCTGCGTCTCGTTCTCATTGCACGGTGTCAACGAATCCGATTGCGTTCTGAGCTCTTCAAATCTCTTCAAAATCTCCCGAACGCTCAGTTTGCTGTTGTCCGTGTTATTTTCCTCCGTGATGGTCTCCATCTTCGCCATTTTACGTTCACAGATACTTTCCATCATTTGCTCGTCTTCATAAAACCCCTGAATCATGTCACCCGTCTTCGTATCCACGTCCTTCGATTTCTGCTGTTTCGTCTCTCGATCATTCGTCGCGTCTGTCGCGTTCTTGGAGTTTCTCAGCTCGCAGCCTTCTTCGATCCTCAGTTGTTCGATGGTCAGCTGACGTTCGTTCGTACGCGCGATTGGATGCAGGAATGACTTTTGATCCAACTTGGATACGTCTATTCGAGGAATGTTTTCGTATTCGAACTTCTGTTGACTGAAGTGCTCCTTCTTGAGAGAATCTGGACTTTGTCTGATGTTCTTATTCACATCTAAATAATCGGAGTCCAACTTTTTTTTCTCCTTATTGCTATCTTTCGCAAAAAACTTGATGAAACTGCTTTTTCTCGACTTGCATACCTTGTCCAGATGAGAAGCCTGTTCCAGAAACGCTCCCGAATCATCGGTGTGTCCGTATTCGTCGCTGCTCAATTCAGACTCGGAAGACTTCATCAGAAGACTGTCGGGAGAGTTCGTCTTACGATCTTCGTCGGAGAAATTTCTCACTTCCTGCTTGCTTACGAAGTTCATCTTTTTTCGATACGCCTGATTCTCGTAGTGTTTCCAACAGTTCTCGTCCAGACGATTCCAGAAATTTTCAGCTGTCGACGGTTTCTGCCTCCTCGTCTCTTTTCGCAGATCAAAATAATTTTTCTGTCCGAGATCTTTTCGCAAAAAGTCGGAACGACGCATTCGCTGCACGTTGCTGACAGATCGCGGTTCGAATTTGTGCAGTTCGCTCTCCGAAGACTCGGAGTAGTCGGTGAATTGATTCAGAATATCCGGACGATGTTTCTGTCGACGTCTCAACGTCGTTGGCAACTCGGCCCAGTTGCTGATAAGCTTTCTGGAAAACACACCTTCCGTATCGGACACTTCTCTCTCCATGTCGACAAAATTGGGTGATGTACCCTCGATAAAAGGCATATGTTAAGGCACGTACGATGTAATTAGAGACGTATCTGCGGCGCGTATTTATGATGGTTATTAAGTCCTTGCGCGCGAGCAGATTCTACACGTAGTATTTTTCTACTTTCAAACAATCAGTATTTTCACTCGGATTTTCCGAAGAATGTAGATCACGGATGAAGGACCGTCCGTGGAACATCGTGAGAAACGCCCGGAAGAAGATTCTCGTGGGATCGGCCGGAACAATGCGCACTTTTAGTTATAATTACCTCGCGCCAACAAACTCTCCCTGTCACGACACAAGCGAGAAAGCTTTCATGCTTTCTTAGAAACCGCACACTTGATCTTCACACCAGCTTCGGATGCGAGCAAACGGAGTTTTTCGTTAACACAAGAGAGTTTAGTTTCAAATTTTACTTGAATATATTTGAAAATTTTACAACGTCGTTGTTTCGCGCACGTTTAGTTTAAGTTTAGGTGTGAAATCACTCGGCGAAGAAACTTGCCAGTAAAATAACGTGTTCTTCTACCGATGGATGACTATCATCTTGACGGTTGTTGAGAGACGAGTTGTGAAGAAGAAAACAACAGGCGGGGAGCATCATATCTCGCTTACATAAGTGTGAGGCCCTTCCAACCTTACTCGTTCAAGAACGTTAACGATCGTGCAATCGCCATCGCGTTCCGTTCATCATTACGTGGTGCACACCATATACTGTTTTTACGCCGTAGTTTTTACACGGAGTGTGAAAGGCACATCCCGCCTGCGAGAGAATAATGGCCGCTGATTAACTATACATTCGAAGCGAAGAACCGTACATTAATGTGATTATTATCATTATATTAACCTTGCCAGACGAACTGCGACGTCTTTAAGTTAAGAGCTCGCTCGGTGATGTCATGTCTCTCAATACACTTGCGATCGGCACGATTATATATATGGCTGGTGTCGCACTAGAGAACCGGCTTTCAATAACAATTCATACTTGGTGATAAAAATATTCATTCAGCGCGGCGCGTGTTATTTCTTTCGACTCGATTAGTTGTGAAAAAAAGACGCACTTGTGTTCTTTCTCGTTTGGTTGCGGATGTCAACTTGAAAACTATCAGAACTTTATTTTGATTATTCGTTCTGGATTTTTTTTCTCCGAAAAAAAAAAAATAATTTCAAAAGTTTTCACTTTTCAAGAAAATGTCACTGCTATTTAGTTGGGCAATTCGCTTCGCGTGACGGTATCGGATGTCTGTTTCTTGCACAAGCGAATTATTAGATTGACCAATCTTCTCTTCGTCGTACGTACGTCAGGATTGTACACGAGTAAGCCGTAAAGTACGGATGCAAGCGTATTGCGATACGCTACACCGTACGGCACGGCAGCAGTCGATGAACTGAAGAGCCGCAGCCGCAAGGCTTCCGATTCGCAGGTATACCATGATACGTTCCCTGCCGGTTGTATTCTGTTAGCCGGTTGCCCCTTCGGAAGACGGATATCTGGGTCGGGCCCCACCATCGAAGTTTCGAGGTATGCATGGCGCACGCTAGGTATGGAAAATCATGCGATGCCGCTCTTACCGGTGAGATGCTCTTTACGCTGCTCGATCTTGTTCGATCGGAACGTACGTTCTCGATTGTCGAATAATATACATATAATGAGAAAAGGCGTGAGGCGCACAGAAGCGCTTTGCTCGCTTAAACGAGAAGACACCTGTGATCTCTGAAATCCTGTCGAGCGATAAGTTTTGGAGGTTTCTTCATATGTTTCAAAGCTAAAAAAACTTACTTAAACTTATTTTGTAGTTACATTCAAAGTAAATGTTAAAATTCATTTACACAATTATATATGACAATTAAAACTTGCGTATTTGTATTTTTGATTTGGAAAAAAAATTTGTCTTATAAGGTCAATTTTTTTTTTTCATTTGCAACTTAGAAATATATATTGCTTTTTCCCAATGTGTTTTTCTCAAAGAATGAGTTATTCAGGGGATTCGTAAAAAATTTCTATTTTTATAGCAACGGACGGAAATCTGTTGTATAGAGTCTACAATAGCGATTCCACGCGAAAATGTGCATCATGAACACAGCAATGAAATAGAAATCGGAACCGGAAGAGAGGGAGGAAAAAGTCGGAAGCGATAGCTCATTATGCGAGATTATTGTGATTTGTGACTCGATGGCGGACGTCAGAGTAAAATCTTGAATCCCACGTCTTTCTATTACGATTTTAATTTTTCCGTCTTTATTGAAGAGCAAACCCGGGAATTTTCGAAGTCCTGTGAAAACAACTTTCGGTTGTTCACACATTTGTGCGACGCACCTGCCGCTAACGGAAACGACCGATTATCCGTAAAGCCCTTTAAAACTGGGGATCTCGCGGCCTTTCGCGCACATGTATCATCAACGCATATCTAAAATTTTCTCTTCTACAATTTTTCACTTTAACTGTATTTTATTACACTATATAAGATTATAAATATTTAAATAAATTTAAATTTAAATTTTTTTAAGAGAAAAGTGTTATTTCATTTTGCAAAGGCTATTTATTTGTGTTGGAGAAAGAAATTTACGCTGATTCTGTCAGTAGAGAAATATATTACTACTTTCTCAATCCGCACACATGCCTTCCGCGCGATTCACGTCACGGAACAACATTTTTCTCGCACCGGTTCGAAGAACAAAATATCATTTTCCGCGATCCGGAATCCGTTTCCGAAATCGTTTTGCTCGATACGTTTTTTTTTTTTTTTACAGAGACCGGTTGCCGGCGATATGAGGAAGGGGAAGAGGGAGGAAACTCTTTCCAATCTTACATTTTCTATTTTTCCGTATAGGTTTTTGTTCCGTAATTCCAACTGCGAAGAATGTCATGTTAGAACGCACGGAATGCACGAGTCGGTGAAACTGAAATTGTTGTTGTGTTGTTTATTACATAAAACCGGAAATACATATTACGAAGTGTGCTTTCTATTATTTCTTACAAAGGAGACATCTAAGATTTTAAATTGTTTTTAAGGGCCGAAGTGACGGGAGAAACAAAAAAAAATTTTAGGCCAATGCGGTAGTGAAAAAAAAAAAAAAAAAAAAATAATGAGAATCGTCTTGCGCATTAGCAATTCAAAGCGCTTCCGGTGTTCGCGTAGCGTGAGGGGAAGCTGCTTTCAGTAAAGTTACATGAACTCGGAATCTCTTTAAAGAAATTCGAGTATCTTGTGCTTATATATTTTTTCTTTTTTTTTTTTTTTAGTAAACTGACTTTTCTGCGAGCACGGTAAGACCGCATAAAAAATACAAAGCGATCGCTTTGGCACAGTCTCAACAACTATTGTACGCATTGATGAGAATCGCAGAGTTCTCAGTAATTCTCTTACACCCAACCATCGACATATCTGGTCGTCACGCTGAATGATCTGCTTCTTGAATTGCGTGTGGCGACGATGCATGCAGGTGTATCTGATGAACACGTATAACGCGTGTTATGAGAAATCCGATCTCTCTCGGTTTGCACAAGACATAAAGAGACGAGTCTCATCCACCTCCTTCCTTCCTGCACGCGCGCGCGCGCGCGCGCACAAAAATCTATTCTGCTATTTCCTATCTGTAATACACTAAAGACAGATGCAAGATATTCCTAGAATCGAACACAGAAGAAACTTGTGTCTTCAGTTTTCTTTGGATATTATCGACGACACGAAAATATGACAAAAAGATTGACGGACGCTCAAGAAGAATTGAAACATTCCTTTTTCACGAACGATTACACGACGACAAAAAGAATGCCGATGAGAACGGTGCTTGAGAAGAATCATTTTTCGCAAGAAGTCGAAGATATTACGCAATTTCAGTCAAAGACGAGAAAGAATAGAAGCATCGAGCGCAAAGTCGGCAACGGATCGCTGATTTCGACGTTCTCTTGAACGGCGGAAAAAGGGAGAAGATATAATAGGAGGAGAGGAAGAAAAAAAAAAAAGAAGACGCGCAGGAGAGGAGGCATTGGCCAGCATATATGACCAGTGACTGGAAACGGCAATTTACACTAGGCGTTACCCGCGGTTGCCTCGTTACAGATTGCGACGCACATCGTGCCGTTATGATTTCCGAGCCGACCATTAACTGCTAATTGGTCGCGGATCAGCGCGCTTGATTCGACCAAATGTGGAAGAGACACTAAGTTAGGCGCACTCACCAGTCTGATGTATTTGCTGATCATCTCTGCCAATTGCGGGGCGCGATTCGTGTGAAGAGGTAATCTGATGCCCGACGCGATCTGCAAGACACACACACCCGCTCTAGAAGAATTCACGGAAACGATATCCTCGAGCGGAAGAGTCTCCAGGATCACGAGATCGCCGTTAGGGGTGCGTTTGATCAACCGAAGTCCGTGATGCGACACCGCCACGTGTTGTGTCTCCGGATGCTGCGGACCGATCTGCAACAGAAATCGAAAATAAAGTTTATTTGCTGAAATTTAAATTACTGAAGTTAAAATTGCTATCTGATGTTTTTCAGAACGTTTCCGCTTTAAGCGGAAATACTGTAAAGAAACAAAATGAGAACTTACTGATACAGGGAATATCCTAGCGAAGTACAACGGCCACTGCTTCGCTATGTCTACGATGTTTTTCTTAATTGTAATCTTGTGCTGTGTGCTTTGAAGATTGTCCAGTGTCACGCCGTAATTGTCCAGCATTTTCAGCATGTTTTGTCGATCCTCCTTGGCGATTCTTATGCTGGAAGTCGCCAACACATCGTAAGCAACCTGGCAGAATACCAAATGTAACGCCAGAGGACTGTTCAGGGTTTCATTCGGCGCGAAAACCTCTTTCTTGACTCTCAAGGTCCATGTGACTCTGTTGTACGTAAAATGTGCGTTGGAGGTTTGCGGATAGAGTTTGGTATTCACTATCTCTTGCACTTTCTCAATCTCCGGTTTATCCGCCGGTGGTAATACTGGTTTGAGGAATTCCGGCCATTCCTGGATCTCGATTCTCTCCATTTTGTCCGTGCGATAGGTCGAAGCCACGCTCGATCGTCTCTCCGCTTCCTGATCCAGTTTATTAAAACTGTGTCGTGCGACGGTGAAGGATTCTCTTGTGTTCGGAATGACGCCGAAGTCACGTGGCGACGGCATTCCAAAACTATCCCGCGATTTGGGAGACACGTCTCGCGTCATGCCGAAAGGATCGCGTTTACCGTTCGATCCATCGAACGCGTATTTCGAGTCGAAAATCTCGGAATTCAAATCGCGACGCGAGTCGAAATCGGAGCTGCGATCGCGCGCCGAACTTGCCATATCGGTGCTGTCTTTCGAATAAAAATCTTTGGATTTGACGTCTTGAGCGCGACACTTTTCGTACTCGTGCCGATAGTCGTGACTGTCGCGCAAATGTTGCTGCGTAACGAAGACGTCACGACTTTGGCTGAACATCTGACTCTTGGAGAAATGATCGAAGACCTCGGAATCCGGAGACGTGCGGAAGGAGTCACGAGTTTTCGGCTCGATCGGCGCTGGTGGTGATCGTGGTTGAGGTACACCCGATTGACTGAAAAATGCATAAAATATTTTTTTAACTTTGTTGAATCTGCTAATTCAAATTATTGCTAATTGCTCATTCAAATTATGTCTCAAGGATGAATTTTCATGAAAAAATTTAACGTGTACTTGACGTCGTTACCTATTGCTATACACACTGCCGCCTCTTGGACTTGGAGGCTGCGGTGGTGTGACAGGTGGTGGAGGCGGTACAGGTCGTTCCATTCTCTCGATTTGTGTCCTAACTACTTGAGCTTGCGTCATCATATCGGTTGTGCCCTTAGAAGTGACGCTTTGAGTGTCATCAGCGGTAGAGGCGTAATCGTCCCATCTGCCACCTTAAAATTTTATTCGGTAAATAATATATCTCTTCAAGATATCTTTATTTTGAACTTTTTTCTATAGTTTTTTTTTTTATGTCCAAAAAAAGATCTAATTACCTAGTTGTTGTTCCAACAGAAGTTTTCTGTTATCCTCCAATCGTTTCACTTTTCCATCTTCCCGCGGAAGAGCGGGTTTCTCAGCCGTTTTCGTCGATCTCACACTATGATTTGCCGTCACCTTTTCCAATCTCTGTCTCATCTCCGAGCTCAGCTTCAACTTCCCTATGCTTCCTGGCGACGGTCTCTGCGCGCCCACATCCAAGGCCGATCTGTGAAAAAATTTGACAATTTGCATCACATTGCATTTTTTTCTCTTATAAATATATTCACAAATAATTTCGAAATAAATTATCTAGTTACTTAGATTTCTTTTTAGATTTCTTTTCTCCTTCTTCTTTGTATCCATTCTCGTGTTTGGTCTCGTGTTTGGTTCCCGATGGATGAGTGGCCGTCGATCGATCTTCGTTACTGACGATGTTCTCGATCTCGAATTCTTCCCATTCGACACCACCTTCCGTCACAGAGGGTTCACCTTCGCCTTGGTCGTATTCCTGATACTGTGGCGTTATCTTACGTTGTTGCTGCTGACGCATCTTGAATTCTATGAAACTGTCTTGTCCTTGAGCCTCATTCGAGTCACTGGGTGGTGGCCACCTAATTTGCAATAATAATCGAAGAAAGAGAATTAAAGACTTGACAAATTCAATCACACACATTAAAACACATACTTTGTTTAATTATATTTGGATTTTATATAAATATACCTCCACTTTCCAATGCGCACTGTCTTCGCTCTCCCGTACGGATCGAGGAATGGTCTGGATTCTGATGGATCGTGAGATTCCAATGGAGGGGGCATCGGCGGAGGTGGTGGAACGCCTTTATTATTGCTCGAATTCGAAAGATTGCTGTCCACGCTGCTCTTTCTGTTCTTCAGCTCGCTTAGCACATTAGTGAAATTATTTTGCACGTTACTTTTGTTCATGCTGGTTCTTTTTATTTCTTGTGCCGAAGACGTTTTTCTGTCCGTCACCTTTCGATCAACACTGATCTTTCGCGCGTAGTCGATACTCGTCTTTCTCGCAGCTTCCGAGTTCTTTCTGGGTGGACTTTGGGATCTGTGAATTTGAGCCTTCACGGTCATCGTTTCCTGTCTTTGATTCGTCGATTGTACTGACGTTTCTCGTTTTTCGGTTGACCAGAGATCACCATCGTCGGGTTCTCTAAATGAGACCTGACGGCAAAAGATTAAGATAATAATTTCAGGTAACGATGTAGAAGAGTGTCTTTTTTTTTTTAAAAAAAAAAAAGTTATATACAACAAGAACAATCGCGTTAGAATTTTTGATTCAAGATTAGAAAATTTATCGGGTGAGAGCTGTGTGACGATCCAGTGAATAAGACATGGGTCTGATCTGGTTGGTCCTAAATCCGAATATCTTCTTTGGATTCTGTTAGATGATATATATATATATGTACACGATATGTCTGAAGTTGTGGGAAAATCACGATAGAGAGTGTACGTTAGTTGAAATCAGTAGATACCTTGGAGTAGCGTCCGATAGAATCATTAGGCCCCATATGGGCATCGATTGAGGGGGCTGGGGGGACTAGATTCATGCTTGAGGGGCCAGCGGGTAACACCGTGCTCTGGAAACATACACCCGTGCCGTGACGCGGCTCAGAAAACCCAGAATCGTCCAGAACGACGATAATATTGTTTTCGTTATGAGTTAGCTTTCATTAAACGCGAAACTGTTTCGGTTATCAGTGATAGATCATTGAGTTAATAATAGTTACGTGATATCGTGATAATGTGATAATGAGAGCCGCGACGACAGCGGTGAACCTTTCATGATCGTGCTTAACATGCAATGTTCGCTTCTGATTTCATCGCTTAGTGTGATTCGATGTTACATGTTGTTTAAAGTTTGTTTTGAAGATTCGCAAACGTAAGTAAGAGTTCAGAATTCATTCGGACACAATCGCGTTAACTACGTACCGATTTAATATCTTCGAATCACATTAAGTAGATCAATCAATTTACCGTGATAAATCTTATAAACCTCATAAATATACTTTTTACAGATGTCGTGTGCTTGCTTCATTAAAGTTTCTCACCGGTTGCGTCGAATTCGGACTCTGAACCAATAGCTGCTGCAATGCCTGATTCTGCGCCAGTAGCTGCTGCTGTATCTGAATATTTTGTGCCATCGCACTCTGCAGAAAAGCTCGCTGCAAGTTCTGCTGGTACGCCATTATGTCGTTATTCTGACCTGGCGGTGAACTGGGATACTGCGGCAAGCTGAGTCCTTGCATATTATAAATCGGTATAGGCATGAAACCTGCACCCAAGCTCATGCTATTGTTCTGAGCGGATGGAACTTGCTGAGGAGTGCTGAACATAGGCATCATCATGGGTGGTGACATCATACTCTGTGCAATAGGACTGAAGCTAAACGCAGTATTCTGATTAGGAATATCCATATTGCCGCCTCCTTTGATCCTCTTGGCCAGTTCACTCGCGTCAATGTTCACATCCTCATTTCTCGTGAAAATGGTCTTTATAAAATCATTAACAGTAGATAATTTGCTAGTTTGATTGGCGACACTCCGCTGATTCCCGAGAACTGTTTGATCTTCTGGTAGCCTCGTATTGTGCGAACCTTTTATCGATGCGGCCAGACTGCGGGCATCCGACAACTCGTCGAGATTGCCATCTAGTACGGGCATAAAAAGCTCGTCCAAAAACTGATCCACATCGGAAGCTTGACTAGGCACTCTCACGCGTCGCACATGTGACGCCAAAGAAGGCGCTTCACTAGTATCGGACATGGCGGACGATTTTACACCGTATTCACTCTTTTCTATGTAAGCGCGACTAGACTGGCTTCCCGGCAGCGCACGTTTGCCTGCAAGTGAGAGAATAATCGAACGAAGTCGATACAGAAAAATTGAGTTGTGTAATCGCCGACTTTCTCTTGCACCTTACGCAAAGGCGAATTAAAGACCGAAAGTTAAAACAAATGCAAAACATTAGCATTACTAAAATAATTAAAACGGTCAAACAAAGTTGTGTTAGTTTTTACAGAAAAACATTTCACTTTTCGCGCTTACTTACCAGGATATTGTGACTTGATGAATCTCGTCTGCGATCTTATATAACTCTTATCGTCCTCCGATCTTCCGGTCTGACTGACAGACTGAATGTCCGGATATTCGAAGTCAATCGTAAGATCCTCCTCCTCGATGTTGGGCTCCGTTGTCCTCGTGGTTCTGCTGTACTTCCTCTCTTGCGTGATTTCGCTGCGCGATATGTATTCGGAGTTGCTGACTGTCGGGTTCTCACCGATTCTCTCCAAACTGTGATAACGTTCGTTCAATTTGGACGAGGAGAGACCGAGATTAGCAAGTTTTATCGGTGAAGGTACGACTTCCGGCTGAAGTAGGTTATCCAAACTTCGGCTACGCTGTTTCTCTTTCTCGAAATAACGGTCGTTCAATGCTGATTTTCTCGACAATCCTATTTCTGTTGTAGTTTCCAAAATGGCCTCGTGTGATTGCTTTCGCGTCTATTTGCCAGAAATTATTATTGTTTTCTTTTTAAAACATCAGTAAGGAAATAATCTTTTTTTTTTTACTAATAATAAATAATAATAATTGTTTGACTAATATTTTAAATACAAATATATAAACGTAAAACATTTATATTGACATTCTGCAAAGTTAAAGCAACCGAAGTTAAAGCGATACACACGGGTAGCTTCCCAACGGGCGGTTGCGGCGGAGGAACAGCTGGTCGTCTTGGCACCTGGATTTCCGGCTCGACGGGCTTATCGACCGGTTTGAGCGCTGATTTTCTCTCCAGAGGTTGGAAGGTTTTTAAAATAGGACTTTCCATCTCTTGTTCCAATTCCCGAATAACCTGAGCGTGCTAAAAAAAAAAAAAAAAGATATTCCGTTAAGTCGAATATATAAGACCAACCTAACGTAATGCCAGTTATACGTTCTCTTCTTCATTACTCTAAAAAACTAGCGTTGCAATTTTTTCTTACTTCTCGTTTTTTTATAGGAGGTAGACTGTTTTTGCGTTGCTCCAGGAACATGTGTTTGGCGGCTGGGAAAGCTGGCGCCAGTTCCATCTCCGAGATCAAATCCAGAACGTAGTCGAAACCATTCGTTTCCGTCACGATGGCGTCCGGGCCGTCCAGTTGATTCCAGAGCGTAATTGTCCAACCTGTGTTTTCCACCCCGTGATTTCGCACCGCGAGATTAGCCAGTTCTTCGCATGTCGTCCATGAGTTTATTGCGCACGTAGTTGTTTCACCTACGGAATAAAATTTTATAACCGATTACGATAAAATAGTTTTCATAATTCATTCTCACTCGTCGAAAGCGCAACGCCGACTCACCGTCGTAAAACCCAACATTAAGCGCCATATTTATGCGATTTCTATTGGCTCGCCATTCTAGCACGCACGGCGGGTAATTCCTAGGAACTTGATACACCGTTTGCTGATTGTTATTCATCACACGATACACCGTTCTCTCGCCTTGCAACAGTTTACGTTGACAGTAAGCCTTGTAACCATCGTAGGCGTGATCGGACACGTATCTGATCGAAGAATTTTAATTAAAGACAAAATTACATCGGATGTGCGTTGAAAATCGACAAAAACACAATGACGAAGATACTTACTTCAAAAAATACTTGAAGAGAGTAGCGCTAGGTTGAAACGCTGACAGGCAATTGGACAGCAACAGCCATCCTCTCTCCTTGTTGGCATCGTTGTCATTTTTCCACGTTTGATTCGCCAATTGGCACAGTATCTCGTCTCTCAGTTTTTCATTCACAATGCCCTTATTGACGATGTAATCGCCCAATGCTTGCTCTCGTTTGCCGTTGAGATTGTTCTCGTTCATAAAGCGCAGAATCATTTTGAAGATCATCAAAGAGTCCGTGTAATCTTGATCGCGAGCCTTCGCCAGAAACGGCGTTTTGATCGGCTCGCGTTTCATTCCGAATATGTGACTTTTGAAGTAAATGTTGGTGAACTTGGAGAACTGATACTGATCGATATCGGGCGGCAAATTGTACGTGCAATTCATCGGAACTACCTGTCCGACGACTTTGAGAAGATTTCGCTCGGTGTGCGTCGGTTGCCAATCTGAAAATCATAAAAAGTCAATCAAAAATTCAAAAGAACTTTGTAATTCTGTTAAAATAATTACATCAATTTTTAATGAAATAAAAAGTAAAAAAGAAAAAAAAACGCACCATCAAGTTTGCTGTAAATAAAAGCTAATTCCGCGGGAATCTCTAGATGATTCACGCCGGCAACAGCACGCGAGGTTCTTTCCTGCTCTTCCCGTTGCTGCTTCGCCTTCGCTCGCTCTTTGCTGGCCCTCTCGATCTCCGCTCTCTTCGCCATCTCCTCTTTCAGCACATTGAATTTCTCTCGTTGTTTTCTACCTCTGTAGAGCTTCTGCGCCATCAGAACGCCCTTCTTTAACGCGCGGAACTGCTTACGTTCACGATAACCGCGATAAACCGCTTGTATCAGTATTGTGCTTCGGGAAATGTTTAGGAACCTTCTCCGCGCCAAGAAGCCTCTCGTGTATCTGCAAGGAAAAACCGTTAGAACGATGTCTAGGGGAGAAAGGTTCACACACAATTCATTTGCATTGCTTTCACGACGCTCCTAGGTAGGTAACTAATGAAATAAAATGAATCGTGAAAAGAATTAATAGCTGTGAAATATACTTCTTTTATCTTTAGAATTATTCATATATGTACACGTATATTATTTATAATAATTAGTACTCGAGTTAGTGTAAATTGAAAAAGTTTTTTTGAAAAAACTTTACATTTATTTATTTATTTATTTTTTTCTTTTTATAGAACACGTACCTTTGAACAGTGATGGCTGCTCTCTCCAAAATCAACGCTCTGTTGTATTCCAGTGCTCTCTCCAATGATTCGCGCAAAAACACTCTTGTGAGTCCGAGTTGATACTGCGACTGCGCCTCTTTCGGCGCGGCTTTGTCCAAAATTATCCTGCAAAGTTCCTTGTTGGGCGCTCCTCTGGGCAAATGCGTCGAGACGAGATAACGATACCGATCCACAAAGTGACTGAACAAGAGGCGAACCGGATAGCCAGTTTTTCTGATGCGAATTGTCTCCAACATTCCCGTGTATCTCAGTTGCTCGAGCACGCAGGGCATGTCAAATTTCATTGGGGCTTTCTCTGTGTTCGGCTTAATGCAACGAACGAACCACGGATTACATCTGCAAGTGATAAACAACATGACGGAAGTCGATTTTTTTAACATCGCGCATGGTAGTTTTTAGTTGTTTCGATATTTACTGAGACATAGAATCTAAGAGTTGTTGAAGACTATCGTGAAATCGAGCCGAAACCGTTGGCGTTCTTGGCTTCATGGTGACAAATCTACCGTTTGGTTTGTTCATAGTTTTGTTAGCTTCGTGAGCAGTCCTGACATGCTGGAACATCTTGCTAACCATCTGTAATTATTACCAATCATATGTTACACACGTGACGTTATTATGACGAGACAGTTTTAAGTATTACGATTGAAAACAAGAAGGAAGTTTACCGTAATCTTGCTGCTGATCAGCAACTCGACCACATCTGGCCTCAGGGTGTCTCTGTTCTTGTCTAGAAAACCTTCCACGTTGTACCAGACTTGTCCAGCGTAATGTCTGATCGCGAACTCAGCGGAGTTCATTCTGGGTCTGGAATATAATTCGCTCAGCGCGTGATTGTAGTGACACTTTTCCAGGAAAGAAAGATCGGACGCTTTGGGAAAGTTGCTTTCGTCGTCCAGAAGATGAAGAATACCCACTGGTTTCTTCGCAATCAGATGGATAACTGGCAAATTATCCTGAGAAAGAGACATGAAAAATTCGTATTATATATTTCTTATGTACTCGAAACGAAGGTTTGAATCTTCGATTGCTATTTCAATTTGCATGTTGTTTGTCTCTGAAAACAAATTTTCTTTGAAAAAACTTTACGAAGCAATTATATCTCTGAAATTACCGTGTAATTGATGGTGGTCCAATCAATTTTCTCTTTCGCGTACTCTTGTTGCTCGAGCTTGAAGATATGCTTGTTGAAGTAAAATTGCAGATTCTCGTTCGCGTAATTGATGCACAATTGCTCAAAACTGTTTTCCGTGAAATTTTCGAATCCAAAGATGTCCAAAATAGAAATGGCAGCTGTCTGTTTGGTGCCCTTGTAGACAATATGATTGACACGAGCAACTAGCCATGAGAAGAGCGAACTGTATAAAGCTTTTGCGAAAGCGTCTCTGGCGTCAAGAGCCTGGTCGATATTCAAGGCCGTGAAAACTCTTTCGTTTCTTGCTTCCTACAATAATAAAACACAAATGTGTCACATATAAAATTACTTTAATGAGAATAAAAAAACAATGCGTTTGCAAAATGCGTAGTTTAACGTGAGATCTAACGATTCATTTCCTTTCAAACATCTTTACACTGTATTTGTATTGGTAGGAAAACTTACTGTTGTCTTTGTAGTAAGCGCTCGGATGATGCCATCGGAATTCACTTGAAGGAGGTGCGCCGCCCAACGTATTTCAGCGTCGGAACCGACCTCCACACCTTCCTGACCATGTCTCATCTGTTTCCGGTGAAAGTAAACATTTCCCAAGTGCAGCACGCTGGCTAAAATTTTGAAAATCGTGTCTTGCTCCTCCGACGTAAAGCCTAGAACTTGCATGGCTGACAGAAGAGCTTTAAAATCCTGAACATCACTCTTGCCATCGATCTCGCAGTTTCCACCCTTGAGTAAAAGTGAAAAATTTTGTTATTTATAATTTTACACGATGATAATGACAATTCTTTTTTTTCTTAGAAATTGAGATATAGAATTTTTATACCACACCTGATTTAAATAAAAATATTTGTCCGGTGTAAGAAGACCGTATTTATCCCTGAGTTGCTGATCGAGTCCAGCTAGAAGTTCATAGAACACATGGTAGTTCCTCTCCTCCGAGGCTTGAGTCACTATCCTACTCTTTTCTAGAAGATATTGCGTTATTCTACCACCTATAATTGCGCCGCTAAAAAGTAAACAAATAAATTGGTTCAAATTTGCACACAATGCGCTTATATAACAGCAAACCCGACGACGTGTGATTTATTAGCAGCACTCACTCTCTGAAGTGAACCTCCAAATATTTTCCGAATCGACTGCTGTTGTCGTTTCGCGGTGTTTTGGCGTTACCGAAACTCTCCAGAAGCGGCGTCGCCTCCAAAATCTGTTCCGTGACAAGATTATTTGGCGCGCGATTGACAGCCGCAAGATATTGCATCACCAATTTCGTGGACTCCGTCTTGCCCGAGCCAGACTCGCCCGATATGACCACCACCTGATTGGCACTGGCATTATTAGCCGCGGTTACCTGACTGTACGCGGAAGAGCCTACCGCGAATAAATGTCTACACAAAAGGAAAACGACAACCAAGTGAAATAACATGTCCGTTTTAGGTTTTTCATTGCAATTAGAAATATTAATATTTACGGTGGAAGTGTTCCAAGGATTCGTCCTTCGTAAAGCTTCACCTGGTCCAGTCCGTAGATGTCAAACATCTTATACGGATTTACCGCCACAAGTATACTTCCTGTGTACGTCTAAAGAAATTTATTTTATAAATAAATATTCACTCACTCGCGCGATATGGTGATAACGTGAATAATATAATGACGTACATAAATTAATTCCTTGTCGTAACGAATCTTCAAGTTCCATAATAACGATGCTTCGTTCAGGTCTCTATAAAATATTCGAACTATTCAGTATAGAAATTACGTCGAAATTAAACGAATTATTGCGTCATAGTTGTATCAAAACTCACGTCAACTGGATCATATCTTCCACACCATTTTGTCCCAAATCCTGTCTAGGTTTTACTCCGCTTAAATTGGTGAGAGTAAAGATTTGCGGCTTAAACACAATAATTACATGCAATTATTTGTTGCTTTCCTACACGAAGATTCAGTGTAGTTACAACTCGATAATACAAATTTGCATAATTTTTTTATAACGGCTCGCGAGGCTACGACACTTTCCATTCACAATTTCTAACGGACGCGAGCAGAGGAAAATCCAACTTTCTATTTGAATTTTGTGATTGTTCCTGTCGCATTTTCTCGACGTGGCTCGTAAGGAGGAATGTCCGACAAAAAAAACGAGAATTCGTGCGAATTCACATAAGACGCGAGAGAGCCACTCACGTGAAACCTAACCGGATACCAGTCTGCATTTCCAATGGCGCCGATGTCACATCGAATTTTTTACATATAATCTAAAATATTTACGAAATTTTACCATTTCAAAAACATCACAAATCCATATTATGTGATTTTTTAAAGTGCTTTTTTAAATTATAATATGTTTTTTCTGAAATAATATGAGTTTATTTTTTTATTTTTTCTTTGTTTACAATAAGTTTCTCCTCGAAACTAATTTCTTTAATTAAAATATTAAAATATCAAATGGTTCAAAATGAAGAAAGATGGGCTCTGGAATTTTAAAACTATAGAGATCTGATTTTTGCGTAATCTGTTTGTAATCACAGAATTAATCGTAACAATCAGGTCACACCTGCGAATCTTTACTGCGCGTTCTATGTCTTCAGATTTCTTTAAAGACAACTAGTGTGTTGCCTACGCCAGTGCGTGCTGTTATCTATAATGGGACACCGGTGAGGCGCAGTGCTGCAACTAGTGCACGACAATGTACGGGGAGAGAAACACAAAGTAGACGAGTAAAAAAAAAAAAAAACAAAAACTGCGTGTTGTTAAATGGGCTGCAATGGGTGTCGGTTGCATAATGATGTGGTTGTCTCACGTTAATGGAAACTACACGTTAACAACGCGTGTGAATAATCGTCCACCTCTCATTTCACTTTGCGCGTAGCTCCTTTCAATTCTAACGCGACTCCTACTCGAGCGAGATCGATGACCAGCAAACGTGACTCAAGGACCGGGAGCACGAACTTGAAATTTGCACGAACAACAACAAAAAAGCGAAAAAAAAAAGAGGCGAGAACCAGATTGTAGAGCGAGCGCGAACGTGAGAATTATACCATTTGTTCTCGTCCAATAGAATTCTTGCGACTCAATGGAAGATCTCAAATACACGAGAGAGAGAGAATTTAGCTTATACATCTGTTGGTTCCTTTCAGATCTTTCCGTAATTTTATGCGGGGATTAGCATAATTTACACACCTGTAAATATTTATTAAACGCTTTCTATATTCAACGCTATCTCTTACCTTGCCGGCGATCACCGCTTGCACCGATAGCACATTGGCGGCTCTGTGGTATTCCAAAACCTCACCTGGCAGCACATGGCCGACACCAGGATCGAACCACACCAATTCACCCTGCAAGCAGCACATTGTTGTAACTTAGATAAAGCGAATGTTTTGACACTTGTTAGTGTTGATGCTTTTTGCACTTGTTAATATATTTCAATAATTCATTTTTCTTCCCAAAAACGTATGGGTTTAAGGTGTTTAAATAAAACCATCAGAAATTACGAGTTGTATAAATATTTTTGACCAGTAAAATCCACTCTTCGTCGTTCAAAAATATTTGTTTTTACAACTTTCTTATTTTTCGCATGTGTTTACACCCAAAAACTGTTTAGAAATTTTTTTAGATGGTGGATTATTAATTTAATTGATTAATTATGACATTTATTTAATCTCGAACCGTTTTCACATTCCACGACGGCAAGGTATGCGATGACGATGACGTATGCATTTTTCTCTTTCCAGTGCAAAAACCAAATATCGACGATGACGTTTCGGGAGAATTGGATCGAGCGCTGTTGGCGTCGCTAAACGCCCTTACGTGCATCGGAACGCGCGTCGCCGTCTTTCTCACATAATTCGACCTTTCCTTGCTCTGCTTCGTCAGCATTCCGCTGTTCGAAGCCCTTCTCTGCTCGTCCGCGCTTCGCACCGGAAGCCCCGTCGACGTCTTCCGTGCGAGTTTCACGTAACTCGGTAAGGTTGTCGGTCTTGGAATTGTCTTGGAGTTTTCTGTTTTCTCTTCCAGTAGTAATCCACATTGCGACTTCGATCTACATCTCGCTTGTCTCTCGTTGACACACGTCGAATCTCTTCGTGATTGCTTGCCGCGAGACCAGGTGTCTGTTTTCGAATCGTTTTTGACAGATAGAGTAGAATCCGCGCGACAAGACGTCCTTGTGGCTCCGCTGATTTTTTCTGTTTTAAAATTACGCAGCCGCGATTCGATATCCGCTCTCGAGACCAATATGGCGTCGTGCTTCACCTTGACAACGTCTTGATCTCGATCCTTATGCATTCTCCGCTCCAAGGAATCTGTCTGGCTCGCGTTGTTGATTATCCTTCGTCTGGACATCGTCCTATCGATTGGCTTCGGTTTCTCTTCGTGAGTTTGAGAAGGATGCTTGGAAATCTTGCGCGCGACCTTGGCATAAATATCGTCACCAATGACGTCATCCGCGCACTTGGACCGATCAAACGGGTCGGGAACGGGATCCCGCAGACGTCTGACAACTTTCGAAGTTTCCGCGCGTTCCTCGCTCGTCTTCGTTCTGGAAAGCCTCGTCAGGGTATTTGAAGGAGTGGCGGAATCGCGCAGCGTCGCGGAGCCAGTTGGCAACGACATTTTTCGCCGTCGAATCCTACCGTAAATCGGCGCTTCTCTCCCGGAAGTCTCCCTCGTTCTCGAAGAGTACTCTTCAAGCCGAGACGTCTTCGAAGAATGCACTATCTTAGGCAAAGTCGACGGCCGTGAGAGATCGCGATAATCTTTCGCGGTGCGACCTGAATTCTGGAAACTCGACGACACTCTCGTGACGTCTTTCACCTGCGGACTCGCTTCGAGACTCACGCGACGTCGCAAGATATCCTGTCTGGAGACTCTCTTCAGGAACGAGGAATTGCGCTCCGATTCCTGACGTGCCCTTTTGCCGATCGACGGCAGGGTTCTCGGTCTCTTCACTTCGTCCTTCTCCGCAAGATGAGACGCGTCAGCTTCGTCCCTGACGCATCTGCGACGCAGGATCTCTTTCCTGGACACCCCGAGACCGCGCGGCATCGTGTAATAAGATTCGTGATCGTTCGCGGCGAACGTCCGTCGATCCTTCGCGTCCTGCGACGATCGGACGGAAGTTCGATATTGTCTGGTTCTCGTTTCCGGCGCGACGCCGGAATTTGGAACGGAATTCGAATCTGGGTCTGGGCCGCTGCCGCGCGCATTATGCAATACGCGTCCGCCGCGGCTGGATAACGGTTCCGCGCTCGCATAGAAAGCTTCCGAAGACCGCGGCGAAAAGTGACTTTGCGGGGTCGACGATCGACCCACGGACCAGCGTTGTCGTCGCTGTTGCTGCTGCTTCGCGCCCGATCCCGGCGAATCCGCGCTAGCCATTGCTGGCGAGAATATCGGCGATTGGCCGCTCTCATGTGCAATATACTGGACGGATCACTCCCGTCACTTGCCTTCTCGCTGAGATTTCTCTCCTTGCGGAATCGCGAAATAACAATCTCGTCGACGTTGGAAGATCTCCGAGTCTCTTGTATCTCGCGCGTCTCATGCCAAACTGCGTGTATCACGGAGAGAGAGTTCCATCGACGATAAAAAAAAAAAAACAAAAAAAAGAAAAATTAAGTTTTTTTGCTAATAACAAGAGAACGTACACAATACACACGTAATTTTCTTCCTTTTGCCTCTTTCACTCGTAGTTTGCACAATGCACATAGACCGAATGCAATTTGTCTTAATTATAGCGATGTTCAATTTCGATTGCATTTTTATGTTTAAAAAATCAGTGTAAATCTTTTTTTCCGCAGACACGAGATACGAACAGACACACACACACGCGCGCGCGCGTGCAGCGCGTTCCAAGTCAATGTCCGCAACTCTCTCGGATGCATCGAGGTATTGAAACACACGCAACATGCATCTATCTGTCTTTCACTCGTCAAGAAATTCGATGCCTTTTCACGTGAAATTGACGCAACAGGTATTTTCTTCGCCTAATGTAAAACCATCTACAGAAAATTCTCCCATCTCCTTTTCGAATTGCGATGATTGTCGTGTTTCAAAATATACAATATGATAAAATGCTTATTGCTTCATCGAAAAACTTCAGGTTTTCTCCTGCTTTTAGCCTCCTTTCCCCCGACGTTTCTGATTTCGCTTACTGTTTTCCTTCTTCTTTGCGGCTCGGCGTTTTCTCTCCGCGATTTTTAGTTTATTTACATCAATCGCGACCCATCGCCTTATCGGGGAAGCCCGTCACGATCGCGATCGCGACCCGAGTCGTTGGAGACGAGGTCGCATCGTCGCGCATATTAAATCTGGCTTAAAAGAAGTTAGGAGGCCAGGTAAAGCTTCTATCGGGCTCATTGGGTCAGTCGGCAAAAGTCCGTGCACCACACGCGCGGAATTCGTTAACGGTGCCGCGTGGTGTCATCCTCGATATCTCGCTAATTTTCCCGTCGTTCTTTTGACTTCCAAAACAACTCCTTTGCGGTAGAAAAGGATCTCTCTCTCTCTCTCTCTCTTCGTGTGGAAAAGGATTCTTTTTTCTCGAGGCCGGAAAAATGATCACGCGATGCGGACGCTAGGATGTTCAACGCGGCACTGCAAGTAGTAGCAGGCCTTCCTCTCTGCAACAATTGCCTCGGGTATGCAGTGGCGTATGCGTTTTTAATTGAGACACGCTAATTAGGCCGTGCCTGAAAGCGGCCCACATTTTCGATCAGACGTATCCCTCTAATCACCATTGAATAACACTTTTGTTCCCTACCCGATTCGGTTGTCGCTTTATCTGACTTTTACTTAATAACTACTCTTGAAGTGACGGCCGCCACATGCGCCTAGATCATTTTGTTTAGATATAAAACGATGAAATCATATACTACCGACGCCAGTGGATCGAAGCGCTTTGGGGTGGAACCAAGCGTGCCTCTCTTCTTATATAAAATTACGCGCTAAATACGCGCGCGCGCACACATCCACACATGTTGCATATAGGATGCAGAAGGAAGGTAGGAACGATGCGAAGGGAAGCGATTCTGCCTAGCGGCCGTGGCGAGTTGCAGAAGAGCGATAGAAATTGTCGATTGCAAAGTGCGCCGAGTGCAATCTCAAGATGGACGATGATTAGTTTTTTCCCTCCCTTTGGCAACGTTGGATCGATTTTATTGGCGTTATTTAAGTTTCTTCGCGTTGCTTATTTGCAAGTAAGTGTCACGGTGAAACATATTCTTGATATAAGACAGGATATAGATTCTACAAATAATTTCTCGAATTATATAAAGTTTTAAAGTAAATACCACAACTTTACCACGTCTTCTCTCTTTTTCTCTTGTTCTTTGGTAATTCACTTATCTATTATAATATTCATTTCAATTTCATTTATGTCCTGCGCTTGCTCCGTTGGAATGCTTCCTTAATTATTCCGCCGTTCATTATTCGCGACTGGATGCACGAGAAATGAAGTAAAAGTGAAAAGCCTCTCTGTGCGCGCATTTATTATTATTATTTTTGATTTTAAGGGGCGATCAAGTTAGTTCTTTCTATACATATCCTTTAGTTAAAATTACGTATAGAAATTATTCTAAGAATACAATAAATAAATTGACAGACAAGTGCGTTAGTTTAAATTTTTTTACTTGAAAAATTCAATTAAAAATACACATTTAAATATTCATACTTCCTTATTTTAGAGATCCAGAAAAGTTAGTTTGAATTACTTTTGTTTTGTAAATAATTTAATAAAAACTTCACGACATATAACTGCACATTGATTAACGTATTTATTTATAGCACTGATGTTTCTTTGTAAAAATTAACGACAATCGTTTGTAATTAATTGTTGACTAACGTCAGAAGACGTCAAACGTTTGAAAGTGGCTGATCTGCGAACAGTAATGCAATTGCGTGTGCGCAGATCATTGACTTCGATCACGCAACGATCTCGCTGCGACCGTGACTATGTTAATATTATGCAATGCCACAATATGTCACAAAAAAAATTATTATTGGAGTTACAAGCCTATTAGTGGAAATCATAACTCACCTTTTGCCACTCGGCATACATCTTGAAACGACTTTAAAATGATCTCCGTATAAAAATATTCCTCATTTTGCACACAGTAGTGTCCGCTCTGAAACAAAACAGAATTTGATATTGATTACTTTATCTCGAACAATTTTAAAAACTATTATCCGGGTATTTGTTACTCGTTTATTTCTTGTCTAGAATTATAACGTGTGATGGTGTTTGATTACAAGACCTGCCCTATCGATTTTCAATGTCAGATCCGCGCGGGCGTGCCAAGAAGTGATATCGATACTATGTAACGGAAACATCAACACTTCGGTCGTTGCACGGTCACGCAACTTCCGGCGTTGTTCGAAGAATATCGACGATTGATTCTGAGCTCTTTAATTATGACGATGCACGTTGCACGTTGACTCTCTCTCTGCACATGCGCGCAATAAAAGTAAAGTTGGCATTGTATAATTATAGTAACAAGAGTAAAAAAAAATGCTTTTGTCATTTTAAACTGTAAATCATCATTACCAAAGTTGAGATATTTCTAATGATATTACAAGCCTATTTTGTACTCGGAGAACCATTAGTTCAGCGCGCGAGCACAGTTTGATACTGATCATAATTGTGTGTTCGGAAATATGGGAAGTGTTGCAATGAGCATTCAGCAAGATTGAGATACACGCAACCACGCATGTGGTTTCTATGACACGTAAAGAATATCTGTGTATAGATATCGGAGTTTATACATTTTCTGCTACATCTGACATCATTTCTGCTCTATCGCAATCTCAGAAATAAACATAATATTTTTTTCTCACCGCGAAGCAATATTTATTTCACTGGTCATATATCTTCGTAAGTTGTTAATGATTGGATTGTAACAATATATTTTTTTAAATTTTACTATTGGAAAATCTGATCTATCTGTATTTTCACACGTGACAATATTTATTACGCAAATTAATTATTATATAATTAATTAATAAAAATGTTAATTTAATTAATTTTTTTTCAAGTGTCTTTACGCATAAAGTAACTAGTGATTATTATTGCTAACAGCTCGAGGCATCAGACTACCATTCAAGCCAGCGCATTACGGTGATCGTACATAAGGCGCCAACACATTCACGCGCATCGAGTGCAGCGTGTGTGTTGGCGCGGATAAAATCTCGTGATAGATAATAAAACTTCCAGTAAAAGTAGCAAACGGTGTCCTTCTCCGCATGCTCACCGCGGAATGCATTTCGCAATTTTATGTTAATTTGGTTAGTCACCCCCCTCGTGTGTTCGGCGATACACTCGCGAGTGAATAGAACGCGTGGGTTGCAGACTCGATAGAATGAGATATACGGCAAAACAATGGCGCGACGACGGTGATTTGACCTTTCGACACCGCTGACTGTTCATTGTCCGCCACGACGACGGGCTTCTATCATCGACTCTTTCGGGTTCTCGACTCGGCTGAAAACGGCATAAAATGGCTGACCGGTTTTGCGACGGGATATTCGTGTTGCGCATTTTATTTTTGTTCTCGCGTCAAGATGTGATGTATTTAGCATTAAAACGAGAAGGAGAGGCAGAGAGCGAACTTGAAGTTTTATTAATTTCATTTCTTTTTAAAGTTTGTTTTTTTTTCTTTAACGGGATACTATACACACATGTGTGTCTACATTGGCTCGCTGTGGAGAAATTGTGAAGTAAGACCCCAGGGGAACAATAAATATCCTTTCATGTCTTTCTCTTTCTTTCTCTCTCTCTCTTTCTCTTTCTCTCATGCGATAATCACAGCGAGCGTTAATGGCGCCGAGAGAATAGGAACTTTGCAATGCAAGTTATCCAGGTCAGACAGAGAAAGCAGCAGCTCTCGGCTGCGGTTGATACAAGGATCTTATGTAATTCATAATCGCGCCTCTCTCGCGGCTATCGAAACAAAAGCCGGCCAAAGGCGATTAATCGTGCGTCACCTTCTCGTTTGTAAAACTGACTTGTTTCAAAGTCATTGTTATTCACGGTTGTGTGTGACCACTCGACGCGCCGCTTCAAACATCTCTCTCGCACGAAATTTACGTGCGACCGGTTACAACGATAAAAAAAAAGTAGATTTTAGGAAGCACTTTCTCTCACAGTTTTTATTATTCTTTCCGTTTCAGTCACAATCGGGCAACGCCACAGCGAACTATTCGCGTGCAATCACGCCACATTTCCTCGATATCAATCATTTCCGCCTGTCGTGTAAAAGAGAAACATTAGAACGCCTTTGAAATAGGCTGTATGTGTGTGTGTGTGTATAGAACTTCTAACATAGAAATTTTCAATACTTTCAACACTGATCAGAGTAAAACTTCCTTTAGTAAACGTATCT